AAAGAGCATTACTGCAGAAGTTGCGTCGACGACAGTATCAAGTAGCTTTGGTAAGACAACTGTAGCATCCGCATGCTTGCACATGGCTCTGAAGACGGCATGGTTCCCAACAGTGCTGGCAACCTGGAAACATACACCACCGTTCTCGTTCGGATCGACGCCGTTGTCTAGAAGCAGATAGACGATATTGGGCTCGGGGCATTTTCGCTTCAAGGCTTGCGCTAGAGCCTTGTACATGGATGCTTGACTGATGTTGCACTGAAGCAGACTGCTGTAGATGTTGAAACGAGCTTCTCCGCGGATCGTGGCATCTTTGACAACGTGGTCGAAAGCCAAGTTGGCTGTTGAATCATCGACACCGTTGACAAGGTACTGGCTCAATAACTTGATGAGTGAGCTGTTCCCGGACTGGGATGCCACTTTGAATGCTGCACCGTGTCGGTGGCCGACCTGAGCTCCATGGGAGAGTATCAACTTTGGGATATCGAGGCTCTTCGGGTCTGTTCGGATGGAGTCGATGAGCGCTTCTGAGAGCTTCTCCCTGCTTATGTCGCCCTGACGGAGAATTGCGTCGTATACCCAGTATCTTCGATCAGAGTCCATCTTGGTGTTCCGAGCTAGCTCAAAGCTGTCATACACCACTTTGGGGCTGAGGACAGTACTAAAAAGGGACTTGAAGAGGTCTTCGGAAGCCACGGTCATCATGCCCTCGACCACAGCAGTATCAACTTCGGCGCCGTGAGAGAGTAGTAACTCTGGTAAGTCGGAATCTTCGGGATGTTTCATGATAGATCGGGTAAGAGCTTTGCTTAAGTCCTCTGGAGGTACTGCCTTCCCCTTTTGAGTAAGGAGAAGCTTCATGATGGATGTCCTAGTTTCTGTTGGGTTACTTGAAGCGGCCGCGGCGAGGAGTGCCTTGCCCAGGACCGCAGTTCCAACTGGGCCCAAGAGCAGCAATTGGACGATTTCGATGGAGCCACCTGTCACGGCGGACTGGAGGGCAGTTCCATCTCCTTGGTCGGGGGATGCCTTGTAGCGCAATAGAAGTCGAAGGCCATCAAGATCGTCACTGGTAAGGGCGAACAGAGTCTCCTGGATCAACGCCTCAGACTGACCAATTTCTGAACAGCTGGCTTTCTTAAGCAAAGTCTTCCAGATATCAAACTTGACTGTCCTGTTCTTGATGTAAGATGCCTGTGAGAACGCGGCGCATAATGATGTGGTGGTGAGTCTATCGGTGAGAAGATCCTTAAGTAGGCCAATGTCATTTGCTTGTATGACGAGGCTGAGTACTGATCCCTTGGCAGCGTTGATATCCAGGTGGTTCTCCAGGAAGATTTTGACGATTTCCGACAGATTTGGATGGTTGTTCAGCTTCTCGTCCATTCTAACGGTATTCCACAAGACATTGATAACGGCGGAAGCTGCAGTGGTGCATCCAAGCAGCAGCTTTAATGTTCGTAGCTCATACCACTTCGGATTCACAGCCGTCTCGATCAAGGATACAAGAGTAGGATTTCTTGGTGGAGCTCTAGAGCAAAGAGTCTCAAGAAGCTCATAGTTTCCGTATTGAATGGCGTTCTGGTACGACATTCCATCGGACTGAGCTGGGCTGGCTCCATGGTTGAGCAAAAGACGCACCAGTTCCAAGTGGCCACCTTGAACAGCCCGAGCGAGAGTTGTGTTAACTTCAGGACCCTTAGCGCCAGCGTCAAGAAGCAAACGAATCATGGCATCTGCTGTTTCATAACCACAAGTCTCGCTAGTCTCAAATGCTACCAGGACTGCCGTAGATAATGTCTGCTGGCGAGGGCCGGCATCCATCAGCAATTTAAGGAGGATCATATGGCCTCGTTTGGCCGCGATGAGAACAGGATTGAGTCCGGGGTTATCGTACAGATCAACAGGGGCTCGCTTGTCGAGAAGGAGCTGAATCAGTTCGAAATCCGGTTCCTCGTCTCCAGAAACTAAGATGATTAAGGGGCCGATAAGCACCTCAAGCGGAACCCCTTTACGAAGAAGGGTGTCTACCACCTGAAGCCTGGTGGTGCTCGGTTCGACATCGAGCGCGGTAGGGAGAACGTTCGAAAGGACTGCAGGTGCACAGTTTTGTTCGATTAGAAGGTTGAATATGTCGAGGTAGTTCCTTTCCAAAGCCTCCCGCAAAGCGGCGCCGTTGCGAAATTCGACGCTCACGCCCTGTTTCAAAAGGAGACTGATGAGTTGTTTCTGGTTATCACGAACAGCGTAAACGAGCTTAGCGTCGAGGTGTTTTCCAGTCAGTCCCCTATGCCCAAAGGTTTGAATGAAACGGATCACATCCAGTTCTGTGGCTTTGGCCGGTAAGTAGTCCAGAGCGTGTGAGGCATTTGGCATATCCATGGTCCCATGTTTAAGAAGGTCCATTGCGTCGAAGTCAAGTCTGTTAACGGCCAGTTGCAAGGCACTCTCTGGCCGACAGTCAATGTTGATTCCTGAGTCGACGAGTACCTTAATCATTGCCATGTTTCTGGCCATCACACTGCGCATTAGCTCCTGTCGATACGCCAGACTATCCACCATTATCCCTGCATGAGAGAGAATTGTGAAAAACTTGAGTTTGATATCGTTGTCTCTGATTTCAGAGACAAATTGGCGAGCAAACATTGTGCCTGCGGTTTCGAACTTCTGTCGGGGGCCGGCGTAAGCGAGAACGATGGCGGATGCCTCAAGGCTATGATTCTGTAAAGCCTGTATAAACAACACCTCACAAGCTAACTCGGGCCGAGTGGAGAGGCACATGAGCAGGATATCAGAGGTGATCGGGGGTCTGCCAGGTTGCGGCGTGAGGCACTCAAGCCAGGCTGCAGTGGTCATCGATTTTGGGACCGACAGCAAGAGTCGGGCCAAGGTTGCGTCATTATTCCCAATGTGCTCGCGGATGCTCTCTTGGAAGGCGGTAGCCTCGCTGCCGAACCGGAGGAGGAGTGTCATTGCAGGAGTCCAGTTCTTAGCTAAAGCAAGACCGAAAGCGCGGTCTAGGACGGCCTTGCTGCTCGTGTGTTTGCACAGCAGACGTACGTATTCGATTTCTCCCTTGTTCATGATAGTGTCCAGCCATACCATATCTGGCGAGTCAAGCAAGGTAATATCAATCGTTGATCGCCTCTTCCACTGCGATGCCTGTTTCTTCTTGTCCGACGACCGTTCAACTGTTAGATGGCCCCAGAGTTCGTTCAAGGATGTGCCCTTGGCGTGCCCGAGAATTGCGACGGCTACGCCAACGGGTTCGAGGGAACCTTCGACAGACAGTAGGCTATCAAAAGCGCTTGCCACCTCGGTGACTGTAAAGGTCCAATTGTCGGCATTTTCCACCTCCTCCTTCTGCTTCTTGGTCCTGAAAAGATTGCGTTTCTGGTCTGATGGGGAACGGAAGTTGGGGTCGGTCATACGCTCCTGGACGAGGTAATCGCGGGCCCTCTGACTGTTACGAATATACTCATCTGGGGCCAGATCGAAGTCGCTGTCCCACTTCTCGGGCAGAGGCGGGATCGGAAACGGGAGACGAAGCCCTACTTGATTCAAAAACCATACTGCCCATGTGCTGTCCCTGGTGGTGCTGTCGTTCCTTGTGCTTGAAACCGAGGCCGACGGTCGATGTGACGACGCGGATTGCCGCTTGCTCAACGAAGCAGGCTGCGACGGCGGTGGTGAGGGGACAGGGGCCGGGAATATTGGATCCATGTCTATGCGGGTGATGATGGATGGCTGGTGGTTGATTGATTGGAAGATCAATCAACGTCCATCTGCCAAACAACCAAGCCAGGAAGCATCCAGAGACAGATTCCTCTTCAATCAAGCGGGATTGTAAGAAGAGAGAGGTGATAAACAAAGCAAAGCAATTACCTTGCCCGCATTTGCTGACCTGATGCCAATTGCCCCGAGTGTGGCGATGCTGATTGGCGACTAGGTCAGGTCAGGCAGACTCGATGGGTCGACTCGATAGAAGGCGGACCGCACAATTGCAGCTCACTCTGTTCCAAACGGGGCTCGATAGTGGACGGAGGGGTAAACAACCGGTAATAGTACAGAGGCACGGGATTGATGGATGGAGAAAGGTCCGGAGCTGGCTCAAACTGGGCTCCTAAGCTGGGCTTGAAGTGGATAAAAGAAAGACGGGAAACTCGCCCGGCTGCAGTGTGTGAGCCAAGCCCCAGTAATCAGCTGTAACTAGCCAGTCCTTGTGCTCAGGCCAAGCAGCAGTCTCCCCGCGCCATCCCTCTTCCATCCGCCCTCCTCCACACAGCTGAAAGCTGCTGCTGGCACTCGGTTGATCGGCCAGGTGTCTTGGCCAGTCTCTGGTTGCCTGACTATGCTGGCTGCCTGCTCACTAGCTCTCCATAGTGGCATAACATAGCAATGCCGATGATTGTGTAGTGGACTCTGGAGTGCCCACTGTCCAGTCTGCCTCGGTCTTGTGCATCCCCAGAAGTGTGTCTGTGCTCTATTGGCTGCGTCCAACCCGAATAAACCGGCTGTCTCGATACAGGCCACCGTATAGCTCCGTATGAGGCTATGCCTGTGCCCGACACCCACACTGCCTAATATATCCTATCGCAGCTGCACATCATCTGATCGACATGCCTACCCTGCGCCCCTCTTTGCCCTTTTGTGACTTTGCGTTTAATAGCTGTTTGAGTTTCTGGTCCTCCTTGTTTCGCCCGTGGTGGGCTGCGTCCACAGGATCAAAGTATATTACGCCCGTGTAACGAGCGAGTCTCAGCCAAAGTCGCCGAGGCGGACTGACTGTAGGACTCACTCCATATCAAAAGCCAGCTCCTACTATTCCCCCAACCAAACCCAGCTTTTCCCTTTATCCCACAAACTGAGCCTGCCTGCTGTCCAACCAACCCCGAGCAAACCAACCATTGCTGGCTGTTCCATCTTCTTGTTCCATTTCCACGCCAGCTTGCACCCATTAGGGGCTTTACAGCGCGCGATACAACAAACAAAACTTCACCATGGAGGCTCCACCGCCTTACACGTCGGCAACAGGGTCGTCGTCGAGCTCTCGTACCCGTTCGTCCCTCGGGAGAATGCGATCGATGGCCGACTACATGCTACGGTCTCGCGTCGGCGGTCGTTCGAACGACGAGTCTGCCAACCCTCCAGAGCCGTCCTCTGCCACCCTCCCCTCTTACGACTCTCGAAGCGGCACGCTGACTCGGAGCGTTGACTCTCGTCGGATTAGCGATGATTCCTCCACCCGGCTATCTATGCTTCGATCGCCTCCAGGGACTATTCCACCGTCGACAACATCCTCCGCCAACCCCATCCAAGATCGAAAGCTCCGTCTCGATGAGCTTAAGAAAGAGATCGAGGCCGTCTCCCAGCCCACGAAGCGTTCCAATGACGGCCTCTTCAAGGAAGCCTGCTCCACCGACTTGTTGTTCCTTATCGACACAACCAGCTCTATGCACCCCTACATTGACGCCGCCAAGAAGCAGGTCAAGGACATCATGGAAGACATCCACCGCACCTTTTTAAAGGAGGCAGAGGTCCGCATGGCCGTCGTAGGCTACAGGGACCACACAGACACGCCCAATATCGAGTTTCAGGATTTCACCACCGACGTCGACCGCGTCCGCTCCTTCATTGATAAGCTCAAAGCTAAGGGCGGCGACGACTTCCCCGAAGATGTTCTCGGAGGCCTCGACAAGGTCGTCAACGCAAACTGGAAGAACCAGACTCGCTGCGTCATCCACATCGGCGATGCCCCTCCCCACGGCAAGATTTTCAACATCGTGTCTTACAAAGACAGATGGGCGACCCCGGGGACTGAGCCTCACAAGCTCACGTATCAGCCTCTGCTCAAGAAGATGATTATGCTCAACCTCAATTACTGCTTCCTTCGCATTCAGTCCCACACGGATATTATGTCCTACCTCTTCTTGAAGGAGTACCAGAATGCCTCCGCCCAGTGCAAGCTCCACGTGCTCAATAGCGAGCGGATCAAGCTCGTTCAGGCCGCCTCCTCCACCACCTCCCGCTTCCGAGGAGGCAAGAGCAGTCTCGCCTTCGAGGAGTCGGAGCTCGGAACCTCCTACAGCGCCCTCCGCCATCTCGTCGTCCAAAGCGTCGCCAGCTCCGCCTCCCGCACCGCCATCCGTCTCTCCGAATCCATTTCCAAGAACGGGGGTAAGCTAGCCGACAGCACCGCGCTGGCCAACTGTCCCAGTATCGTCGAAGAAGAGGAGAGCGAGAAGGAGCTCGTCATGGAAAACGTCGTTCCAGACTGGGACACCCCCAGCTGGTTCAATGAGACCCTCACCGTCGAGGGATTCTCCCCCGACGTGGTCCGGGCCGGCGCAAGAACCCTCAGCGACATGATGATGCACGACGACCACATCGAGCTGAGCACCATGGAGCTCGGCGTCCGGCGTAGGTCCAAGCCCTTCTCCCAGGGCGCCCTCCGCGTCGCCGCGTACGCCCGCACCGCCGCCTCCACCAACCACTTCGTCGTCAAGTCGTTCAAGAAGGACGGCAAGCACCTCGCCCACCTCGCCGAGGACATGCGGTGCCAGGCCCTCTGCAAGGCCTTCGCCCTCGAGTTCAACAACCTCGTCGGCCCGCAGCACGCCGTCGACTTCATCATCACCACCTGCCTCAAGGCCGCCAACGGCACCGCCTCCCAGTGCATGTCCCTCGAGCCCTACATCAAGGGCCAGTACGTAAAGTACAACAACAACTCGGGCTGGGTCAACCACGACCTCCCCGCCGGCGACACCACCAACCAGGCCGCCCAGGCCTTCTCCCACTTCACCTTTGAGCGCTCCTGGGGCCAGATCCTCGTCTGCGACCTCCAGGGCGTCGGGGGGCTCCTCACCGATCCGGCCATCCACACCGCCGACGCCAACCGCTTCCGCCTCGCCGACACGAACCTCAACCGGGAAGGGTTCAAGTTCTTCTTCTCCACGCACACCTGCAACGACGTCTGCCGCCAGCTCGGGCTCATCAGCACCGCCGACATGGTCATGCGCAAGTCCCTCACCTTCCGCGAGAAGTGGCCCGCCGTCGAGAGCACCGTCTACTGCTCGAACAAGCTCTGCGGCAAGATCGTCCCCGCGGCCGGGGCCCGGAAGGCGGACGAGTTCCCCAACTGCCACTGGTGCGACGTCTGCTGGCCCCAGCTCGAGTCCAGTAAGGTCCGGTGGATGTGCCTCGCCCCCGGGCCGGACCACGAGTACGACGTGTCCCGCTTCTTCTACGAGTCTCAGGGGCGGGCCATGCCGCGCAAGTGTCCCGAGCACCGAGAGGCCGACGAGCCTGCCGCGAGACCCGCCGCTGTGGGTGGTGCGGTGTGGGCTAGGATGAACAACACGGCCAAGCAGAAGAACATTTCTGGAAGAAGCTGGTAGACTGTGGGACGAGAGTAAGGACATGGAGATGGCGATGAATGGTAGATTGGAATTAGAAGACGTGAAGATACCGAATTATGGCGTTGAGACGTACTGCTCTTACAAGATGAATGATTTTGCTTGTATTCGGAATTTGTTGAGATATCCCTTTATTTTACTTCAATGAAATTGCACAACTATCAAGAGACCCAGGATTTTCAAAACTGTACAAACACGACTCGTTTATCCTGGCCCAAAATTTACACAACCAAGGGGGAAGTCACAAAAATGCTTGAATTCAAGGTTCGTTCATTGTCGCCTGATAATATAGTGCCATTAGAGTAGCCATGTGATTCAAATACTCTCAAGAAAATGATTTCAAATTACCACTGAGAATGTGGTGAGAGAGTTCGGGTGAAGAATTAAAAACAGGAAGGAAAAATGCCAGAACCCAGCATCCCAACACAATGAAAAACCTCCACCTCCAAACTGTTCAACAACAATGCCCCGTGCACATCCAAAATTTCAAGTAGCTTCTTCCCCCTTCCAACTTGGCTTTGAAGGAGCCTACAGGTGTCTTCCATAAGTGAAAGAAAATCCCTGTCAATTGATAAGTATTTGGCGTCACGCGGTCGGTTTGGAAAAGAACAAAACTTACCTGTATTCATTCTGCGGAAATGGGATTGCTCTTTCTCCGAAAAGATGCGCGTGGCGGGTCTTATTTGATCAATGCATAGCACTGAAACCATTTGTCTTATTGGTTTGAGTTTTGATTATTCGAGTTTGTCGCAATGTTGTAGTTGATAAGATCTTGAGCGTCGGCTCACCATCTAGCAGAAGACCTTGGTCCTCAGACTCCCATGCCACATACTTAGGCGTCGGGAGTCACCGGGCTGCCTTGGAGGAAGGCCGTGGCTTGGCCATTGTAGCAGGCGACGTGCAGGGCTGAGGCCCAGCAGGGCCATGAGGGTAGAATTGTTCAAGAGTGAATTGTGAGTGAGTAGGGGCTTTGGCGTCTTGCTCGATGTCTTGATACATTTTCGCAACAATGCCGATGCACTGGCTGTCATCTCCAAATCCATAAGTCTTAACTGTTTGGATGTCTGTTCCTCGCTGGTCAACAGTAAAAGCCACCCACGAAGACCCCCGTGCCACATACTTAGGCGTTGGTGAGTCTTCGTGGGTGGCAACCCCGGGAGTTGAGCCACTCCCAGCTGGTTATCATTAGCATTATTCGCCCAAGACAGGAGAGATGAGGCAAGGTAGATTCCTACTTACGTCGGGCCGAAAGTACGGACGCTTTATCTCTGATTCGTACGTCCAGGGGAGCCGCCTGCTTGAGTTGCGAGGCAGCTCCCCCCACGGCGAAAGGTGATCGTTTGGTGGGCCAAAGGGGCCCCTTCAATTGAGGGACGAGGGGGGGCTAACGTGTCATAAACGCAGATATATCATGTTAGTCCAACGCCTTGGCCGAATCTTAGTATCAGAATTCTGGAGGAGCAGATCACTTGCTGTCAGGATGACAAGAGTGAACGCATAGTAGGGGAACTCTTGCGGTAGAAGTGAAGGAAGACTGGGATGATGAAAAAGAAACACTTACACCGCGGTTCGAGGTCTTGTTTTGCGCCCACCTAGCTTGGCTCACCCGGGAGCGCCCACCCTGTTTGTATAGGAGCCGCCACGGAGCGGCCCCTTCGATGTTAATCTCAGGGCAGCCGCTTGGGTGGGCGCTATGAGGAGGTCCCCAGGTGAGCCAGCAATAGGTGGGCGCATGCCTGGGTAGGCTCTGGGTGGGCGCTATGAGGTTTGGTTTAAAAAAACCTATGATGAGAAGAGAAGAAAACAAGAGAGTGGGAGGGAGGGGGAGGAGGAGCTTAAGTAGGAGGGGCTAGCGTCATACAGACTGAATCACGGGACATAACACCTCAGGCAGCAAGGTGAGAGAGAAGCAACGAGAAAGTGAAAGCGGCAGGAGCAAAGCCAAGGGGCTCAGGGCGTTAGGCAAGTGGGAGAGAACGTGGGCCCATCGGAGTAAGGTACTTACTTAGGGGGGTACGCGGACGAGTCACAGGGAGTGAAGAAGTGTACCTCAGGGACACGCTCAGTCACTGCTGGTCTAGAAGCCCAGCAAGGCTGCCAAATCATACGGAGGACTACTTAGATGTATATTAGCTATCTTTCTAAGATGTGTAGTCCGCGTTGTCACTTACAGGTTTTGTTGTCTCGTCAGGGGCGAGTGCCTTCGTACCCAGGCAGCGCGTCGTCGACCCATCAAGGTACCTTCCCCCGTCGTTCCAAGGCAAACAGTGAGCTACGTCTCTCTTTGGGGGCGTCCAAGGCTGTTTGATGCTCCTACGGGGGGCGTGCACCTTCTCAGAGGTGCTTTCTGTTTCCTGCAGAGGCAGCCTACGATTGTGATTGTGGGAGATTCGCCTGTCAGTGGAAATCGGACCAATGGTAGCACATGTGCAAGCTCTGTTGACCAAGCTGTACGCTTTTCAAAATATAGCACTCTCATTCCACTGCATGACATAGATGTGCATAGCTGTTGGTCATTCTTTCTACCTATTCTTGCTATGGGCTATGGAAAAGCTCACAATAGCCCCTTGAAGTAGATAATCTCAAGCCAAGTAGAAAGATCTCACTACGTTAGGTACTAGGTGCCAGACCCCAAATCTCGATCCAAATCGCAGTGCGGTGGTTCTTATCCTCATGCTGTAGACGCTTAATTCAAGTAGCAGCACATCAGTCAGCTCATGTTCTCTCAGATCCCAAGCTGGATTCTGCTACCTCGCTGCCCTTAAGCAAATCCACCTCGAGTTTCCTTCAGGATGCCGATATTCCACCAGATGGGCCAGATGCAGCCACCGGTGAATACGGCATCGACCCAAAACATTGCCAGGGGGATGTACAAGATGAAGTCTGCCTTAGGCCAGGTATAGCAGAAGACATCACCGCTGTTTGCGGGGCTAGGTGGCCAATGGAGCTGCGTGACGGGGAAGATGCTTCTCCGGATCGGGTTGATCCAAGGGGAGTAAGGTGTGAGCTTCCAATTCTCGTGAAGCTCCTCACACTTCAGGCCGTAGAGGAGATAGGGCCTGAAAAGGTAGGACTTGCTTCCTCCATCCTTTGCCGAGCCTTTCTCACGGCCGTCGAGGGGTACGAAGAAGTGGAAGGAATCGAACATGCTGATTAGGTAGGATACGTCGACAGGAGGATCTGATTCTGGTTATTAAACCCAAACAGAGTAAAGGCTTGAGTAATCTGAAGTAGAATCCATACATACCCAACTTAAGCTTAGATGGTTGTGTAACGGAAGCGAAGCTCGCAAGTCAGTGTGCTGGGTTTGGAGGTTCGTCTGGGAGAGTTCTTTGTTTTGATGTTTGGCGGATGAAATTGTGAGCGTGGAAGACGAGATTCCCTACGCGACATATTTCAACCTCAGTACGCTGTGCACACGCAAAGGGACGTACTAGCACGGCTTTTGCACTGTGCATTTGCTCCTTGGGGCTCCCCTCGCATGTGCGGACAGCTGGTTTCTCGCATGTGCGTGCGGCCGGTCCGTCCCTGAGCAGAGCAGCAAGATGCTGCCACCCTGAATTCGTTCTCGGTATTGTATACGTGCGTATATACATTTAATACAAATTCAAGTTATGTCTCTTTATTATTTCAATATTGCTCGGACGTTCAACGGAATGCAGATTCGTTCATGTTTGTGAGATGCCTTCAGATAGCTCAGTGGTGGGCACACCATACCTTAGACCCTTTTCTCAGTCTTCAGTGAAGAAAACAATGTTAGCATTCTTTGATGGTAGATTCCTTACGGGAACTCGGGGTTTCATACATGATAAAAAACTGCAGTCTATTCCATACCTTCGTAAATATACAACCTATTCATACTACAGCAAAGAAAATAGACCAAATATGATACAAGTTCCTCCATCATCCCGTTCAGAGCCAATCCCTCAACGCCTTAGACGATGACCAAAGCAAAGAAATCCAAAGGCTATGGCTCGGTACCCCAACCCAATCACGCATAAAATCATCATGTTTCGCCACAGCCATCCCATATGAAACCCAGTCAGGTTCGCGGCAGTTTTTACATCGTACAAATACTCATACGGCTCCACTAGCTGAGCAAAGTAGACCTCAGCCAGCCAAGTGCCAGGAGATGCCCTCCACAGCCACTCCAGGTGCCACTGCTTCACCTTGGACAGGGGAGGCGCCGCACCAGAAAGGATGCCCAGGATGAGGCTCAGCATAGCCGACAACAGGGGAGCTTCCTCGCGCTTGCTTATCATGCTCACGATGCTGGCCAGTCCGTAGATGCAGAAAAAGTACAACAGGTTGGCCATGAAGGCTATTCCCCAGTGTATGATCGGCATGGCAAGAAGAAGGAGCGGCACCGTGAAGTGAAGACAAGCGAACACCATCCTAGGGAACACACACAGCACCTTAGCCAGGAAATAGGAAATCCTCGAGTGCCCTGCTTCGGCTTCGCGGTTCTGCACCAGCAGCTCCTCAGAGAAAATCTTCACACCCGGTGCTGCTGAGACAAGGCCTATACCGATGGCAACCAAGAGTGCAAATTGAGGCGCAGAGACATAATCAGTCGACGTGGACAACATGCCATAAGTGTTATAAATCCCTCTAAAAAGGACTCCGTTACGAGAATTTTGAGCGAGGCCGAGAAGGAACCCTCCGAGCAACGATAGAGCCATCTCTCCCCAAAAAGACCAGTAGCCACGGTATTGCTGGAGAAGGGCACGGCAGAGGCAAAGCCAGAACTGCTTAAAACGGTAGGCTCCGCGCTTTTTGATAGTTCTATGCATCAGCCCCTGTCCAGCAGAGGAGAGGGTGTGCCTGCTCGTGTCCCGAGTGAGATTCACGCGATACTGGGCCCAATGCTCGATAAGGAATTCCTTTGCGATATCCCCAATAGGCTTGTATTCCCGGCCATTTCCAGTGATGATATCCGTAATCACATCAGCTTTGTTCGTATGAGGAGGGAATCTAAAGCCCATGTTCTCGAAGAATTGATGGGCGGTCGCTTGAGGGCCTTCGTAAATCGTCTGTCCATTTCCAAGGAGAATCAAATTGTCCAGCATCTCAAACGTCTCGACTCGGGGCTGGTGAATAATAACGATGACGGAGATTCCCAACTTAGCCAGCGCCTTGAGGGTCCGCATCATCGATGACGCAGCAGAAGCATCCAAACCGCTCGTAGGCTCATCCAGAAAAATGGCCATGGGTGCAGCAGCGAGTTCCATGCCAATTGACACTCGCTTTCTCTGGCCGCCACTGATAACAGGCTTGCCAACGCTGCCGACCAGGGAATCACGGACATGAGAGAGCTCCAAGCAGTCAATGACGGCATCAACGAGACGATCGATGTCCCTATCAGACCATGTTCGCGGTAACCGAACCCTGGCGGAGTGGGCAATGTTCTCGTACACGGTCAACTCGGGTAGGACGATGTCATCTTGGGGAACGTATCCGATGACCTTCTTGTACCGTTTAAGCTTATCTGGCTTGTTGTTGATAGCAACTAGCCCTTGAGTATGTTTGGTCTTCCCCATGAGCACGTTAACAAATGTACTCTTTCCCCCTCCGCTGCCTCCCATCACGGCTGTGAGGGTACCCCTATCGATAGACCCGGTGACGTGGTTTAAGATAGGACGCGAACTCCCCTTAGGTTGGAATGTGAGGTCCTCATATCTAAAAGATAGACCAAAGTCAAATGCATCTGTAGCCTTGCGCATGGCATCCATGAAAGCTTGAAGCTGCGGGTTCGTTTCGTAAGGTTTATGCCCCTCAGTGCCCTCCGTCTCCATCCCAGGGCCGAGGGCAGCCTCAAATCCGAGTGTTGGGCGCCTAGTAAAATACTTCGCATCCAGAGGCTGCATCTCTCGATCGTTAGTGTCGTCGGATAAGGCATTATAGCCTGACATCTTAGCCATGACGCCGCCCATACCCTCACGACTCTTAGTGAAAACACCAATGCGTGCTTGTGAGCTGCTTTGACGGAAACGTTGGCGGTACCCAAAGATAAAGATTCCAAAGGCGAGCAAGATGTCGGCAAGGACCAGAATGATAGCCGGGAGGTAGAATAACTGAAACTCCGCCTTTTGAGGGCAGTAACTCCCAATCGCGCAAGGGGTTGGGGACGCAGCCCCAAGTTGGCAGTATGATCCTTGGGGACAAGGAAGCTGTTGGGTTCCATTGGACTCAAGTGGACAATAAAATCCTTTCTGGCATATTTGAGGCTCAAAGGGGCCCATGCTTATATAGTCCTCAGTTTCAGGGTGGCTACATACCTCTCCCAGCAGCCTCGAGATTTGGCAAGGTTCGAGCGGAGGACAGTATAGGGGGAGTGAATTGACCGTATTGTTGGGACCTTCAATGAAATTCAGAAAACGGTTCCACAAAGTTTCTAGGAGTGAACTTACAGTAGAACCCCTCTTGACACCCCTTGGTAGTCCACGACTCCGCGTTCTGTATTTGGAGTGGTATCGCGCCCGGCCTCCAACATAGAAGAGCATCTACAGTCGTCTTATTTCTTGATTTCGCCTCGACAGCACGGTAATATTCAGTTGAGTAAGTCGAATGGTTCGTTCCGGTACAAGCTTGATCGTAGATGGATAATTGAGTAATGTTGGGTTTCCATTCTTGGAACTTCCCATCCACCACGACGAGAGTCTTGGTCGTGTTCGGTTTGCTGGTGTTATTGAAGATGACTCCATGGATGTTTGTAGGGTCGGTAACGGCACGGAACCATTTTCCGGTGTCAACTTCATAGACATCTTGAGTTCGATTGCCGATGCATTGCCATGCAGCGTCCTTAGTATCCTCAGATAGAGGGTTCTGTAAGGCACAGAGGCAAGCTCCTGTATCCAGGAAAGCAGGTCCATCAGGCGTCTCATGGGGCCAGAATGGGTTCTGCGGCACGTTCTCTTGGGGAAAATCTCCCATAGAATCCATGCTGGGTCAAAAAATAAAAATGAAGTTGACGACTTTGGGATCCTACAGCCAAGGAGCATTGGCCCTGGGACCATCTTGTGTCTGGCAGGCGGGATACGGGTCATCTTATTCTGCTCTGGATCGTCAGAACCACGCAGTCCATGGCCCTATGGGGCTCATGGAATGGTCATCCAAAGTGCTTACGCCTAAAAATGGGACTCTGGAGGCATGTCGATGGCCTGCGCCCACTGCTGTCTCTCGGCGCAGGGGTGGTGGAAAGGCTCTAGGATCAACGGCTCCGGACAGGTAGAGTGCCATCGTTCGAGATCAATGAGGAGTTATGATTGGATCGGCATTGGCAGAGGTGGCAGGGGTAATGGTGGTGATAGGGGGTTTGGAAAATAACATCGCCAGGGCTGCCGCATTATGTTACCGAAAAGGCATCAAACCATCGCACTTGCGTGTAGCAGGGTAGAGCCCCTTGGGGGCTGTTTTCGGCGTGGCCATGCTGAAGGTGCCCTGCAAAGTGGGTGAAATAAAACATGGCATATCGAGACAGTCCAGCATTGAATTTCAACACGATACCACAATAATAACCTAGTACTCAGCACAATATCAAGCTAAATATCATAGAATAGTTTATTATTGTTATATTATTATATTTAGTTAAAAAAACGAGGTCCCTGCCTTACGCCGAAAGAGCTTTGGTGTGCCACGTTTTATTCCACCCACTTGCCTCTCGATCGTTAGCGTCGTCGGATAAGGCATTGTAGCCTGACGTCTTAGCCATGACGCCGCCCATACCCTCACGAATAGACGGGGCAAGCTCCTGTATCCAGAAAATCAGGTCCATCAGGCGCTGCGCCGCCAGTGGCCCGCCCACATTGAAGGCATTAATAAGCGCTCATCAACAGAAAACGCAGGAACTGATGAGCTGGGTTGATCCCTGAGGCAGCCACTTTGGACATATAGGCACCTGCCTTTGGCGGTCTGCTTCTTGAGGACAAAAAAGTTGGTAGTATCAAGGGCATCGCGCAGCCACTCAATCAAAAAAGCTCATGTCCGTCCCATGCATTACGAATCCCCAAGTTGAGGTGTCAGACGCTGTCAGCAACTCCGGCAGGGCTTGTACGACGCTCGGCCTGTGATCTCATCTTGGTTCTTCAGTGTTTGCTCCACTAATAAAGATCCCTTCCAGTTACAGTGGCCGGTCATCATTCCCGATGCACTGAACACTACGCCCACCCCAAGAGCCTCCATCCGCCTCTCTAGCCTCATGATGGTCAGTCTACGTAGTGGCAATCTTGCATGAAAAGGCGTCACTTCGCTGCATGTTACGCAAAGTGCATCATCCTTCCTGGCTGAGCAGTAACACTCTGGAATGACCCAGTAGCGGCTCGCTCACCTATCATTCCGAAAAGGGTAATGAATGCCCTGGCCTATACGCGCTCCTGATTCATCCCTGCTGCCCAGTCTCGAGGGCCATTTTCGCCTTGAAATTTGATAATGAGGTGTATACTATGTATCACTCCTGTGGATAATCCTGCCCGAATTGTCTTGATTAAGAACTGGCAACGCTCGTGGTCATTGCTAGAGCAGCAAAACGTAGAGTATTCTCCTTGGTTCCTTCTGTGTTCTATCGTAGTGGTGATAGCAATATGACCTAGGTACCCAAATACACGCGTCTTGCTCACGTGCTACCACATTACGAGCAAAGAAAGACTAAATTGAATTGAGTTAAAAAAGAGATGCATCGTTTTTTGAAATGCATTTTCAAAGCAGGAGGAAGCGTGGGTTGGATGATTTTGGTATTGGGCCACACTAGCTATAGGGTAGGTAGGGTGGACCGCCACCAGAACAAGTTTTTCCGGACGTGAGCAGAACCTCAACTGCCAGCTGACTCAGCTCCCACCTACCCGCCAGCCCTGATTGCCAGCACTGCACGTCTTCATCTACAATTCGAATATGGCATGCTCTCGAGGTTTCCGTATATTCTAATGGATGTACAGAAAGGACCTGCTTGCCGTCTCTGGACTTTACATTTTTCCTTCTCAGCAGCTCTGGGCGACTGGTAGGCCAGACTGTTCCACCATGAATTCATGTTACCATGCTGAACTGACAGGGATAGATACATCATGACGATATACCTACTAAGCTGCTGGAGAATGCCATGCCGGACGTGCGAGCGAGTTTTCGATACGAACGAAGAGGCACACGGCCGTTAAAGCTTACTGCTTGACCGCTTCTACTAAATCCGATATCATACTTCTATGAACTACCCGGCTGAGCAGCGTTCCGGGACATGGGTTATAAATCCCTTGGAGAAACACAACCGATGCACCCTAACGAGAGGAGGACTATGCAGTAAGTCTAACCAGGCCGGCGATGCCCGAAGAGCATACATTCGTCGTCAATTCATACCCCTGCTAACCGATGTTTTAGGCTGGAGCCTTGCCTGTGGCTGAACACCCAAAAGTATTGTCGAAAAAAAGTCGCTATGCCGTTTAGTATTTACCGACTAAACGCTCGTCCTTAATACCGGCTTGGCTACTAGTCTCCAAAAAGAAAATGACGTCGACGAATTATAATACCTGACCTACAATCTCAATGTCCTTCGGCTGGCCTTATCTAACGTCCCTTCTCGACTGCCATTACTGCACGATATTTGCCAAAGCAATTGTTCCTTGATCCGAGGGGCACCTCGGCTTGTCATATCGAAGAATCGACTATAACACTGGCCCATCAACAGCATAAATCAGGCCGTCTAGTTGCGAAATTAGTCGTTGACAGGACACCACCAGAAATTTATACTGGTGTCTGATGAACTCGGTTACACCCACTCCTGCAGGCACAGTAGACTGGTAGGTTTCCTGGATCTACTCGCAGGGCAGCATGGACTAAGATATGTGGCCAACAATTAAACCATTCGAACAGGGGCTTGACGGCTCAAAGTTAGACATTGCAGAGGCATCTTGTCTTACTTCCATTTAGGACCCGGATGTGCTGGAATTACCGCCGAGACACTGATCTATCCCCTAACAAGAAAAGAGCAAAGTGTTCATCCAGCCACCTTCCCAGCCAAGCAAATCAGGGTGGAACAGCATGCGACGCTTTGACGCCGCCGAGGAACCCATTGCAGCGTGGCAAAATCGTCGGCAAGCTAGTGCCCCAGGCCGAATCAAGCTCAATGCTGGCCCCATGATACAGAATGTACTGAATACGGCAGTATTGTGCGGTTGGCGCCACCTACGTTGATCGCGGCCCCATTTTGCTGCGGACTAATGCTGACCCGACGAAACACGACCTGTGATCTACATGATTCGGATGGCTGTTTGTCTCAGTAGGATATGCATTCCTCAAGTCTGCGACACGCCATCTCGGACCGTGACTGGCTGTTGGTAATACCGCGTATGTCCCTGTTGTTCCATTTTCTTGTTTCCTCAATAGATCATGGCAATCGTGTCTTTCCGGTATACTACTTGGGACGCCGTGAATTCCCATGGGAGATCGAAGAGAGTAGGAAAACGAGTACGAAACCAAGGCCACTACGATCGACAGCAACGCCACTGCCGCCCACGAGCTCCTAATTGTCTATCGAGCCGTGGCTCGATCTAGATGACAATGGACGGACACTCGGGGCAAGCCGTGGCTGCTGGAAATACGACGGCTGCAAAAGAAATAGATTCTCACGCTCGGGAAATTCAACAGGATAGTACGGAGGGATCTCACCTTGGCTCCAATATCATGCAATCCTCTGATGTACCGATCAAATCGACTACAGAAGCGCCTGCCGACAATATAGCGCACACTTCTCCAATCCAGGCAACAGCCCAGAAGAATTCGCACCAGCATGAGAGCCCCGGTGCGCAAGCCGGTGCACCCAAGGATGGAGAGATGAAACCTCAGGCTGTGGAGGGGGCAGACAAATCCTCACATAAGAAATCCGGGTCTAACTCCAGCGCTACACTCGAGCCCGAGTCACGTCCATCTCATCAAGCTACAGCGGTATCCAGGCCCGGACGAGGGGATACCTTTGCGGCCGCAGAATCGAACTCACCCGATGAGGACCCAATCGACCGCCTGCCTGAAGCCGAGGCTGCTATCCTCAGACGCCAGATCGACTTACAAGCAAAAAAGCAGAGCATTTTCGCCCTCCTCAGATTCGCCACGAAGTTTGATGTCGTGATCATTATCATCTCCATCATATGTTCGATAGCGTCCGGTGCAGCCTTACCCATTATGACGATTGTGTTTGGAAACGTGCAGGGAATATTCACTGATTACACGGTTTTGGGCCTGATCAGCCTCGACGAGTTTAAGAGTGTGATCGGCCATTACGTGCTGTATTTCGTATATCTTGCGATCGGCACATTCGTGGTCACATACATCTCAAGTCTCGGCCTTCTCTATGTTGGTGAAGCGATCACGGATAGGATCCGCCAGAAGTATCTGGAGAGCTGCCTGCGCCAGAATATCGGCTATTTCGACAAGTTTGGGACTGGGGAGTTTGCGACCAAGATCACTGCCGACACCGTCACCATCCAGGACGGTATTTCTGACAAATTTGGCCTGTTCCTCTCCTCCCTGTCCACCTTCGTCACTGGTTTTGTAATTGGCTATGTGTATGCGTGGAAGTTCGCATTGATCCTTACCGCAACTCTCTTCGCCCTCCTATTGAACGGCGCCATTGCGGCTGTATTCATTATTAGATACGATACGCCGATGAGGGAAAACTTTTCACAGAGCGGAACCTTCATCGAGGAAGTATTCTCTTCGATCCGAGTTGCGATCGCATTTGGTACCCAGGAACGTCTAGCTAAGCAGTACCTGAGCTATCTTGGAAAGGTCCGGTTCTGGGGCATCAAGCTTAAACATGCGACTGCTTTGATGACGGCAGGCATCATGTCGCTCACGTACCTAAATTACGGCCTAGGCTTCTGGCAGGGATCTGTCTTTATGGCTCGCGGCGATCTGAAGTTGTCTGACATGATTATCGTCATGATGTCTATCATGATGGGGACGTTCAACATGAGCGTCATCGGGCCCTATTTTACGGTCTTCATTGGGGCTCTGTCGGTAGCTAATAAGATGCTGGCTACGATCGACCGTGAGTCTCCGCTGGATCCCTCAACTGACGAAGGAAGTAGGGTGGATAATCTGGAAGGACATATTCGTCTCGAGAATATCAAGCACATCTACCCGTCCCGAGCCGATGTTACTGTTCTTAATAACTTCTCCCTCGATATTCCAGCTGGGAAGGTGACAGCTCTCGTGGGGGCTAGTGGCTGTGGAAAGAGTACCATTGTCGGGATAGTCGAGCGGTTCTATGAACCCGTTGAGGGCAAGGTGTTTTTAGACGGACACGACCTCTCGACTCTTAACATCAGATGGCTTCGCCAGCAGATGGCACTTGTTGGGCAAGAGCCCACCCTCTTTGCTGCCACAATCTCCGAGAACATTAAGTTCGGTCTCATTGGCACAGAGCATGAAGATTCCGATGAAGAGAAGCAACAGATACTTGTAGAGGATGCCGCACGGCAGGCAAATGCTCACGACTTCATTATGCAGCTCCCTGATGGATATCAAACCAATGTCGGCCAACGTGGTTTTCTTCTCAGTGGCGGCCAAAAGCAGCGAATTGCGATTGCAAGAGCCGTCATATCCAATCCCAAGAGTGCGTATTACACCCTTCAGGTGTTGTGAAAGAAAATGCTAACATGAACCCCCTAGTTTTGCTGCTCGACGAGGCTACATCTGCCCTTGATACGAAATCCGAAGGAATCGTACAGGTCGCGCTCGACAACGCCTCTACAGGTCGCACTACTATCACCATCGCCCATCGCCTTTCAACTATCCGCAATGCCGATAACATCGTCGTTATGAGCAAGGGAGAGATTATTGAACAAGGGACTCACAATGATCTGATCTCAAAACAAGGGGCATATCACGCTCTAGTCACGGCCCAGACAATCGAAGACAGCCAGAGGCGCTCTGTAGCTCTATCAGTCGAAGAGGCAATTTCCAAAGAACAGCAGATCCTCAAGAGGGTATCTACATGTAAGGATGGCGTATTGGTGACCACAGAAATTGAAGTCAGCGAGAAAAACATGCTTACTTCGAGTGGTATACTCAATAACATCGGGGAGATTGAGAGTGGTATCGCCAGTCAGAAAGTCCCACAGCATACTATGTGGACGCTGGTCAAGTTCGTTTCTCAGTTTAATCGACAAGAAGCATTCTGGATCCTTGTGGCATTCTTCTTCTGCGTCCTATGCGGTCTCGCGACCCCTGTTCAAGCCAGTAAGTTGCCCCTGAAATAGTTGGACAAGTCACACCGAACACTAACTCGAATACGTTCTTAGTCTTCTTCGCGAAAGAAATTATCGTTCTTTCAGATGTGGAATTACAAGGGGCCGACAGATGGGCGATCCAGTCCAGCTCGAACTTTTGGTCTCTGATGTTCTTGATGCTTGGCCTGGTGCAATTCCTGACCAATGCCGTCTCCGGGAGCCTTCTCGGCTGGGCGAGCGAGCATCTCATCCAGAGACTCCGAGATAAGACGTTCTCCGCCATGCTGCGACAGGATGTAAGTTACTATGACGAGGATGACCACAACCCCGGGGCCCTCACGGCATACGTAGCCATGGAGACTACCCATGCATCTGGTATCACAGGATCCGCTCTCGGAACCATCATTCAATCTGCCGCCAACCTAGTCGCCAGTCTAGTCTTGTCCCTTGCTATCGGATGGAAGCTGGCTCTTGTTGTATTTCCCGCCGTTCCTCTGGCCGTCGCATGTGGTTTCTTCCGCTGGTGGGTACTTGCTCGCCATCAGCGCCGGATCGAGACCGTTTACGCCGAGTCGGCAGGTTTCGCCAGTGAGAGTATCTCCGCCATTAGAACAGTGGCATCCCTCACACGAGAGAAACAGGTCACTGTCCAGTACGAGAGATCCCTGATGGAACAGCAAAAGAAGAGTATCAAATCAGTAGCGAAATCGAGTCTGATTGCTGCTGCGGCCCAGTCAGTTCAGTATCTATGCTATGGCCTGGGATTTTGGTATGGTAGCACTCTTATGGCCACTTTCGAGTACAGTCTATTCCAGTTCTTCGTATGCTTCATGGCGATGATCATGGGCGCATCATCAGTTGGGAGCTGTTTCTCCTTCGCACCCGACCTGGCCAAAGCAAAGTCGGCGGCTGCAAAGCTGAAGACGCTGATCGAAGACTCAAAGCCCCTGATCGATACCTCCGATGACTCCGGCGATACTCTGACAGAGGCGGAAGGGTATCTAGAGTTCAAAGACGTCATCTTCCGATACCCGTCGCGGCCTCATGTGCCAGTTCTGCGTGGCCTCAACCTGAAGGTAGAGCCAGGCCAGCATATCGCCCTGGTGGGCAGCTCCGGATGCGGCAAGAGTACCACCATTGCGCTGCTGGAGCGATTCTATGACCCCCTGGCTGGGCAGGTTCTACTTGACGGAAAGGATATATCACTCATCAACATCAATGATTATAGATCGCACATTGCCCTCGTCAGCCAGGAACCAACTCTCTTCCAAGGGACAATCCGAGAAAACATCAGCATGGGCTCCTCTAAAGACTTGTCTGACGAAGCTTTGGAGATTGCCTGCCGCGAGGCCAATATCTACGATTTCATCCTATCTCTTCCTGAAGGATTCAATACCGTCGTCGGTAGCCGTGGTGGACTTCTGTCAACAGGGCAAAAACAGCGCGTCGCCATTGCTAGAGCATTGGTCAGGCAGCCCAAGATCCTCCTCCTTGATGAAGCAACCTCAGCGCTAGATTCAGAATCGGAGCATGTGGTGCAGGCGGCTCTTGACCGCGCGGCAAAGGGCCGGACGACAGTCACCGTGGCGCACCGGCTGAGCACGATCCAGCATGCAGATGTCATCTACGTCTTCGATAAGGGGTGTGTAGTAGAGTCGGGTACTCATTCAGAGCTGATGGCACTGAATGGGGCGTATGCTGAGTTGGTGAGGATGCAGTCTTTGGATCAGAAGGAAGAGAAAAGGGGGGGTTCTGCTTAGGAATTCGCGCTAGAGGTTAACGGAGTGTACAAGAAGGAAATCACCAATCTTTATTTTTAATATCAATCATTCGAAGCAATAATGTAACTCCCCTTTTTTAAAAAAAAAAGGAGAGAAAAAACTAATAGGTATACATACGTTTTCTCGCCCAGGACGGCAGACACCCTCAGGTATCCAACCGGACATCTCAGTTCCAGGCTTCCAGCGTTGAAGTCTTTCCAGAGGGAATAAGTTTAGAGAGAGTTCTAGAAAGGATGGCACATTTGATAACAGCGAGCATAGCAAGCGTTGAAGGTGGGAACGACAGAGAGTTGTAGGTTAAATGTACGACCTGGTCTACAAAGGAAATTACTATAGACATATCAAGTTACCTTCACCAAACAAAAATAGGTAAGAGCATTGCGTTCAATAAAACACAAACAAATCATCATATGGGATAAACTTCATGATTAAATTCCATCATCCTATTTCGTAGAAAAGTACGTCGACTAATAGAACAATCTCAAAAGCTACAATCTATCACATCCCATCCACCGTGAACCCCCTCGTAACGCTCCGTGTGGAGAAAACATCGCTCTTTCGGACAAGAAGAAGAAGGGAAAGACAGGGCGCGTCTCATAGAAAGGAAGATTTGAATCCGCCTCACCATTCAACTAGAACTGGTTCTGGCTAGCCAGGAGAGCTCGGCGCTGGAGCTTCCTGCTCTTGCAGGGCCTGCGGCTGGGTGTAGGAGCAGGGGTGACATCGGCCGAGGTCGACGACGCAGTGGTCGAGGCAGGGATGGTGGAGGACGAGACGGGGGTCGTCAGGGTGGCGAAGGTGGTGGGCGTGGTTGACGAAACATCCGAAACAGGTGTAGCGGAAGACACGGGTGTGACAGAGGCAGAGTCGGTAGCTGAGGGGGTAGCTGAAGGGGTTGCCGCTGAGGAGACAGGCGTGGTGGAGCTTACAGCGCCAGCAGACACATTGATGCTATCAAGAAGGATACTGGCGAAACCCGCGGCGTTGCAGTTGATCGAAATAGTCAAAGAACCGCTAGTAGAGGTAGGGACGATGGTGCCGGCCAACTCGCTCCACTGGGTGTTGGGTGTGGTTGTGAGAGGGAATCGATCAGTGTTGGCAAAGTTGTTTCCGTTGAAGTAGGCTCTCACACGGCAGCTATCATCAGGTGACGCTGCGAGAACCTTGTAGTGGAACGCCACAGTGTAGGGCGAACCGGCAACGAGGTTATGAAGAGTGCCAGAAATGGAGGTGACAGGGTCATCACGCTTCTGGACAGGCGAGGCCTGAGTGTTATCGTCGTCATTTCCCCTAGTCGATAGCTGGGCAGCGCCATTACCATTGTAGCCATCATCACTGACAAAAGAAACATTGCCACTGGTGGTGTAGTAAGCCAGACCAGCCGAGAAGTCCGCGTTGTCAATGTACTGAGATCCCGAGGGGGTGGCTGACGGCGTCGCAACATCAGAAGTGGCAGATGGGGTGATGGCGGCCGAAGATCCTGCATCCGTGGTAGAAGCCACAAGGGTAGACGAGATATCCGTGCTTGAGGCAGCAGGAGTTGAAGACACATCTGTGCTAGAAACAACAGCGGTAGATGAGATATCGCTTGACGCTGGGGTAGAAGAGACATCAGTGCTTGAAACTCCAGTAGCCGAGGGAGTTGAGGATGCATCTGTGCTAGAGGCCGCAGCAGTCGACGAGACATCACTTGAAGCTGGGGTAGAAGAGACATCAGTGCTTGAGGCTCCCGTGGACGATGCCGGGGTGGATGAGGCATCTGTGCTTGAGGCGGCAGGAGTGGAAGAGACATCAGTGCTGGAGGCCGCAGCAGTTGATGAGACGTCAGTTGAAGCTGGGGTAGACGAGACATCGGTGCTAGAAGCCACAGCGGTCGACGAGATATCGGTTGAAGCCGGGGTAGATGACACATCAGTTGTGGAAGCGGCAGGAGTGGACGAGACGTCAGTGCTGGAAGCCACAACAGTAGATGAGACATCAGTTGAAGCTGGGGTAGACGATACGTCAGTGCTAGAGGCCGCAGCAGTCGATGAGACATCGGTTGAAGCTGGGGTGCTTGAAGCGGCAGTGGATGACGCATCGGTGCTTGAGGCGGCGGTGGATGATACATCGGTGGAAGAGACTGGGGTGCTGGAAGCGGCAGTTGACGAAGCAGCCGTAGACGACACATCTGTGGTTGACGCAGGGGTGGTTGATGCTACAGTAGTAGAGGGGCAGGCGGCGTCCACCTCAATCTTGGCGTTATCGAAAGCGATGTACGCGTATGGCGACGATCCGGTGCTGGTGCACGAAAGCAGGAAGGTGAGAGCGGTGCTACCGCCAGTGGGCGTCCATGTAGCCTGGAAAGACTTCCACTCCGTGTTCGAGGTCGAAGTGTAGACTGTTGAGGGACCAGTGGAGATGACGTGGGAATCATCAGACACACTAAGCTGGCATGTCCTCTGGATGGTGTCAGGGGCCGTGGCACCGTTGACTCTGTAGTCAATTGAGACGGTGTGTTCACGGGTGGTAAGCCCGGATACAGTTTGGCTGAATTGGACAACCTCGGTACCGGAGAATGCACTAGGAACATAGGTTAGTCTTGAGACAAAACGTGGATAGGATTTTTGAGACCACTTACACTGAGTAGGCTCCGTCGGTGTGATCCCAACTGATTTGATTCGCAGAGCCCTGAGTGAAAGTCCAGCTATCTAGACCGGTCTCAAAGGAGGGGTTAGAGAAGCCATTCGTCTGGCAGGCCGATGGTGCTGAGGAAGACACTGCAGCCGGAGTGGACGAGGCTGCGGTGGATGAGGCAGCGGTGGATGACACGTCGGTGCTTGAAGCGGCGGTAGATGAAGCCGCGGCAGTGCTTGAGGCAGGGGTGGAAGACACATCTGTGCTGGAAGCGGCGGTGCTGGAGGCGGCGGTGGACGACACATCTGTGCTTGAAGCAGCGGTGCTTGAAGCAGCAGGGGTAGACGACACATCTGTGCTTGAAGCAGCGGTGCTTGAAGCAGCAGGGGTAGACGACACATCTGTGCTTGAAGCAGCGGTGCTTGAAGCAGCAGGGGTAGACGACACATCTGTGCTTGAGGCCGCGGTGGTTGAATCAGCAGGTGTGGTAGAGGCAGCCGTAGATGAAGCGGCAGAAGTTGTGGATGCTACGCTGGTCGTGGATGCGACTGTAGAAAGGCTGCTGGTCGTGGATGGTGCTGGGCAAGTAGCACTCAGGAAGAGCTTGAAGTCATCCATGTACATTGTGCCAGTGGCGCTTCCAGAGGTACAACTGATTGTGGCGGAAATGTAGATAGTCGAGGCCTTGGGGGTGAAGCCGGTTGCCTTGAGGTTTTTCCATCCTTGGTTCGAGTTTTTGGTGAACGTCGTCGAAGATACACTTGAGAGCGTATAGAGAGTGCCAGTTGAGCTGGTTGCCTGGCTCAAGGTAACACTACAATACCTGTACGCAGTCGCGCCGTTGGAGCTATCGATACCGACTTGATAGTCAAATTCGACGTCGTAGGTGGATGAGGTCGACAGTCCGGTGATGGCCTGCTTGGCAGTAATCTTTCCATCCGTGAGGGGGTCCGCACTAGTAGAATGAGTTAGTAGCTGTGTTTTTACTTGCCCATGGCAGATTGAGAGGACGGGCATGGCGAATGACATACAGGGAGAGAAGTCCATCAGAGTGTTGAGCCGACGACGAGACACGGTTAGCACCATCAGTGAAAGACCATCCGGTCAGACCACTCTCGAACGAGGGGTTCGTGAAAGCGTTCTGCTGGCAGCAGCTTGCCGTGGTAGAGATGGAAGCGTTGTCGAGATAGGCAAAAGTTGGGTCAGAAGAAGAAGAGCCAGAGCAAGAGAGGTAAAGTCCAATGGTTTGGCTGCCGCTGGCCGTCGCGGTGAAAGTTCCTGTCCAGGTGCTGAACGCATTGCCAGCACCGGAGCTGGAGAAAGCCTGGTTGGAAACGGAGGCAAACTTGTTGGATGTAGTGCCCTGGTACATGTAGAAGGAACAGGTCTTGGTGTTGCCTGCCTTGACACCGATGTACCGGTCAATGGAGATGGCATACTCCGCGTCCTTGACCAACGTAACACTCTGCGTCACGGTATACGAGGTTGTCGACGAGGACGTGGCAGGAAGGTTACTGTGGCAGGTTAGTACATTGGTCACTTCAGAAAGGTATGTTTACACTTTTTCCTCACAGGACATAGGAGCCGGCAGTGCTCTTGCTTGATGACAGGCGAGAACCGCCGGAGGGGCTGGTGGCCCAGGGGGTTATCGCAGAGTTCTCGAAAGATGGGTTAGAGAACAGATTGGGCTGGGTGCAGGTGACAATGGGGTTGTCGTTGGCTGCGGCCGCCGGAACTGCCAAAGCGGCAGCGGCCAGCAGGCCGTTGAAAAGCGGTGCAGACCGCATGGTGAGGGAGCAAGAGAGTGGCTGAACCTAGAAGACGGTTGCAAAAAAAGGAGTGTACGGTCAAAAGGAAGGAAATCGAGGATTGGAAAGAGTGTGTTGCGTGTGAGCGAGTGTCTGTTGTAACGAATGTAGGGCTTCTTCCCTGTCACCAGCGGACGCCAAATGCCAACACCCAGTAAAAGAGAGAACGGGTGGAAGAGAAAGGAAAAGAAGACACAGAAAGATGCTCGGAGCATGCTGGGTATGTATCAAGTGCGCAGCCTGCTCCATCGCCTTGCGCCACCAAGCTCAGCATCTGATAGTCAACATTCGCTAGCAGATGGGGGCTCAATAGCTTAAGCTATCGATTTTCAGCAACGCCACCAACAGCCCCATCCCGTCCCTCATCCCCCGATAGCGGCCCAAGAGGACATGCTACAGAAACGCGTTCGACATGTCCTGCCGTGTCTCACAGCATCGTGGCTATCCCGCGTGTTCGCCCCAAAGAAGCCCCAGCACTCCACGCTCACTTATCGTCGACCGACACATGCTCGGGCGAAGAGTCTTGGCTCGATCGACACTGCCGTTGGGGCCAGGGGGCAGCACTGTTGCCAAGCAGAATGAAGCATTTGTACCGAGGTCAATAGCGCGCAGTAAGCATAACACTAGTCAGGAACAATGTCGGCTAAGAGCCAATTTCTTGTTTCCTCCGCGGCTGAGTCGAGACCAAGGGGTGGGTCGGATGCCATGATCCAGCAGCACGTCAAAACTGATGAAGTCCTCTAGAGCCAATATTCTGACGGGGCTCAATGCTCTTTCGGCTCTGATGTTGGCGGCCGGATAAATCGGCTTCCTAAGTCCTGATCAGGTCAAGTCCGTCTTCTCAGGCCGCCGCTAGCCTAATATGGAATAATGCTCAAAGTAGCGACGGACTAACCCAAATCGACCATTGAGAATCAACCTTGGCTTCCATTACACAGCAGAGCTACCCTATACACTTGGAATGATGCAATTCCAACTCATTAAAAGAAAACTTTCTGGTCTCATCACAGTAGGCGTAGTTTTCCGCGTCTAGTATCCTTCACAAACATTCAGGTGGACGAAATATGTCGAAGACGTAAGTTATTTTGATGATGCATTCCACGGCGAATGCCTCGTGCAGAGTGCAAAATAAGACAAAGTCTCCGAAGCTCCTCTAATAGTGCCCCATACCAACATTTCATGGCTCTCTTTACACTGCATACCTACCGTATGCTGCACTGGAAGAAGACATGATACAGGGTAGCCTTAGAAACTACAGCCCTTCCAGCAAAAACCTGAGTTTCGTGCTTCTCTGTGTGTCTTCAAGCGAACCAACAACAAATCACGTGATGTACCGATTAGGTAACCGCTTCCGCTAGTCCAGCACAAAGCCCGAGTTGTGAGTGTGGTGCTGTTGCTTGTCCCCATCGCTTGCTTCAGCTTCATGCAGTGTGAAAGAGTAATCTCTTGCTCACGTCTGACTTGGATCACGTCGAGATATAACACAAGGGTCTTGAGATCCAGATTCAGAGCTGCCAAGCAACCGAGCGGCACTTTCGCGGCACGATGCAGGTATTCCTCCAATCTCAGGGGGTGGGTCGCCCTTTCAGGGGTCAGGGGTAGCTGCTCTTCTACCCCAGGAAAAGCAGCGCGCGCGCTTAATAATAAGACTTTAAATTATTATCCAAGAGATGGCTATTATTATGTAAAGGGAACAAATCGTTACCACTCAATTCTCGCTACTCAACAGAAAACCTCAGCTCTGACGAAGTGGTACAGCTGACACACCTTCGCCTGCAGGATGACGGTTGCAGCAACTATACACCCGTCATTATGCACCCAAAGTCAGCGTCACATTATGTGTTGGCGCCTAAGGTGGAAGTGCAGTCAGTCTGACGCTGGAGTCTTCATGTTCACTGAGGTAGGCCTACAAGGTGAGCTTGAGGCTGCAACAATGTTCCGTCTCCAACGCAAAAACGCGCCTTTAGCAGAACCACCTAAGCTCCTTGATAATCTGTCCCTCAAATAGCCAACATGCTCCTCACTGCCTGCTTTCTCTTGCTCCTCAGCTTCCCCCCCGCCGTCGCGGCGGATTGGTGGGATGACTTCTCCAATAATTTCGCGTCGGATCTTGCCCCGCTTCTTTCGCTCTTTGGTGAGCAGGTCACCAAGCAATTCCTCAGCGAAAGCATTTCTGTCGTGGACCACATCATCTTCGCGATGGCCCCAATGGGAATACTGACGGCTGTTGTTTCCGTTATCCGTACTTGTGGTAGCCCATCGCTACGCGCCTTCATTGGCAGAGCGCAAGAAGGGAAGGGAATCGCTGAGGCTGAACTGTGCTCCTCTACGAGCCGGGATGTTTGTGAGCTCTACAGCAATGGTGGAATTGCGCGCGTCTTCGGGCGTCCAAAGATACTCGAGATTATCTTTGACCCTGAAGGTGCGGATTTTCGGAAGGAAGCTGGAATTTACACAATGAGGAACTACTTGAAGACTGAAAAGAGTGTATGGGTGAAGAAGTCCGGTGTCTTTGCCGGATCTACCACCGACGTGGAGTCTACTCCGCCAAAGGAGTCTACATATGCGGACAGTGACATTGATTTGTTCGCCCCGAACCTTTCTCTCAATGTTGGAATCAAACGACAGCCTACACACGTTTCCTGGATAGTCGCCGGGTTGGGACTTTTCTTGCAGAGCGGTGTTATGGTGTTTGCGGGCATTGCGACATACTACCTGAAGTGGGAAAAGGATGACAAGCCTCCAAACAAATATTCATGCCCTATGATGTTAGCTGGCACAGGTCTCTTAGGGATTGGGACATTCTACTGTGCATTTCTCATTGGCGAGAGCACATACGAACAGTTGTTCATCAGAAGGGACCGACCCAGCCCCAATTCTCAAAAATGTCCAATAATAATTTGGCTGCAGCCTGGGGGCCAGGTTTTGGGTGATCAGACATTTGATCCTTTTTGCTACAGCGATAATGGAAAGCCATTGAAACAGTATCTCACGTCGTGGAAGAAACCATCAGCTGCGTCGCCCTCCTGGGTTTGGGCAGCCATCGTCGTTAGTATGCTTGGTTTTGTTCTTCAGTTTACCGGACTTCGAGGTATACATTCCGCAGTCTCCTTGGCCCAAACTGCAGTAGTTCTGGCCATGAGTATTGCAAGATCGTTACTCCGCACGCAACGGTTGAAGCTTGAGGACAATAAGTTTGCGGGATTTCCAGATCCGGTAACTGGGCACGAGCTTGACTGGCTTGCGTTGCATATTGACGAAATGGATCTTCCGCTAGATCTGAGTGGATTGTCCGAAAACTTTGCCACTGAAATAGTGACAGTATCGTATGGTCCATCTTGGTGTCGTATGGGGCCCCGTTCCTCTTCTTCACCTAGCCTGCATCGTGAAAGTAGATACTTTTGGAGGTTTGGGGGTGTTTCGAGCATGGAAAGTATTTCAAGATCTGAGCTGTCTTCTCTATTACGGGATTTCGATTTCAATCCTGCTGCAAAGACCTTTGCCTACCGGACTCGCCTGGGGCATCTGACGATGTCACAAAGCAAACGATCGAGAATTGCCACTTCTGCAAGCAGTTTTCATACCGAAATGGTTGAGGTTCGGCAAGAGGCTCAAAGGCTTGCTGTTGCTATTACAACTGCTCTCAATCTGCTATTTCCGGACAGGAATGATAATGAATGCTTGAGGTGGGGGGTTGAGTGTTTCATTTCAGCAGCATTACGATATGACCGAGGAGGATACTCCAATTTTGAAATCGCTGACCCTTATACTGTATACCTGAATGTTCTTCACGACCCAGAGAATCAGTGGAAGTTCGAAAACAACATGGAAGTGGAATCCCTTCTTGGGTTATGGGTTTGGTCACTAATGTCTGAACCTACCATGGAAAAGACGGATGAGCTAAGCTCTCTCGTACGATCCCGAGCCCTGGAGTTTCCGGTGCGGCGGATCGTTTCAACCGCCGCGAAAATAGAAAACCTCAAAAGATGGCTGCCACGTAAGGCTTTCAATTTCAAGGAACATACCCTTAGTTTTGAGCTTAGACATAGCGAGCCAGGTAGACTATGGGGGGAGATCAACGACGAGTGCAAGCTGTACCGTTCCGTCTGGGACTTTAGACAACAAGACAATGTCCGGCCTACTGTTCGTCTCTTTGGTTGGAACATTGAGCCCCGTTCTGATTTGAAGGATCTATGCAAGGCTTCTGGAACGTTCAAGATGATTTCTACCACCACGAGTGGCACGCTTGTGTCTTCTTGTGCCCATGAAGTTTTCGCATCATTCCTGGCGAGCGTTCTTGATGAATTCCCTGATCATGAAGATGCGAGAATCGAAGTAGCCAATGAGGATCCCCATCTAAGAAGTCCTCTCGTGGAAAAACTGGTCAAGGCATTCACTGACAGTCAGTTAGGCTCGGCAGAAGAGGCTATGCTTTGCGTTTTGCCACCTATCGTATCTAGACTTGATCAGATGCGTAGAGGCGGTCCGCAAAGGTAGCGATCACATTTCATAAAAAGCCGGCACTGCTCAGCATATACTGCCCGTTGAGGGTCGTGGAGAACAGGCCATGCCGGTAGAAGAAGACCTGATAGGAATCTTGGTATATATCACTCGTACCAACATTGGCGGCAAAGAATGGTTGGATTATTAAAGTCTAATGCGCTTTCAGCATCCGTGTTAGTTCTCCATCACAGGTTCAAGAGGATAAGGCGTCAATAAATCATCGATTGAAGTAATCTAAATTAGGTTCGCTTCAATAAGGGTAGATTTCATATGTACTCCTAAAGTCTTTGTATTACCTACACCGCAGGCTACGCAGGGAGCATCATTGTGGATGAGACAAGATAACATGTTTTTTGAAACGATAGAACATCCTTGAAGCCTAGCGAAAATCTTGTTGGGGATGTCGGCCATCCTTCAAATTTGGAAGAGGGGTGTAATTTGATTTGATCTTCGGCCCCGCTGATATGGGGAACAATAAGGTGAGCTCTCTGGGGTTCGTTCCATGGTAGGCTTCACTGTTACCAATACATACACGGCAGTGCTGTGTTGGCCAGGCGAATCAGCTCGTCAACCTTACTTGCTGAAATGGTCCTGTGTAGGTTTCTAGATATCCTCGTTATCACTTCTGGGCGCGTGTTTCCCACAGACCGAAGTTGCAATTTACAGGAACATGTTACGAAGCACGTCGTAAATTTTGTAATAATCCACATTTAATCGATGTGGGTGATTTGTTTTAGCAAGAATGCTGGTATGTTTCACATCCTACATTTGAAGACTGGCTCCAACCGGACTTGATTTCACGCATTTTGGCAATTGGGATCTCTTTTGGCTCGTATTAGAAGTTGGAGAATCAAAAGTGAGCCCTGAGGCGAGATTGATTTCGAAAGCTATGGTAGCTGTTGCACATGTTGACTCCTGAAAGCTCCTGGCAACTGTTTCCGAGGCTCCATTCCTTTCTTACACGCCGACAACATCTCCTTCGCTTCGTTGCACGCATCAATAGCGGGTCGAGGAAGGTGTGTAGAGGCAGTACCATATGTCGTAGGCGAAACAGGATAGGTAGTAGGCCAATATCTGGTAAGGTGTTAGCTCAAGTGCTTTAGTTGATAGGGTGCAGAGAACTAACGGAGATGAGCACGAGGCCCAGAACGTCCCCCATTGTAAAGGATTCAGACATCTTGATGTGGTGTGCCTTTAGAAAGTCTTGATGGCACGATTCATCAATTTGGAGACTTTGGGCTGTGGTAGATTCGTGGATGTGGTGGTGCAGATAGATGTAAGCTGGATGGATGAAGAGGTATGAAAGAAGGAACTGTGAAAACGAGGAGAAGAAGGAAGGAAATTCAGCTTCTGGTTGCTTCGATACAGAAATGTGTGAGAAAAGGGGGCAGGTGAGTACGTAACCCCGTACCTGCGCACAAAGTGAATACCACCTGACCGCCAAGTTACTGCCAGCCGAGTACGCGTAGGCGGACGTGCCTAACGAAGGTCCATATGGTGGCAGGTGTAGTAGACCGTCCTCTCAGACCTAGCCCGCTCCAGCACTCCGGGAAGCTGCGAATTGCCAACGGTGGGAGCATTCTAGTAACTTCTCTTCCTACCCACCTCTGCCCACAACGGACAACCTTCCTTCTCGAAGGTGAGGCTTCGACTTCCCGTTCCCTAGTGCCTCCTGCTCCTAACACTTCCTGCTCCCCAGTTTACTGGAACAGAACTTTTGATCTCGGGCATTTGTTGACGAGAAGGATCACCACCTTCGACTTCTTGTCTGAATATCCAGAGTTCCGGCTGGGACTTGAAGGGTAAGACACCTACCATCTACCATCTGAACTGCATCTCTAACTACTTAGCGACGAGAGTCCTTCTAACGGGTTGATAGATGGAATCCACTCGACGGGAACGAGGGCTTCGAAGCTTGCCTCTCAAAGGGCAAGCTTCGAAACAGCGAGGGGCGGGGATCGGCGAGCAAGCCGATTGCCTCGCCCCGTCCCTCACTTCACTTCTCCACAACATCACTATCGCCAATATTCGCGTCAATACTTCATTTTCCGCAGGCAAATATCAACGTGATTCTGAAGGGCTATCGCCCCTTTTCGAAGCCTACATAGACCTAGAAGGTCTTTCGGGAGCCCGAGAGGGCGATTTGAGCCAGTGTTGAGGTATGCAAGGACCCACGCCACTTCCGGCCTATGCTAACAAGCCATCTGCCATCCAGAGAGCAAAGCTCCTCCTAGCCCGGCCATTTACCCCAACACCGCCTCTCTGGGTCCTTACCCAGTATCACCAGCACGATCTCCGCCAACTCCTCATCCTCAAGCCCTTCACGACCCTCCCTCGGCCCATTGCCTCTGTTGTCAGAGACATCCGGTACTTCTGGTTCTTTGATGGCTTGGAAATTGCCAACTCCTTGTGCAGTATCAAGCTCAGAGATGCTACACTCGCAAATTTGCTGGGCATCCCGGCACTTCTTCCTTTCCTGCGGGCAGTGTACCGAAGCAAGAAGTCATGGCAGCTGGACACGTTGAAGTGAAGATCGCCAAGCAGATTCCCGTCTTTATGGACTGTGATAATCTATTACATTTCAAGGGTTTGGTTGACTGCATTAGCCAAAACCTGAATGATGACCAGACCAAGGTTCGAACCGTGACCAGTCTCGCTATCGCCGCGCTGACCGAGGCATCTAATAGACATATAAATATGGACATTGTGATCAGTCATGATCGCAATGGCACAAGAGCAACAATGAGCTGCTTTTGGGCTCATGTTAAGTTCCGAGGTGATGCGCATGCCGGTCTTTGGGGAGGTAGATATCCTCGCCGGCGGCATCAGCCTCCCGCCGGGTATGATAGCCAGAAATACCAGTTCAAATTCTCGCTAATTAGCTTGCCCGAGGCGTCAGCCTTACAGCTACAACGCAGAGAATGCGGGGAGGAGGACCACACGGAGAATGGAAGTTCGTTCAGAAGCAAACCGAGATCGGCTACAATCAGTACCGCTTCTTCACGGCGCCCTCAGACATCCGCGCTCGCCAAGCCGGTCAATAACGACCAGGCCAACCCCTACATGCACTACAACACGGTGCCCGGCGGCAAGGTCACTTCGTACAATGCGGCTGTGGGAGTTGGAAGAGGGCGACGGCGACGGTGACGATGAAGGGATCGAATACGGCGGCGGACGACCAAGGCAGGAAGCCAAAACCGCCCGCCTCTCCAGCACGATGCCCGACCACCCCCCCTCAAATCCTTTACCTTCCTCCGGGGCCATGGTTCCCTCCCCCTGAAAGCCAGACATTGTTCCGACCGGAATCTCCGAACGAACGAGGCGTGGCCAGCAGGCGCGGAGCGTCGCGAACATCTCACTGCGACCAACAACACACAGCAGAAGCTACAGAGAGGGCCAAAGCTCCTTTGAATAACCATCGTGGACGGCGAGGATGTCACGTCGACGGCTCCGGTCACCGACGTGACGGACTTATGCAGCATGATCGTTGATATTGAAGCTGCTCAGTTTCAGTATGATTTTGAAGGAATACTGCCACAGGGATAGTCCAGACAAACTCTCCCCTTTTCAAGGTTGGGCATTACAAAAAGAATAGCAGTATTTGGTTTTATCTGGCATTAGAAGCTGGAAAGAATCAACCACGACTGGTTTTGCAAATCAGTACTTTGTAGGACTACTTGATTCTCGAATAGATGGTCATGGAACTTCCCTTCACTTTTCATCCCAAAGAAGAGAACGATGGCTCCCATTTCGGTAATAGAAACCGGAATGGGAGCTAGACGCAGTGGATTTGCCTCCCGACGGCCTAAGGGCTCAAGCTCCCGAGGGAGCCCGAACAATCAATGCTTGCTGGTTGTCTGGCTCGCCCCGAGTAGACGCAAGGAGATGGCGTTGCGGATTCTGTGACGCCCATCTGAGGCCGCGGTAGAAGCGGCTGGATGGTGCCCGCGGTAAAGCAGTATAGGTCCATTCGGTGGGTTGTGGCTTTTTGCAATTAAAGAATTCATTTCCCCGGTTAGCCGCTCTGGCGAGGTGTACTCAAATATTTAATACAAAGACAGTTTCGTCATGATTCATTTTTTGTCCGGGGAGCTACCACGTCAGAGTGCACGAATTACAATAAAAGTTTCCTTATCGCCTTTTAACATTCTTGTTACAGTATTTGATGATGGCTCGATTATCGTTCGAGGCAGCATGTTTAGGTTATATTGATGGGCATGATATGTAACAATGGAAAAATAGACGAATTCTAGGGAAAACCAACATGCTTGAAAGTCAGTACCAGGGTTTCGCCACTGTCTTTGCGTCCAACATGAAGACCTTTTGAACCTTCCTATATCAGGTAATCTAAACGGAAGATATGTAGTGACCACAGCTCGTTGACCAACGTCTTGGTGTTTCTCAGGGGCTTTCTACAGCGTTTGGGCGGTGCAGGGAACAACAAATGGATTATTTGATTTCGTAGTAGATATCGTTCCTGTACTACTGTCAGGTCTGGTGATTTGCTATAACTATCCCGTGGCCTTGTTTCCATGTGGTAGGGTTGGATGCCATATCTAGACATGGGTGGAAGATGGACGTAAAATTCGGCAAGGAGACATTGCAAAAGACCACTTGTGTCAATTCCTGTCGTGAGATTCGAAGAACAAATATATATATATACAAGTCTATGCCGCCATGTCTAGTTTAGGTATGCAAATTCTGTTCATCAAAAAACAATAAAACTCATCATGACTTCTCAGTAATAGACTGAGGTAACGGTGGCCTACTCCCCGGCTCTACGTGGTTGGAAGCTCCCACCTGGTTGCTCCTGCCGTCCCAGATGCCCCCCCACGGCTGGTTGCCGCTGAACTCGGCGAGGCGGGCGGAAATGTCCCGCGACCGTTTGCTCTCACCCGTTTCGTCGCTGCCTCCGTCTTCCGCCGTCGCGGCCGGATCCACTTCTGCGCCTTCCTGATCGACGTGGGCGCACGAGTGGAGCCAGCCTTCACGCCGCCCGTCGCACGCCGTCATCCTCCGGCCGGTGAACCAGGAGTCTGGAGGGGTCTCGGGTGCTTCCTCACCATCTTCTCTCGGCTCTCCTGGAATGTTATGGCGGCCGGAGAGGATGGCGAGCTCCATGTCGAAGTTGGTGTGTGCTGAGGCTTTGGTCGGTCTCCGCGGCATAGTTCTGGAGCCTACGGAGGAGGTCGCCGGAGGCCACTTCGGTTCTATGGACAAGGTCGTACCCAGCCAGTTCCAAGCCAGTCTTTTGGTCGGATTGTCTTCGTCGCCAATTGGTCTTCGAAAGCCAGTACGGGGCGAATTTCGGCTCAGAGCGGGATGTCGGTGGTGCTCAATGAGTATATTGAGAGCAGGAAGACACGAGCATGTAAGGCCGATGGTGAGTTCGAGGATCCTAGAGGGTTTGGACAAGTTAGGCCAATTGCAATAATTGCGTTGAGAATCACAGACTTACGTCAGTATATCGAGTAGCATGAAATCCGACGCAACGTCCTTTGATTCGAGATATTTTATGAGCTTTATCAACCGATAAATCGTGACAGCGGCGGCAGTGCCGCCTGCCCCCAGTAGGAGAATCATCTTGATCTTCTTCCGCCAATTGATTCGCATTTTCCATGTACTGGGAATCGGTATGAAGAAAATCAACGAATCGGTGGCGATTGCGAATGCGACGTCGACGACTAAGATGATTCGAAGATCCAAGCATTCACCTGGGACGGTTGGATCCCAGAAGGCGCTTGGCGGGCCACAGAGGCCGATTTTGAGGCCCAATATCGGGATATAGGCGATGAAGAGCGCAAGGATGAAGTAGTATATCCCGCGGGCGAGCCTTGTGTTGACGGCGAAGACGCGTGCGAGGAGGAGGAGAAGAGTAACCTTCGTGAAGAATGCGGCCGGCTCGTAGAGGATGGATGTAATATATAGCCACTGTTTTTGTTAACTAAGAGAGATTGTTTGAGGTAGAAATTCCACTTACCTCAAGCATGGAAGCATACTCATCCACTGATATATCCCAGGAATGATGACCCAAGCCATGACGGATCACTGCGTTGTGTCAGCCAACCGGAGCATTCGGAAACGGGGTTGCGTTGGCGTACTCATTGCAGAAGATGCGCTTATTACGATCAGCAAGGACTGCGAGGGTCAGCATTATCGTCTTCGATGTCTCACGTGGTTTGGAATGTACAAACCCATGATATTAGGCATGTCACTGTTGATATGCATGTTAGCTCCCAATGTGATCTTGACTCGTGCGTTGGAGTAGGAACAGGGACGTACAATCTTCTAGCAGAAACCGCCGCGTAATGCGCAACTTGACATAGAATCGTACCGCAAACAGTATCGTTGACACGGCCAGACACACAACGAGAGTCGAGACTCCTGCGACGCGACCGGCATCAGGCGGATTCTTGAGGTTCGCGACGACGCCAGCTGGTGGAGGGAATGCACCAGGGTATTTGCTCGGATCACCGCCATTGAAGCCCGATACCGCGCGCGAGACCAGGCTGGAAAGTGGCATAATATCCTCTACGGGAGAGGCCAGTCGATTGAAACGTGTGCTCGAGACCGTGTCGCAGGCTCTTGGAGGTTGTGCGGAGGAGCAGGATGTCGAACAGTTGAAGGCCCAGCATCGAGCCAAGCCATGGCGAGCAAGGGAGGCACGCAGGGAGGGTGGCAGACCTCAAAAATAATGAATGAAAAGGAACAAAGGAGATCAATCAAATACCAGTCGTTCTGGGTTCGTCGGGACCGCCTACCGGCTCATGATATAGTAGACCAAGCCATGGGGGGCGGTTGGGCCAATCCGGGGAAGCGGATTTGCGCCTAGATCCAAAGAGAGTTTGAACGGCTCTGGGACTTGACCAAGCCTGGCGTTACACTTTGGGGACGCCAACTGTCGGTATATCGGCTGGCAAATCATCAGTGGGGTAATCTCTCCGCTCTCTCGGGAATAAAGGAGTTGAGAGTGCTGTCAAACCGGTCTTAGGGACAGCCCGGCACCCGTTCTTCCCATCCACTGACGGCATGAGCTCAAGGAGGCCGATATCCTGCGGGGATTTTAAAGCGCGCTTGCTCGCGGCTGAGCCTGACCAAGCCAGGTCAAACGCCTTATGGCTGGCTGAGATCTGCCACACCCTACAACAATGCACCAGCTGCCGTTTTACATTCCAGCAGAGGTTCCAGGGATTGGGATCGGCCCTGGATAGGAAAAGCGCGCTATCTTGTTGGATCTCGACCCGACGTGGGCTGCGCCGGCACATGACGGGCTCCGCTGAAGCTGGCTAGAAGCTTTTCGTGCCATTTAGGTGGCTGTGTCAGTTGCGTACGGCGATCTCCCGTTTGTCCGCGATAGCCGTAGCACCTAAGTTTCTCGATGCTTCGCATTCCACAAAGTAAGGAATGATGTGTATCAAATAGGGGCAAGCCACCGGGACTTTCCGAGGTGCCAGTATTAGTTGAATGGGAACGTGACATTTTCCAGACGGGTTCGAGTTCATTCTTAATGAAAAGAGGCGGCATACTAGCCTTATTTTAGGTGTCATGCACCCCGTAACTGTAATCTTGCTTGGATCGGCCGGGCCGTGAGATAGGTATTTCCCCAGCTGTAGGTAATTGATTAGCTTCGATTTTCTTATTCCATGATAACCTAGATGGGAAATTTTGCTAGGTATGGTACTGACACATAAAAGTCGAGTTTGTTCTCGTCTCGGCCACTGGGTTTACCCCTATCCGCAGACCCGAAGATAAGGATGGGGGCATGCCATGGGTCTCAACGCTGGTGTCTCCCTTCTGGAAAACATAATGTGAATTCAACACGATGGCACTTGGCCCTGTTGGGCGTCGACGGGTGCCTCATGCAACAATTGATGTCCAAGAATGATTCTTGTTCGGGGAACCCAGCCCTATCACTAGTCTTTGGGTCCATTTGAAAGCTGACATGCCTTATGGATGAAGGACCGACAAGAACCACATTGACGCCGAGCTGAAAAGTCAGTTAATTTGGACAAGAGTGATGTAAGTGCCATTGAGAATCGTTGCGTCTGGCCAAAACTGTCAGAGGTGGCCTAAGTTGGAGAAGTTGCGGCTGGCCAGAGTAGAGATCTTCCTGTATCGAGTGTTTCTATCCATGCTGGCGAGCAATGGAGACTTTCATTACCATGTAATTGAAAGCCTCACGGTTCCACCAACGTATAAATTGCCTCTTGACCGATAAAATTGGGGAAAGGTAATCGCCAGCAAGTCCAGCAAATCGTGATCCGGACCTAGAGCATCCGCTCGGCGTGACGATACCGGTGGAATCATGGAAGGTCTGACATTGACTCTGGTTTGCTCGTAGAAAAAACTCGCTTCGATCGTTTGGGTTTCGTCGACGAAGTGGCCCGGCCACGAGGGTTCCTTGCAGGCATTGTGTTAGCGAGGACGGGGTTTGGTGACCACTATATTCCAACCTTTGTTTACCCTGAATTTCTCAAAGCATAGGTGATAGATCGTAGAGACCGAATATGGGAACTAGACAAGGGATCGACGATGTGAGGGAGCAGCCTGCAATGAAGTGGGCGAAGGTAATCCATTCGAGCGTTGCGCGCGACTAGACTATTGGTATCGAGGTACAAAGTACTTCTTCCCTCCCACTGGCGACTCCTCTAAATGAGTCACGTGCAAGTTTGTGGTCAACAATGCCAGCTCCCTTCAGTAATAGGCTACATATCTCGTCTGCAAGGTCTACTTGACGCTGAATATACAAGCAAGAATCAAAATTGGATCTCCTATCGGAGATGACATGCCTCGATGGCCTTGGATGAGCTGGCCAAAGTCTATGGCCTGAGCTAAAATCAAACTCCGTCATCACGGCAAAGGCATTCAAGGGAGACCAACAAATTACAGAACTCATACATTTGATTGATTTATCTGACATCTAGAAGCAACTGACTGATTTCGATCTGTGCCATTCCTTTCCTGGCACTCCTTATGCAAATAGCAAAATGGCCCTGAACGCCATAACAAAAGCCTAGCATGGCTAGACACATCTGCAAGCAATGAAAATCAAATAACCCCCCTAAAAGAAACGACACACTGAAGTTGAAGAGAGAAGAAAAAAAGCCCTTAATGGCGGGAAGGGCTCAACTCATCCAGAATCTGCTGGATGCGGCGCCAGTAATCAGGCATTCCATAGCCGGTGATCCAGTAGTTGTCATTCCAATCCTGCCCGAGAATGAACATGCCCTTCTTCGAAACCCGATGTTCGTTCCAAAACCCCTTATGGTGATAGACACATGTTCCGGGAGGGTTGCGGCGTGTTGGGCTGTCGTCTCCTGTTCGGAAGACGGCAGGTAGAAAGTTGGCCGCGCGGCAGAAGTTCAGCTTGGTGAGGTTGCCGGCAGGGTAAAGGACGGCATTGGGTGGTCCACTAAACAACGTCATCCCATTGCCCGAGTCCGACTGCTGCTTGAGCTTACTAAGAAGTGCCACGACTCTCCTCTGGTCTGTCTGCGTTTGTAGAGATCTTCGATGCGCCAGGGCAACCTCTCCCATTGAGCCTGTGGCAGTGTCGACGTCCAAGAGGGTCGTGGTAACCCACGCCATGTTCTGGATATAGACGCCACCCTTATCGATGTAGTCTGGCAGCCGGCTTCTAAGATCAAAGGCGCCAAACACAGTGACGGGGCGAGGTGTTGGTTCGCAGAGAGCGGCCGTGTGGACGAACAAGGCGAGGATAACGTCGCTTTCACTCACCCAGAGCTTATCTGGGTGGCCTGGATTGGCCCGTTGGATCTCAAAGAGAGCTTGGTTTCGAAGCTTCTGAACCGCACGCTTTGGAAGATACACTGTGCGGTTGACTGGTTTTTGTGTACTGAAAGAAATCTTCAATTGGTCCCAGAGCACATTGTAGGCGAGACGCAAGGTAGTGAATCCTCTGAGTAGGCAGTTCCCATCGGAGTCTATCTGGTCACGGGCCAATGCAGATCCACTGGCTCGTGCGAGGGGATCGTCATATGCTCCGAAAATAGGGGGCACGGCGTTCTCGCGGCCGGCTAGCATATTTGACCAGGAGATGACGAATGTCTGGAGCGAAATGCCATCCATCACGACATGAGGCCAGGCGAGAGACACGAGAGTGGCATCAGAGAAGCAAATAACATGAAGTGCCATGATCGGGACATCGCCACTGAGGTAGGCAGAAAAGTCCTTTGGGACATTGGGGCTTGCTGAGAAGTCACGGAAGTGGTCCGCACCCTCCTGGATGGAGCCGCGCTCGCCAGTAGGTTGAGGAAGTAAAGATCCGAGGGGATGCTCTCTAAGCTTGGATCGGATCACCTGATGCGAGTAGGCGACACTTTGGTAGTCAGGAGTAACGGTCTTTGGAACGTGAACCTCGAGTGTGCGTCGCCCTTTAAACGTGTTGGTTCGAAGTCTTCCACCAAACTTGCGCCAATCTCCGTACTCGAGAAGACGACGGAGCGCTGCGTGGAGCAACTGAGCGTCAAGCACGTCATTGAAGTGCCAGGTGTATGTGTACGTGTCCTGGAAGCCGGGATGTTTGTCGAGGAAGTGAAGAGGATAGACCTCGTGCTCAGCATCCGGGCCGACTCTTTCGGATGAACCTTCCTCAACGAGGTGATCGATATTGATTGTAGGTTGCATCTTGATGGAAGGAGACAAATACTCCTAGGTGTGGTGAAGAGAATGAGGCACACGTGAAGAGATGCAAGTTGCCAAGTGGTCTTGGATGGAGAAAGTTGCATTAAAGATTGGGAAACGAAACGAAGTGTCACGTCTTTTCTTGATGACTGAGTGCGTTCGTCAGACCTAACTCGCCATGTTAAGATTGGGATGTTTGTCTCACATCGAACACCACACAAACGGCTCACCTCGTTGGTCCCTTCCTTGTAGGGATCAGCACCGGCGGGTGCTTCACTTCTGCAAGCAACGGCAAACGGGTGGGAACTTGAACTTAAATGTCGAAAGCGTGCTGATTGTGTCACCTTGAGGAATGAAGGAACTAGGATGTGGGAAAGGGAGCCAGAAGCGTTCTGAAGTGGGTTGTTTATGTCTCAGACATTCTTCTGCAGGTGCAAAATCCAAAGGCAGCTTGGGGGAGGGTGAGTCACACGTTTTGAGGGTAGAAGCCCCTCGTCGGATGCGGTAGACACCTGGCCAGGCTGCAGAAGACGCGAGGCGTGTATTGTGCCCTCGGCAACTATTGTTTTTCCACCTTCCTGCTGCTGGTGCACCCAGCTCTGTTGACAGCTGCCGCCTGGGCTCACGTGATTCTATATGATTCTATGCGAGCAGGCAGGTACCTGCCCAGTTTCTCGGCAAGTAGCACCTACCTAGGTACCAGGTGTGTATGGTCAAGGTCTAGGAAGTAAAGGGGGCGTGGATAGATGAAGGTTGTACCTGAGACAACATGGTATTCGCATTCCTCTGGCTTGGTACGAACTGACCACACATAAGTGCACTGAATATGTTCAATTTTATTGATTCCAAGACCCTGGCCAAGAATACTTGCTAGTGGTATCTACTAGTGACCATACAAGACATCATTGCACGTGGCCGCGAGATCTTCCAGGCCCGAGACTGTGGAAATCTGAACTAGCCGCCCATCAGACCAACGGAGTGCATTCGTCTAAGTAGGCAAATATCTAATGTAAACAATGAATTGGGGGATCTAAGTTCTTCTCCGGCGAACTGCACCGCCCTACGATTAATCTGTCACCTCAACGAACGGCTGGAAAAGGCTGTAGCTCTAAAAACGGCCTTGAAATTTGAATATTTCTTTGGAATAGAGATCGATCTATAATTTAAAGTGCATCCAAAACCTGTCCGTGCCTATCCAAAAATCTTATTGAGTGCATGGTGATGAAGTGGTCATATACTTGCTCGTAGCTTCACAGCATCTGCCCCGTACAAGATATCTATCTGCTGGAACTTCCATAAGCTTTGCTCGCCTAATGCCTCATTGCCTTCACGCTGGGAATAACCATCGCTGCACCATATCTAAATTCAATGAGCATGTGTGCTCTGAATCAATATCCATGGTCCCTACCTATTAAAGCAACCCGGAATACTTCCTCCTTCTGAGTAACAGAAGAAACGACCACGTGATTTGTATGGCATACAGAATGGAAGTACTAGCTGATACAATGAGGAAAAGGGATTTCCATAAGGGCTCTGGTGTAAGGTCGGTGCATCTAAGTGCCTAAGAGGGCCTGTAGGGGAAGTGTACGTGATGCCTAGACCCATTACACGGTCAGTCCTCTTCGTGTATCTACCATAAGTACTCCTGCAGGTACTTCTCACCCCATTCTCACCTTGTAAGCTTTGTTTTCCTACGTGTTGGAGGCCCCCTTCGCGTTGCAAGTCTCTTCTTTTTTTCTCTGGTCCCTCTTCCCGCCTCTCTCCCCTGTTCACCCTCTCTTTCCCCTCTTGAGCCTCCCATCCTTTCCAGCCCCCCCAGCAAGCACCATGGCTCTCACAAACGAGATCTGGACTCGGGTGCTTCAGTATCTGAGAGATACTGAAGATGGCCGAAAAGATCTATGTGCTGTCGCTCGGGTCTCAGAGGGCCTCAACGCGCTCGCTTGGCCAATCTTGTACAAGAACATTGCCTACCCTGTCGACTCCCTGATCCTTCTCAACACCCTGGTGAAAATGCCCTTCATAACCGACCTTATACGCTCTGTGGAGTTGACCGACTCCCGTCCGGCGGGGTATGTCCCCCAGGCAGACCAACTGGCAGACATGACAGTCCGAGGCCTGCAGGTTCCCCCCAAGCTCAAGGCCCGTCTCCAAAGCGTCGTTGACGAGTTCTCTTCCGGTGTATACAACGGCATCCCGACGCTGATCCTGAGCCAAACACGCAAGGTCGAGTGTGTTACCTTGAAGCTGGAAGATCCCTGCCCGGACCTGATGTGGCTCATCAGCGGGTCGGAGGACATCGAGCTGCGCTGGGAGCCAGGCCAACGCTTCCTGTTTGAAGTAGAGAAGCTGGAGAAAGACGTGGAACTCTCAAAGCGGTTCGAGCTCCCGGACCTCATCCCTCCCGAGGCATCAATGCCGTCGGCCATAGACCTGGCTCAGTACGGCCCCAGAGCTTACAAGCACTACGGCCTGCCATTCTTGACGGAACTCACCCTCATCCACCCCAACGACGGCCCAAAGATGAGCGCCTACCACCTTGTTCCCCTGATGGCACACCGGGGCTTGCAAGTCCTCTCCTTCCAGGGCGTCTCCTACGAAGCAGCCGACGTAGGCTCCATGATGACCACGCCCGTCCAGTCCAACCTCCACACCTTCAGACTCTCAGACGCCCTTTTTAACGGAACGGGCCTCAAGGACATCTTCTTCCGCTTCCCTTACCTCCGGACCCTCGAGCTGAGCTCGGGCAGCCCCAACAAGGCCGACCCCGCGGCCCGGCACCCCGTCAACTTCCGCGAACTCGGCGACGTGTTGACCGCTGTGGGCAAGCACCTGTACACGCTCCACCTCGACACGAGAGCGTTCCGAAGGGAGCCCTCCGTATTTTGGCTCATGTACCTGAACCGGCTCTTCTGCGTCAAGAAGCTGGTCATCAGCACCGACTGCCTGCGCAACTACGACCCCTTTGTGCCCAAGGATGAGATGCGGCGGATGCTGACTCACGATCTGCCCCTCCGGCTGCAGGAACTGGAGCTCCTGGAGGTGGATATTGGGAATTACATCGATCAAGATTGATTCTTTCCTTTCCCTGTGCGAGAAGAATGTGTTTGGTGTTTGAGGAGTTCGGAATGCATACTTCGTTGGTTGATCATGGTCGCATATCAACTGCTCACTCTGGCGATATTACCTTTGCTCTGATTTCAAAATGTGTTCTCCTGTTTCGGTAGTCCAGCCCGTCGACGAAAGACTGGGGCGGACATATTCCTTCAAGACAAGAACGGTTTACATGGTCTGATATGGGAAGACCGCGCTCGACTTGAGATATCCAAATACCTGTATCAGCTATCACAAGTATTGTGGGACATTTCATCCACTTCTCCGGACATCCAAAGTCTTGAGTTCATCTCGAGGAGGATAGAGAAGCTTGGCGGCACCAAGGGTGGAATAAGTTCCAAATGTATTAGCTATTAGATAGCAAAAAGATGCTTTTCATCATCTCGTGAAAATAAGTGATCCAAAACTCCAGTCCGTAACACCTCGCCATCATGACGTTTTATCCTTTATACCCAATGTTTGTATCTCACAGAGACATTTTAAAAAAACAACTAATCGCTACCATGCCCTGTTTCCTGCAGAGAACATACATGCTAAGCCACTTCTCTGAAGAGGCAAACCTTTAGTTTTTATCAAAACAATTCCTAGTATTCTTGCTTAAGGCAGAAAGTCGTAGTTCTCCGGATGGTGAACAATTCCCACGGCCGGCTCCTTCGTGATCGCCGCCATGTCTGGGTTCCAGGCCGAGAATCGCTTGCTAGCTCTCGAGTCGTCAGGGATAGGCTGGTAAGAGCTGTACCTGGAAGAGAATCCAGGCGAGTAGCTGTACGCCGGGAGGATCTCCGTCTCCGAATTCCTGGACGAGGGGCGAGAATTGTCCCCAGGGTTAAGGAAAGCGCCCGTAGGCCCTTGAGAGAAGGGATTCAAAGCAGATGGGACCGCCGGGGGGTTTTGGGGAGCAAGACTCGGGCTCAGACGAGGTGGGCTCGGTGTAAACGTCTGGGGTGCACCGGCATAAGGGGCAGCATAGATAGCCGCGGGGGCATCGAGCTCGGCGGGGATCTGGCCTGGCGATGATGTCTGACGACCACGGCCACCGGGAGAGCTAGTTGTCGAGTCGGGGATGCCGTAGGACCACATTGGGGGAGTGTACACCCCTGTGTTGGTGTTGAGTGGTCGAGGTGCATCGAGGGGGGCGAAGATGTGCGATTTGGGTCGCTCGGGCTGCTCGAATTGGAACTCATCCTCGCTATAATTTTACCACTGGTCAGCTAAAATCCCCAATCCTTTGGACAGAGATCCTAATCATACCTAGCCGGCTGCCTTCCTCTGCTCTGTGGGTTGGAAAAGAGGTCCCCCGGGGTGGAGTCTGCTTGCTTGTGCTCCGATTTGCTGCCTGAGCGCATAGGCGGCTGTGAAGAAGATCGGACATGCTTGGCTTGCGTAGGCGGCCTCAATTGAGATGGGAGTTCGGCTGTGTCTCTGATCTTTTCCGGCAGGGGAGGCTCCCACTGAGATTTTCCGGTGGCTGTGTTGAGGTAGTAGCTGGGATCACAATGTCAGTAACCTAGCATTACAATTGGCGAAGGAAGAGTGAATGGCATACAAGTGGTGGTGCTCTTCGCTCCAGTGAGAGGTCCATCCAGCGGGAAGTGGGCTTTCTGTTGGAGCATTGACATCGTGGCCGGGAGTAGGCACAGGCTGCTGCTGGGAGGCTTGTTCGGGTCGCTTCCATTGCGTGAGGTTGGTCTCGATATTCACGAAGTACCTACAAGAGCCCACGTTAGCATCTGAGGAACCATGAGGAACAGGCGGGGGGAAGCATACCATCGCTGGTGCGTCTCGCTCCAACCGACCGACCAGCCCTGGGGCGCCTCCGGAGGCGCTGGTCGCGATGCAAGTGTGGCTGCTGGCTGAGAATCCATGATGTGCGAGGATAAAAGGGTGGTGATGCAGATTACGACGAAAAGTGGCAAGTTGGGAGTAGGATGACGATAGCGAGGGGTCGATCAAACGAGCGGCGATGGACATGTTTAAACATTTCGATCCGAATAGCGGCATGGGGCGTGGAAACCGCTTGGGCCATATGATGTATGCAGACACACCACCAACACACGCGGCATCCATGGATGCCGTGGATCCGCTGGCTCGGGTTCTGAGTTCAGGCCAGGAGAAAGAGCCGTTGCTTGGGCATAAGCGTCGCCCAAGCCACACTCAGCGTCCGCAGTCAGCAGGAGTGTGGCCAATCCCAGCCGCGAGAGCCACAGAGACACTCAGCACTCCCTGTAAGCTCACTGTTGAGCCGGCTGTAGGGGCTGACGTGCATTGACAACCGTCTGAGGTGATTATTGGAGGCCTGCGTCAGGGCTATTGACCGACTTTCCCCATCAACCTGCTGCGGCATCCACCCATTCGTCACCCGTCGACGAGGACACTTCCATCATCCCCACAGGCAAGACAGGACAAGACCCTCGTTGACGCTACAGCACGTAGCCTCTCGGCAGCACCGCTAGTCGCTTGTTTGAGGCGCTGCTGAGCCCTAGTTGTGCTAATTATGGGTGGTGGCTGCAGTCTTGTCTGACAGCCACACTGACCATTGGACGCCTCAAATCAGCTGAATGCAAGCTACACATTGCTTCTGTTGCTGCTATATTGCTGGTGGTGCAGGTAGCTTGCTCATATTTCTGCCCAAGGAGCGGAAAGTGATTAGGCTCTCTCTCCCCAGCCCTCCTGTCGCAATTCTCGGTGCCGACATAGCCCTACCAGACAGACAGACCAATTGCAAATGGCGATCACGAAGCTGACATGTCCCGCCATTGGGTAGCGTGCGGGCCGGCGGTTTAGGACAGTCATCACCCATGTTATACGACATTCACGCTCCTTGGCTCTCCAACCATCTTCCGTTCGCAGGCGTTCGTCGCCGATCAATGCTGTGCCTCAGCAAAGCCGCTTACTTGGATCCCAAAGCCAAATTATACATCTTCGTATTTGCCAGCGTGCGTACGTGAGGTTCTATGGTCTTTTTGCGCGACCGTGGTGATTGTTGACGTGGCCCAACAAATCAACTGCCACACGTACCAACAGAGGGCTGATCTTCGCTACTTCAGATGAGTGAATGCATGCATTTCCGAGTTGCCGGATCCATCGATCGCTCCAATGCTACGTTTCTTCTCATTCTTATTTTTATAAGCCGCTACATAGGTCTGTAAATAAAAATTCCCCTAGCCACAGCCATCAAGCGAGCCGTAACGTCCCGCCGATAATCGAAAGCCGGCCGGATGGCTTAGCAATAAAATACAGGGGGCGCTGTCAGCAAAAACGAGCCAAGTGTGTCCTGAAGCTGCGATCCTGGTAATAATAAAGGCCGCAGCAGACTCTCCACGAGGTGCGAGCAGATTCTACCTTTTTGGGAATGTGGCCCGCAACCAGACATGCTGTCCATACCCCTGAATATCAGACTTGACACGACGGCCTGGCAGATACGAACGAGAACACGAAGCGAACAACTCATTCCTGCGCGGGTTCAATTGTAAAAAACATCTCGTCGTCATCAAGTCCCTCAAGCTGCCACCAGCAAGCCCCTCACATCACTGTAAAATGTCCAAGTAAATACAACCAATTTCCAAAATGAGGTGGAATGACGCCTGGGACCACCCATTAAACTCCCTGATGCTGATGCCCTGCCATGTAATACTCGATCGCCCCCAATGTCACTAGCAAGGACGGGGCGACAGCGTTCCCGTCCGGCCGGTCGCCACTCCGAAGGCAGATCGGGCAGCCGAATCCATTCAAGGATGTGAGTGGCAACAAGCACCAGCCACTGTAGACTGTATTTATCAATGCGAGTGACTGCATCGCCTTTACGTTGCCGGCCAGCCTTGGAGACAATCGCGGCCCTCGCGCGGGGACCTTCCGGCCTGAGCTGGTTCAGCTGCCCTCCGTGCGAAGCCAATCGAACGTATCCAAAAGCTCAAGATTGAAGTCTAGCTGGGTCTGAAACCCCTCCCACTCCATCTCCTTCGCCAGCCAGCCAGGCCCGTCGGATTCGACCCTCTCGGCGGCATTGAGGTGCTCGTTCAAGACTCGCTCTATGATGACCTTGCAATCCACGCACATGTCGCCGTTAGCTGCCGATGGATGGACCCAGTCGAGGAACCCGACGAGAAGGCTGAGCTTTTGCACTATGCTGGAGCGGGAGACACGCGGGTCGTTCGGGTGGGTGCCGTTGAAGGATGGCTGGAGGAGCTCCTGGCAGAGAATCCCTCCGGCGGGTACGGCGTACGCAATGACCTGGCGAAAAGATGGATGTCAGTCCTGAATAGGTTGCCTTTCGTTCCGAAGTACATGTTTGGAGAATGCAACTTACAAGCCACTCAAAGTGTTGGCTGGTCGCGGCGAAGCGATCCTTGTGCGTCCAGAACAGGAGCGCGACGGAAAGTAGATCAAAGCTAGTAAGAACGATATCTCCCATGTCGTGACTACTAGGAGACATGCGGAGAAGACGATCTGCGAAGAACAAATTCTGGAGATGCTCAAGCTTGATCATGAGTTGCGAATGTAGAACGGGGGTGGCGACCGATGAATCGGCAAGATTGCTCGGGTAGAAATGGAGGGCAGGCGGGAAGTCAGCGAAGACCGCGATCTGTTTCTCTCTTACGGCTCTGTGATTTGAAACTAATTAGCCAGGACGCATCGTTCTTCGTTGATAAGGGCCCTACGAACAGTATCTGGTCTCTTGGGATATCTTGATCGGGAACAAGGGCCATTTCGAGAAGCTCGTCGCGAACCACGGCACAGATATAACGAGCTCGGATCACAGTGGCTGAGTACACCGCACCGTCTGTGTTCCAGCCCTTGCTATCCAACGACGCCGCCGCACGGCAGATTGTTTCTTGGTCTAGCGATAAAACCTCATCCGGCAAGTCGAGCAGTAGGGATGTCGAGCAATACCGGCGGCTGATCAGGGGCGGGCGGCCAGTGAAGGCGACGGAGAGTTTATCCCCTGAGAACACCTGGGCGAAAAGCCGTCGTTTGTTCTCTGAGCAGGAGGACGGTCGGTACCCATCTGGGTTCTTCAAGACGTGGAGACCAAGGTAACTCAGCATAGATGCCGTCGCGCCGGTCACGTATGCGCAGGACAGATCTAACCGTGACAAGTGTTAGTCCTTTGCTATGGAGCTTGTTCTGGGTTTTTGTAACCTACTTGCGTCGCCATCGAAAATCGAAATAAGTGTTCCCTGCCGACGACTTATATCCAGTAAGAGATCATTCCCAGCAGAGAAATACTTCGACAGCTCAACACAATAAGTTAAGCAAGTCTGGGATGCCTCATGGTCAGGTCGATCATCAAGCCAGACAACACGGCGTGTACGCATGGCGTTGATGAGGTCTCCGACACGCTCAAGATGAGCCCACAGCAGTCCAAGCGATTCCCATCTCAAGTTCTGACCCGTGAACTGCTCGATATGATCGACGGCACTAGTATGGACGTCTGGTAGAGGAAGCGCAGTGTTAGCACACAAGAACTCAGCAACAGCTTCCAGTGTCGCCCTTTCGTCGTGCTTCGCGAGAGTTGCAAAGATCTCCGTGACAGACTCGCTGACACGGTCAACACCCAAATAAAAATGATCTTGAATTTTGCGAGGTGTCTTGTTGAAGGCCATGTGGGCATTGGACTGTCCAGGAAGACAGCTCAACACATACATTGCCATTTCCTGAAGGGGCAGCGGTAAGTCACTAAATCTCACTTCTCCTTCTGCGACCCTGGGGCCAGCTGTATGCTGAGTATAGTCCGGAGTTGAGCCATTGACCATGGAGAGGCTTTGCACTGTTTCTTCCAAGACGCTGCTGAAACTAGTAAACCCGAGATAGCCTCTTCTGACTGGGGCTCGGCGGCGTGGAGGGCGTCGGATACCGGGAGGAGCAACTTTGAACGAAGGTTTAGGTCTAGCTGATGCGGCCTGTTGAGCTGGAGATGTTGACACCGAGGAAGAAGGTAAGGCGCTCTCTGAATATACACACTTGCTACCACCTTGTCGCCCTCGAAGGCATCTCTTGCAGATGGGGCGCGTGTGGTCGCACGCAACCTTCCGTGCCCTACACGGATCGCAAGCCGCCGGTCGGCCGTTCGGACGACGGAAATGTCTCGGACCGCTCTGGTCCATGGTTTGATTCTAGCACAGTTAATTCTGGGATTGGTCCTAGATCAAGCTCAGGAGCGAATAAGGGAATGCAAGAAATGTATAACATTCGGAGTCGGAGTCGGAGTCGGCCCGGATTCAATTTGCTGGCTAAAGGTCAAGTGCCCCACCGGATCTGAGATCCGAGCATTTTCCGGTCCCGTGGATATCGCGCTACCCTATATCGGCTTGGAGATCTTCCCAGTTGCCTCGAATTCACGACTGCCTAGATTTACAACACTGTGATAAGAAGCAATCGACTCGATCATCCATCCATCCATCAGTCTTAAGGGATAACAGCACTTGCAGATACACTCTCTCAATACTCTACCATCATACACCAAACTCCTGAAGTTTGCTATCCGTTTATTTGATTCCAACAGTTGCAACACGGCACGGTGAATACTCCAGCGCGCTTGGGATTTCGCAACTCCTGAAATCCTGTGGATTGAAAAGTCTTCAAGAGTAAGTCTACAATACTTCCCGAGGTATTAATTATTAGAAAACCTCACTCGAGTCGGGCTTTAGATTAGGCTAACGGCAATAGATACTTCTCGCGCAGCATTCCTCAATGTTATCCTGATTACACTGCGAGTTTATCTCTCAATTACTACCATTATGCTCAATCTTCCATGTTTCAAACCCTTCGTACCCGATAAATGATCTCACTAATGAGCGAACCTCCGAAGATTGCTTTTCGATCGATCAACTGGCGCGTGAAGGAGGATGATTGATCAGTGAGACCACAGCCTCTTGATTTACCAGGAGGTCTGTAAAGAATTCCTGCATGTTGCAGAAGAAAGACTGCTATTTGCTGATTTCAGACTTGAAACCGAGGGAAATTTGGGGGATAAATTTCCTATAAAAGGTGAGGAGCCTAGTAGGTACCCCTTTTCCTCCCAATCCTCGGTAGCGGAAGTTCAATCTACTCGGCTTTCCGGCTTTCTCGCCATGTGTGTGGACGGCTATTCTGACATGGATCGATAGGCTAGTTTACGAAGACAGCACATGTACGAGAAGTCTAGCTGCCCAGAGGAATCTCCCCCCTTATCCCAGGACCGAAGCGAAGCACGCAAACAACGAGGGAGTGGATGAGCGTGCAAGGAAATGCGAGTGCATGGCATGATTTTATCTGCCACGAGGTGTATTGGAGCTAGGGGAAAAAGGCAGTGGGTGATCTTGCGACCATCGCCGTTGAGCTGTTGTTGAAGGATGTCATGTTCTTCACACAATACTCATTGTGTTGAGATGTCGGATTCTGACATCTTCCATTGCTGTTGAACTTTGTACTCTTTCTCTTACATATTCCTCAAGAGGTATCACGGATCTTGAAACACAGCGAGCATCACTGCACCGACGACGAATACAAGGTGGCCTCACAGGCGAATCGTCGACGAAGCGGACCACCACAACCTTCAACAGAAGCGATTCCGACGCCAGAAAATCCACCATGATAGACAAGCTATCGACATCGCCGGTTGGTTTAATAACGAACCGAGCCCAAGAGGAAAAAAGATAGAGACTACACTGGGGGTGTTGTAAGGACCAGAGAAAGCTCATCCCACGGGGCCCCTGATAGTGTGAGGAAGCCCCTGAGAAGGAGTGCTGGGCCCTCAGTCCTGATAACAGGCAACTCCCTTGGGTCAACTCTTTTCCCCTTAATAAGCCAATGCGAAGTTCGAACCGAGATGATTGAGAGTATGGCAATTTCCTGGCCCTTCTCAATCTATACTATTGACTGAGGTTGTCACTAGCTTTTAACTTGAATATTTCTGATTTCTCGACATCTGGCTAGGTTTCTTAATTATATCAAGGGGTTTGTTCGCTGCTTCTTGTTGAAGGATTTTGCTAATCTTTGAGCAAGGTCGGCTTGGTTTTGGGCTATTCAATCCAAAGTGGGAGAAGTGGGAAATCAATCACAATGGGAAGGTTAGTCACCAAAGAAACTTGTTGGATTTCTGATCTCGCACTCCTGTACTGTGGCAGCACGAGACAGCATGTTGGATTGCAAAATCTAAATATACAGGAGAACAGAACAAAGCCACCACAGCTGCGAATCAGAGCAACCATTCTTCCTAAACGGATGAGGATACCCCTTTCTAACGCCGGGCCTCAGATCTGGCCCAAGGTAGGGACAGGCAACCAACCACCCTTAAAAACCCAATTCTGACAAATTTTGGTTCAACAGGGCTGCGGACTCGTCCCTTTCACCGTCGCGTCTGTACTCGGGTACAAGATCAAGAAACTCGCACCTTTGCGTGAGGTGGCTAGGAAGGATGGAAAGCGTCAGCAATTGGTGGGCAAAAGCGTCCCTGAAGCCACGAATAGCACGTGGGATCAGGACGGCGTGGAATTCCAACGCCCTGCGGAAAAGATCGTCATAGAACCGCAAGGACTCATGCTCCAGATCTAATGGACCTGAATCGTACGGCAGGATGGAAAGCTCGGATCCGACAAAGAAGGAGGACAGGAATTCTTGGAAGGGATGCGTTACAATGGCTCGATTGGTGCCGAGAACCCCAGTCAGTTGCCCAGTTCTCTCGTCGCAAAGAAGATTATCGCAGGCTATGAAACGTTAACAAGATATAGACAAGGCGGGACCAAGTTATGTGACTTACAAAGACTGCCGTGGGTTAAAACCCTATGACCAGGGTTCTCAAGCGCCTGCACGAGACGAGGAATGCCATGGCGCACATAATTGAGGATACGGTCCCTCAAACCATGCAGTTCCCAACCCTCGATGATTCGACTCTCATCGGCAAGCTGGAGCCTATGGAGAGCCGAACAGGTCAACCAATCCTCGAGGGAGGCACACGGCTGTCGAGGCCCGATGGGGGCGGCCGAGCTACGGATCTGCGCCGTGTCTGTAAACGTCACAGAGCCCCACCCCGTAACGGAGTCCGGGAGACGCCATGACTGGAGCCTTTGGAGGACTCTAGCAATGTCATGAAATAGGACATCAACTTGGCGATTGCCCATCCGGTGGAATACAGATGAAACCCGGCGGCCAGGCATGGCTTGCTGCAACACAATGCCATACCTTCCCATCTGCGCGTACCCGTAGCAGTCTGGAGCGAGAGAACCCCAACCATTACCCAAAGCCTGGGACGCCAAGTTCATCGAAGCAGCTTGGGAAACGACGGTGCCGGTTCTCCGCGGTTGTGCTCCCTCCAGCCAAGTAACCAACGCTATCAGCTTCGTCATATTCCCTGGCATGGGTTTGCAACCAGCTTGGAGACCCCCCTCGCACCATTGCCGGTCAGGGGTCGGTCGGGCAAGGCGAATCTCGTACGTGAACTCGGCTGTACCAACAGCGCCATAGCCGATACGAGCAGAGAGACGAGTTTCTCGGATCTGCAATAAAAGAAGTATCATAATGGTTAGCAATAAATCTTAGAGAAAAGGTAGAATTTCAAGACGAATAGGATTAAAACTTTCTTACCTCCAAGCGGAAGAAAGTGTCCAGATATGTCTGGAGAAGGGAAACGATATTCCCATGAACTGGTGCACTGTCCATCTGTTCTTTGTATGGCGACGAAATAATTGTCAAGGACGATGGGAAATAATCTTGAAGAAGTTTGAGCCTATCTGAAGTAGATTTCTGGAAGTAATGGATGCAACTGATGGATGTCAAGCTTAGACTACAACCCAGGAGAAGAAGAGGACAGACAAGGTTTAAATAGGCAATTGAGGACTTTGACTCGTTGTGCATGGGAACCAGACGCATGGTGTCCGAAACAATCGTGATTAACCGTTCCCTTGCGATGTGAGGGAGAGTTTAGTGAATCAGAAACTGCTACACATGTCGAAAAGTACTCTAGGTATCTACATGTCAAGCCTAGATCAGATGGCGAGCTCCAGAGCTACATGAGGTGGCACATTGACAAGTGTATACTTGAGAGGCTTTCCCAACTGCACCCTCTGTGGTAGTGACTGGATGCCAGAAAGTGCCACAGGCTGCAACAAATGATGATTTCTGAGATCCATGAATCGGAGATCTGGGGAGTCAGCTGTGGGAAACGTGGGCCGGGATTCAAGGGCTCCTTGGCGCGGCGCGATGATTTGTAAAGTAGTAGCTTAGACGGACATTGAATCACTCTCCTTCTGATGAGTCGAAGATCCTTTGTGCATGATGATAATGTAGAGGATATGGTCGTAGTCGAGATACCAAAGTACGCCAAGGAAACACGCTGGCGGAATGCAGTAGGCGAACAAGCCCAGCTCTGGAGTAGCAGATGAACATTGGCCCTACAAAGGCAAAGTGCTCTTCTCGAAATCCATCTATACGAAGTATACGCTAATTAGACTTGGGTGTTTGAATACAGAAGCAATCGCTGACGTTCGAGAGCAATCGTGGTGGGCTGGCTTAGAGTTGGTGGGAGGGAACTGCTGTAATGCGCACACAAGTATCGGAGATGTCAGGGTCGAATTACAGCTACATTTTTACTGCAGATTTCAGTTTCCACGCATAATTGAGTGTGATCAATATGTCAATTTGTGTTTTGCCCAATGCGAACTCCCCTTTGTTCTCCCCCTCAGTTGCCCCCTTTTCCTCCTGTGCCCCTGTATCCACCACGCAAAATCCTCAGACCGCCATGCCTTTCCTCCATTTGATAATGAGCCCCCAGATAAAACGAAGACACCGAAATGTCAGAGACAAAAAATTCTTCAAAGCTTTTGAAAGTGAAAAAGTTGGGTCAGAATAGTTCAGTACCAATCATTCCATCAAAGATGATGTGACGGAGACTCATCTCGATAAAGTGAGACGGTCAAATGTCAGATTGTCAGGACATTTCATCACCCCCAACAGATGTGAATGCATGAATGCATCGCCACTCCGAACAGATACAATTGTATCATAAACACCCCCAAATGATTGACATGAATGCGCAAATGGCTCCTAGAGATTAGCAGAACAGAGGGGGAAACCCCCAAGCAGACGGATATTAGAGGGAATTGGGGAAGGGGGAAGGAATACTCACCCTGCGCCATTCTTGTTTTTTTGGTGGGAAAAAAGAATGGTAGAAAAAAACCCGCTGGGAGTTGCTGGAGAAATGAGAATGAGGATCGCACAAGATATCACAAGGAGGCAACTCACGTCAAAAATGCCCTGAATGCGGCCGAAAGGAAGAGCAGAGACGCAGATAAAAGTCATTGGTATGTATTCATTGTGTTGAGATGTTGGGTCTGCCATCTTCCATTTTTGTTTTTGACTGTGCGATGTCAAGTCGCTCGAACTCTCACACTCCGAGAAAGGTCATTGGAATTTGTCTGGCGAGAAAGTTAGCAGTGGACAGCCAGAGAGTGTCAGAGAGGATGCTTGCCTATCTAGAAACCCGATGCGGGTGGCCATTAGGCCTACACATAATGTTAGCATGAGATGGGGGAGTGTTCGCACTTCCCGTTCATCTTGGTTTGTTATATCTTGGTTTGTTATGTCTTGGTTTGTTATGGAGAGAAAGTGGTGAACAAGAACTCATTATCACTCTAGAGAGAATGTTAGTAAAAAGTGGGCAGGGTAGATACTTACATATTCCTCTTGATCTTTTTGGAGGGGAAGACAAGAGGCGAAACAAAAACCCCCTTCTGACCTGTTCGACGTTAGCAGAAAACGGGGGAAGGATCGCACTCAAATATTTCTCTTGATGTTTTGTGATGGGCAAGGCAGAAGATGAACAAAAATTCTTTTCCGACCTGTTCGAAGTTAGTAGAGGAGGGGAAAGGATGGTACTGACCGGTCTCTCTTGATCTTTTTGTAGGGGAAGACATGAGATAAACAAAAACCCCTTCCGATCTGTTCGAAGTTAGCAGAAGGAGGGAAGGGATGGTACTCACCTATTCCCCTTGATCTTTTTGGAAGGGAAGACAAAGAGGCGAAACAAAAACCCCTCGCCGGCCTGTTCGAAGTTAGCATAAGACGGGGAGAGGGGTTGGACTTACTGGCTACCTCTTGGTATTTTTTTGGCAGGGAAAAAGAGGCGAACAAAAACCCGCTTCGCCCTGTTCGAAGTTAGCATGCGACTGGGGATGAGTGGTGCGTACCTATGTTGCTCTTGGATCTTTTTTGGAAGGGAAAACAAGAGCTAAACAAAAACCCCGACTCACTCTGTTCGAAGTTAGCCTAAGACCGGGGAGGGGTGATACTTACCTGGGTTACTCTTGTTCTTTTTGGAAGGGAAGACAAGAGCTGAACAGAATCCCAGTTTCGCCCTGTTCGATGTTAGCAAAAAGCGGGGAGAGGAGTGCCACTGACCTGAGTTCCTCTTGGTTGATTCTTTTGGAGGGAAAACAACAAGAGGTGAACAAAAACCCACTGCTACTCTGTGCGATGTCAGCATGAGACCGGGGGAGAGAAGGCACTTACCTGTGTTGCTCTTGATCTTTTTGGAATGGAAGACAAGAGCTGAACAAAAACCCCTCGCCGGCCTGTTCGAAGTCAGCATAAAATGGGAGAGGAGCCTGACTTACATGAGTTCCCCTTGCTTGATTTTTTTGGGAGGGAAAACAGCAAGAGGTGAACAAAAACCCATTGCTACTCTACTCGATGTCAGCGAAGGTCAGGGAAGGGGTGAAACGTACCTGGCATCCCTCCTGATTGTTTTTTTTTGAGAGGGGAAAACAACAAGAGGTGAACAAAAACCCAGTTACCGATCTGTTCGACGTCAGCGAAGGGGGAGGGGTCACACTTACCCTGACGGGCCTCTTGGCTTTTTTGGAAGGGAAAACAAGAGGCGAACAAAAACCCGCTGCAGTGATGTTAGCACAAGTCATCTTCGAAGGACGTTACGTACCTGGTTTAAGACCCGTCGAGGGTTGGGGATTATGCCTACACGGGATGTTAGCATAAGACGGGGGGATATGGATGTACTTACCTGTGTTGCCCTTGATCTTTTTGGAAGGGAAGACAAGAGCTGAACAAAAACCCGCTTACCGATCTGTTCGACGTTAGTAAAGGGAAGGGTTATACTTACCTGGCTGGGCCTCTTGATTTTTTTGGGAGGGAAAACAAGAGGCGAACAAAAACCCGCTGGTGATGTGTCAGTATATAGAAGAAGATGAAGAGAAGGAGTGCACTAACCTGGAAGGCATTGGAGGGATTGTGCAAGCCCCTACGTATACAATGTTAGCATAAGACGTGGAGGGGGATCAGCTACCTGGAAAGTGTTGGTCCGTGTTCGTGACTACATATACAATGTCAGCATGAGATGGTAAGGGAGGGCACTTACATGTGAAACCAAGGAGACCTTGGTCCAGATACCTGGACAAATGTTAGCATGACGAAGGAGGAGGGGTATACTTCCCACTTCTTGATTTTTTTGGGCGGGAAAACAAAAAGTGAACAAAAACCCACGGCGATTTCTTTCGAGTAATGTTTGGTTCTTGGAGCGGTGGGTGGTTTGTCTCGCGTGGAGGCGACGGTCCTGTGTGTGGTAGTGTGTGACACGAGATGGGTTAGCATATCTCTTGAATAAAACGATCCTAGAGAAAAGTGAAAAAAGATTGTGAATGGTCAGAGTGTAGTATTTGTCGTCAAAAACTTTAAACTCCACCACAGAGGTGTGTTACAAGCAGCCAATGGGCTTGCCGAAATCTCTTTCTCATCATGCGAAGGGGGAGGGAAGTGAAAGGGAAGAGAGCAGAAATGCAGAAATGGTGAACTCACAAAAAAGTGGGAGGGGACCCGAAGGCCCCCGAGTGAGAGAGCAGAATGCTCTATCTTGAACAAGAAAGACCTGGAAAGAAAGAAAGTGTTAGTGAGTGTCAGCAGAGAAGAGGAGAGAGTGGAATTCAAAGCCATTGGTATTTGATAGAAGACGAAGGAAGACCTGCAAAGATAAGAATTAGTGATGATGAGTAGAAAGAAGGGCAGTAGAGGGTGTATCAAAGCCATTGATATTTGAAAGTAGTCGGAGAAAGCCCTGTCAAGACAAGTGTTAGTAATGATCAAGAGAAGAGGAGAGGAGAGTGGGAGTAGGAGGTATATCAAAGCCATTGATGATTGAAAGAAGCCGAAGAAAGATCTGCAAAGACAAGATTAGCGAGCGTGAAGAGAAGGTGTAGAGTGAATGGAAGTCAAAGCCATTGATGTTTGATAGAAGCCGAAGGAAGTTCCTGCAAAGACAAATGTTAGTGAATGTCAGGAGAGAGGGAGTGGGTGGTATGCAAAGCCATTGATGTTTGATTGAAGTCGAAGAAAGGCCTACAAGGAAAAGAAGAAGTTAGCGACGATCAAAAAGGAAGGGGAGTAGATGGTGAAGCAAAGTCATTGATGTTTGAAAAGAGTCGAATGCATGTTCAGGTGAAGTAGTGTCTTGAAGAAGACAGACCTAGAAAGACAAGAGTCAGTGGCCATCAAGACGGGAGGGGAAGTGGAAGGGGTAGCAAAGCCATTGATGTGTGATAGGAATTGAATGTATTCTGAGGTGAAAGTGAGAAAAGGAATCTCAGAGGTGAAATGGGCTTGTTCTTTCTGGCTTGCTTGACTCGCTCCAGCGACTTCGCTAGGAGGACGCAAGTGAAATTTTGAGGTCAGAGTGAAGTATCAACTCGATCATGGGATTGATCACGGATATTGTTCTCATCATGCCTCGGAGCGAAACGTGCCCAAAGATGGTAGACCTATGCAACAGATTAGTGAAATCTGCAGACGGGGAGGGAGAAGAGGATATAGTTTTGGTATTCGCAGGCCCTGTGTTGCTGTGTGGCTTGGTTGTGCTGCTGCAAGGCAGGGTGGTTGGTTGGAAAAGGAGTAAGATACTGAAGGAAGCAAAAGACCTAGTGACAAATTAGTGAGATCATCAGAGGAAGGAGTAGAAGACGATAGTCTTTTCTTATCCCATAGTGACTTGGTTGTGTTGTTTGAAGGTCAGATATTGTAAGTTGAAGAAGAAAAGGAAGAAAGCAAGAAAGAAGAAGTCAGATGTCGAAGTGAGATGTTGAATGGTGATGGAGGAAGCAGAAGCCCTAGCGACATGTCAGTGAAATCATCAGAGTAAGGGATAGGAAGACGATTTGTTTTCTTAGCCCAGTGTCGTTTGATAATGTTCTTGTCTGCGTTGTTGCAAGGTGAGATACAGTGGATTGAACAAGAAAGGAAGAAAAGAAGAAGTCAAATGTTGAAGGTAGTAAAGAAAGCAGACGACCTAATGACAAATTAGTGAAGTTCTTGGAAGAAGGAAAAGGAAAATGGATTTCTGAGTCCAATGAAATATTGTCTGATGTTATCTCTTGTGTGCGTTGTTGCAAGGTCAGGTATGGTATGTCGAAAAAGAAAAAAAGAAGTGAGGTGCCAAAGACACTGAAGAAGGAAGAAGACCTAGTGACAAATTAGTCAATTGTCAAGGAAGAAGAACAAGGAAGGAAGGGGAAAGCCTTGTGTAATTCTCTTGTCAAGGAGGAGGATGTCAGTATGGTGGTCAGACGAAGAGAATGATGGTTTGGTGCTTAAAGGTGGAAGACTGTATAAGCCATATGGTATGGAATGATGATGATGGATGTTCAAAGGCATAAGAAGAAGAGAAGGAGGAGGAAGGAGAAGAAGAAGAAGTGGAAGCTGAAGCTTTTGTGTGTGTGTGATGATGATGGAAGAAGGAGAAAGATGCAGCAGAGGTCGGAGGGAGGAGGTTCTTTTATAGGTTTTTCAGGAGCCCAGAAGTTGGCTGGAGCGATTGTGAGTCACTGACAATAGAAGTGAGAGTATTCTGAGAGGAACAATCGTGAAAATCTGCAGCTATGGGGCAAGTATCATTGGATTGACCCAAATTGGTCACTGTGAGGTGTGTGATTGTTGGGGCTGGCGGACGCCTGGGTCGAATTTCTCGGGGTGAGAACAATTTCACCTCCTGCATCTACGCCAGGGCAAGAAAAGCAGAGATCTGGGCCTCTAGAACTACAAATAACACTCCTCTGTGGCCTGGGATTTATCCCAATGGGTTTGACTACGGTATTAAGGGGTAAATTAAGTATTGGATCTCGTTTGCTTCTGAAACGTGAGACCAAGAAATGAAGCTCTCGAAGCCTGCGTGGAAGTTGGATATACTAGAGTAATTGGAGCACTTAGGCAGATCTGGAACTCTTCTACAGCTCAAGGGCAAGGCACAGGCTACGGAGAGGATTTCATGCCTAGGTAGGCAGGTGTCTAGGTGCCCAAGCAAAGTATGCATGATTTCGTGGGTTGGAAATTGCCATGAAGCTACTTTAGCTATATTCTGCATTGTATTATTCAATTCATCAAGAACACCTGCACTCGGACAATTAGGCTTACGGGTGTGGCAGGCCGGCAGATGATCAAGCGCAAGCGGGTGGGGAAAAGGGGGGCGGCTGGACAGGCGGACACTCGCTTGACGCGCGGCATTGCCCACTCCTGGTGATCCAGTCTAGGAGTGAATCAATGGCACTATTTTCTTGGATCTTGATGAATGGGCCTGGCCTCTCAAGAGAATTGTATTAGAGAGTTTACTATTGTTTCCTTTTATTGAAACGAGGGATTAAGAGGCCTATTCCATACCCAGATGAATGACTAAAAAAATACTTACAAGTAGCCTAATGTAAGCATTCAACCATGGTGAGAAGATTGTCAGAAGAAATGATCCAGAAATGGGCACCAGAGAGAGGTGGGTGCCCTTTAGTGTTAGGTGACTAGGGCGGGGCGAATCCCCTTGGAGTAAACCAGCCGTTGCAGTCTGCTGAGTGGCTGAGAGACACTCAGTACCTGAGTCTGCCTGCCTAAAATTCTCAAGTGACGAGAGTACGCCTAGGAAGTCAGTGATAACGCCATGATGCTTAGCTACGTCGAAGGGAATAATCACTGTCATCGAAATAGGAAAGACTCTTGCTAGGCTGTGAAACATTTCTACAGTAGTACCACGGACCGTGGAGTCAGATCTCGACGCTTCCATGCGTATGACGAGGACAGGAAGAATGGATGGGGAGGGAGGGGTGTGTGTGCAAATCATCTACCTGGGTACTAGTCAAGGGTGGGGTGGGAGTAGCCTCTGCAGCAAACCACAGGTAAATGGCCTCCCAGGGAAGTGGAAGGTAACAGGAATCGTAAGGACAACTGGCTTTCTAATGCAGTATTCACGCTGTGATGAGAAAGCAGATGCCTTACTGCAATGCTTCATCAAGGGATTATGGAGTGTGAGTATCTCTCGAGCCTGCCAGACCCCAATGTCTGTGGCAAATTCTGACGGAGGAACCGAGCATTCACCAGCTATCGTGGTCTACAGGCAAGTGGGCAAGTGCCCTGATTCAAAAACCCTAACCTCACGCTGTGTGTGCGTAGATCCATGGGAAGAGTTGTCTGAGAGCTTCGTGGAGCTCGTGAAATTTCCCCTCCTCGAAATGCTTGGATGTGCAGGCTTCTCCCAGTATATAATACGGCCTACGGGTGCAAAAAAACCTTAACTGAACCTTAGAGTAAAAGCCAAAGAGTGGCAGGACGGTTCTGGGGAGTGGTAGATTTTGCTATACTCGAGGCCAGTATTGACACCTTGTTCGTCGACGTATCGGGTGTGGTGAAGAAAGCTTTCTCGATGGTTCGTGCGGCAGGATCGTGTGCGGTTTCGAATCGTAGAAGGAGGTAATACCTATTGAGAATCATCATGTTAGGAAAATCGACTGTTGGTTTGGGGGCAGGCTCAAAATTACCTCTGCTGAGCACAATGCCAAGAGTCTGGCGATAAAGACCATGGGAAACAAAAATAAGAACCACTGAGGGCGGGATTCAGGGACTGGTACATGTACGCTGGCACGCAATTGGCGTACAGTACCTTCTCACCATGGAAATTGCTGGCCAAACACGTGATCGCCTTGCTGCGTTCATCTGTGCCACCACCAGAACCTCTTGGACCTCGTCTACGGGCAGCAAATATTTGGTCGACCGAAAATCACTACGACCATTGATTTCAAATTGCAAACCGAGATCTCCTTTAGTCTCTTCAGTTCTACCGCAGATCCTTCAGTTCTGCGGCGGGACATACTGCTTGCCCAGAAGCCTTCTTTTGCCAATCCTTTTCCCTTATCGCAACACACTCGAAAGCTTTGGAAAGCCGGAGACCACACAAGGACTCAGCTTGTTCTAAATTCACGAGTTGTATTCTAATCACTTGAGCCGATTAGCGAGAAAACGAAAGACGAAATACGATCCAATGTGCCGCATCTGCCTTGCTGTCCCTGGGAAGAGAACATTCAGATAACGCTGCGACGAGTTGTCCAGGATCCAGTTGAGAATCACTATGCAGCTACCCCGTCCAATCCTCTTTGCTTGCAAGACTTAGCTGACCTAAATTGTGACTGTCATAGGCTGCCACTGTTTCGAGCTCGGTTTCGCCCCGAAGAGTGCAATGCGCCCCTACGAGCCCCTGTTCCGCTGATACCACCACCCGCCCTCCTTCCCCCAGCGAAATCTCCGATGAAGGAGTGTGTTATGATTATTCCACCATATAAGCGTTTGATCATTGTCCAAAAGTCTGGGGGCGCTGTTTGTCGGGAAAAAAGGGGGGAGCTTCATCGTGTGCCCAGGGGGTGCTGGAGGTCATTGCACCCATGGAGAAGGCTTCTGGGCACGCAGAAAGGCTGAAAGTAACCTGGAACTTCGTTGACGACTAGTACTTGGCCCATTGATATCGGATTCTCAACTACGAGCCTCTAGTGACCTAGGTGTTCATGATGTGTGGTTACGGCGAGGGGAACATGTCTATCATTTACAGATCTTCACCACCAAATAATCCATATAACTCTGTGTCTTCAAGGGCCTAAAATTTCATTATTTCGTATATACTACAGAATATTGAGTGTGCTGCCTACTTTTTGAAGCCACCTTGTAGCGATTCCTGAGGCCTAGAGCAATTCACCCATACACCGTATGTCTGTGGACATCTTAGCCCCTACTCGGACGGCTTGAATTGGCCCTTGGTACATCTTCTCAGGTTCAAGAAGTTTCAAATTGTCAAGTTTACCGACGCCCTCCACATTCTTCGAGATAATTACCATATTGTAGGCCAGTTTAATACCAAAGCATTTGTGAGCCCTGGCATATGCGGCAACGTCGGAGCATACAATATAGAACTGTTTGATATTCACCAAAAATGATATTGAAGTCCATTCCACGGATTCTCTATTCAGACCACTAGGATTCCGACCTAACTGTATCAGACTGTCTACACAAAAGGACTGATTCTTCGATCCCGGCAGAACAGCTTCCTGGATCTACTATACATGAAATAGGCAGAGAAAGCATCAAATTCCCTCCGAGGAACTGGTGTCTCGAGATATCGCGTGTGTAACAACGAGAATAGAACTGAGTCCTCTATCGGACAGGAATAGCCAAGGACACCGATGAAGGGACATTGTCACCAGAACTCCATCAACCATCTTCTTCCAAGGCCTATGGGGGAAATCCAGTGTAGATCTTTCGTGCGTGCCTATCGGAAAAGGGATTAGGTCGGTATGGATCATCTTAGTCCCGTCGATGATCCCCGATATTACTATCAAATAGGAGCATTAGTATCTCCGTTAGGTAGCAGTTGGACGAAATTACACCCGCAAATGACTTACTGCCCCATCAGATGCTCTACAATCGTGTAGATATGACACAACGCACGTCGGAGTTGAATCTTCGGTCAACTTTAGAAACGTGCGTATATTTCCCCGTTCAACCAGACATCCCAGCCTGGTAGCTCTACTCCAGCCTTCTGGCGAGGACTCTGGCGATCTTGATCACGACTGTTGCCGTGACATGCGCAGCTGGGCCACAGTCACCCCTCTCGAATCGCAGTAACGCAGCGAAAGGTTCGTCTTTGGATCGACTGCTTACTTCGGGGTCGGCAGCGTAGTATTGCACTAGCAGTAGATGAACTCTGCGTGCGACGACTCTTCCGAGAACAAATCTTTCAAGGCTTCGAATCGCGCTGGAGTCGCTGTGCCGTAGCTATCCATTATGATATCAGCTCAAGAAACACGACAGTATCCAACAATGAAAGGAATTCGACGCCAATACATACCTCGATCAGCTTCCTCTCTGCTTCTCTCGAAGTGTTCCTGGCGAGTTTGGAAATCGGTGTACCATAATTTCCAGGGATTCTCATTCACGAAAAACCTTCTCAGGAACCTTTCCAGGAACGACGGCCTCATAATCGCAGGTAAACGTCGTAAGACCGGTATTGGAACAGGGAGGACTGGAGGCCTTGGGTGCAGAAAAAGAGAACGCAAAGATGGTGAAGCTGATGTTGCTGGTGAGGTACTCTTCCAACTGTATGGGTGCAACTTGGTTTGAAATCGGAAAGTGGGGAGGAGTCGAGGGCGAAGCCACCATACTGGTAAAAAATGCACCTTTAGCTAAGCCACCCAGATGCCTCCTCTGGCTTGCCTATTAACTACGCTTCAAAATATAAGTCACCTTCACATGATACGCTTGCTTATGAAGCCAAGTGATTGCTGTTGCCATTAACCTGTTTATATACCAATTCCATAGCATTAGACGAAGCTCTTTGGAAACAGATTCAAGCCCAGAGACAAGCCCAATACTGATACATTCGGATGTTGGGATGCTTAGGATAAAAGCGTGCGGCTATCCTTCTCAGTCAACCCACATTGAGTACAATAGTAGACCTTTTGGTCAGCCCACTGCGGCCATGCTCATTAAAGGCTTACAAAGCTCTTCCAGCGGAAGTCACGGGTCAGGATATCACGATGGATGTAGGAGTTCAGCGTCCCTCTTTCCGTCTCTTTGGTCACAAATCAAATCGGTTCGTCTCCCCAGAACGCCCAGAAAGGCCGTATAATCTACCTACTTCAACATCCGCTTTACAGAAGCCAGGAGATAAACACCCCTGTTCTCGGGGACGAGCTTTTCAGGAGTTCCATAGCCAGGGATTGTTCGGACGGGTTACTCCTTGCCGGCCTTGAGAGTGATGTAGCCGAGCCTTATAGTCCTCTTCGGGGTGGCTTCCGGTAGAATGGAAATTTCGGGCTTGATCCACAAGATGAATAACAGTAGTCTCAACCTGTGTTTAGGCATGCTCACCTCGGGCGTTGATGTTAGGCAGGCGCAGCAAGTGGGAATAGAGGAAGGAAGCTGTACGGTATCAGCTTCAAGAAGAGCCACGCGAATGGCTGTTTGGTTAATACAGTGCAACACAATTCTCTCAGAAAGATTGGACTGCACGAGCTTCAAATAATATCCGAATGGATACAGATGTGTGGAATACGCAGGTTCTTGTCCATGCTGCAGCCCTTCCGTTGTTTCTGGCCGTGGGAGGTGGAGCCGCCACAGAACCCCTTCGCAGTGGCGCACGTTCCCTCCCCCTTACCGATGTCGTACATTGTTGTGGCTGTTGACTGAACTGAACCTGAGCTGACGCGCCTTCCTTTTCCCCCAAGGCTGCGAGTCACTCTGTCCTCTGCTTTCCTCAGCTCCGCTCCTCGACTCCATCAGTTTCTCCCTTTGAATCTCACACGGCGACAAGTCTCCCTCCTCGCATCCCCAATTTTCAACTCCTAAGACACAATCATTGGACCATTTTGGACTGAGAATTCATATCCCTTCTTTCACCTCGCTACCTCGCTCGTATCAACGAACCTTCCGCAATGGGTATCTTCAATTCCAAGCCTGCTCCGGAGCCCTCTCCCACCGAACTTGAAAGCAACTTTGACGAGCAGCCTACCTTCGTCCCCTACTCCGATACTATCAAAAAGGCCTCGCGCAGAGCCAACCCCAGCGGTCAATACTCTAGCTTCCTGATTTCGAAAGCTGTTCCTGACCCCGGACCTAAAGTGAGTGGAAGTGATCCGAAATCCATCGAGGACCGCACCCGAGTCCGAGAGTCCTCTGCCATCGGTCACAACTCCTACCCAACAACTCGGATGTTCGGTACAAACATTCGTCGCCGCCGTACATCTGCCCCCATGGTCCCTCACTCGTCCCGTGAGGCAGGTGATGATTACTTCAGCGTCAACCACCACACTGGGTATGTGACAAGTAACCTCGCAAAAAGGGATAACCAGCTAACATCGAGACACTAGATCTGGCATCTCATGGTCCGATAAGGCCTACGACAGGACTACACCAGATGTCAAGAACAACAAGAAATAGTTCTCCTTTTTGTCGTTTTTTTCTTTCCGGTCCAAGTCTTGATTCGTAAGGCATGGAAGCTCACAGAGCAATGGAGGATACGTCAAGACGCCACAATGGAACGGGGAATTGGTTGATGAGACTTCTGGTCACAAACACTCGTCTTGTCTTGCTTTCAGGCTCTACTGAGCCGTGTGCACTGACTACTGCAACTTTCGGAGCTGAGCTTATGCTCAGCTATGGAACAGAGACACTACTACATTAAATCCTAGAAAAGCAAAAAAATACACAGCACAGTTAGTGTCCATTTTCATCAAAAAAATGCCCTCGTAGATGTCTCGCGCCCAAACTCTTGTGTTTTCTGTCTCAACGCCAGCCACCCACCAACGGCCAAAGCCGCCACACCAAAGCTGGTCGTTGCTAAGGCTGGAGCGAGATCTACCACTTGGTTGTCTCACCTGACCTCTCCTCAGACAAATTTAGTGGTCAAAGTAGGTCATGTCTCGATCTTCTTGGGCCAGCTTGCTAGGTCATAAACATCACGAGGATTTCATCAATATCAACTCCAACACGACACTTCGCCAAACCACTCCCGTAGCCCGCCTACCAAATTCCCTCACCAAATTCCACTCAGCAAGCCACCTATCACCTACCGGTTCGTCCTCTGTTGCTTCCTCCTTCCTCTGACGAGCACCTCGGACAACAAATTCAATGTTGGCAGGCACCAGCGTCGACGAATGCTTGGCACTTCGGTACGTACCTGCAGTAGCTCGCAAGCGCCTCCAAAAAGAGTAAAGATTGTCTATAGGTGGGTCAGTGACCCACAGTTACGGGGAAAAGCGGGTGGGTCGTCGACGACATTGACGTTCAAGTCGAAAACAATACGGGCACATCAACCACCCTTCCTTCTACCTGCCTACCTCTCCAGGTCCCTATTGATTTTGAGTAGGAGGAATATGTGAGAACCTTGATGATTTCTGCAGAAGTGGGTCATGGGGAGAACTTAGCGCATGCAATACCGCACCTGATGATGTCCGTGCACGATGGCATCATCCAGATGCTGAAGCTTGGCACCAAGTGCGAGGGAAGATATTTCCAAAACATGGCTGGTATCTCTTGCATGAGAAAAACTAGGCAGCCCAAGAATTCATCAGAATCTTTAGATACGTGACGTAGGAAGCGAGCGATTCCTCACGCTTGATTTACTTTACGAAAATACAAGTCTACCGCCGAGGAGTGGGAGCGGTGGAGGACAGACAGCCCCAACAGGACTGAGGCATCAGGGTCTGAGCTGGCTTGCACGTGGGGGTTGGTTTTCGCATGGCAGAAGATGCTCTATGAAAATTGTATAAAAACAAAATAACAGCCAATTTAACATGCATAACAAATACCCTCAATTGATGTTCAAATTCCTCCTGTCTGCCTCTAAGATGTACACGCTTTGCATATGGCTCCGTCTTCTGGCAAGGAGAACAAGTAGAGCAGCTTTGTTGTTACAAAATCGTGGAACAATCCTACTGTAGCTACCTCACCATTCACTGCGTTGAGTTGTTCCGGCCCCTGGCAGCTTCATTGTTGTTAAACTTTATTCTCTTTCTCTTCCGTAGCTACCTCACGTATTGGCAGTTTGGTGTGCCCTGATGATCCGGGTACTTGGTTTCGAGAGGTTTCTCATACTGAGGCCCGCCAACTGGGGCCTTACCAGGAATACTGGTATTAATGTGGATAACATGGTCGTTTGCCTCTATATTCAGGCCGATCCCCTCTTTTATATCCTCTCGGACGGATGCAGCAACCTTGGCGGTATACAAAGAAGTGATTTGGTAGGCGATCGCAGCGGGAGTTTCTTGAGATCGTCGTAGGCTACCTCACTCCACTTGTCTTGGATCGATGATCGAAGGACTAGAAGGTTTCTGAAGATGAGGTAGACGTCCATGAAGTAATCGGTGAGAAGACCAATCCCGTCCGATGTGAAAGTAAACATCATCAATTCCGAGCTTTTCATAGAACCACTGGATCTGCTCATCAATGGCGACCTCGGGTAACCAGCCAGCAACATAGATGATCGCCTTCACTACAGCGAGGCCAGTTAGTCGAGCGGTTCCCAGATATTAGGGGAGGTTCTCAAGATATATACCTGGCTTCATCTGCTCCAGCTTTCCAGCGAACTCTAGGGCAATGTGGCACCTCGCACCACACACGTTAGCATGTGCTATACCCATCGGTTCGAGGCGAGCCAACTCACGCCTTGCCGATAGTCTGGTAGGTCTTTTACCTTTTCGAAAAGGTCTACGTGAGGAAGCTTGGATGCTTGGCAGGCGTTTTCATCGGGCAGCCTGGAGTCATCGGGCGGCCTGGAGGAATCCGATCAGCTGCGCAAATCCGAAGATATCTAGAAATTCTGTTATAATTCATAATGGATATGCATAGACGACAGCATGGGGAAGAAAATACCAGGCGTAGCCATAACGAGCCATGACCCCCTTGAGGAGGTTCCAGCAGGCTCTGCCGATCGTTATGTCGTTGGTCCGCGACATAATTATCAGGACCGCGCTCTGGAAATGCATATTCTTGAACTTGGTTCTGCCTACATCCCAGCGCCTCTGCGCTCGGTAGTTGCCTGTCAGCCTAGGGGGGGGGGGGTTAGCAAAAGATTTCAACTAGATTTTGACGTCTTTGCCTACCAGGTCGACGCATGCGCCAGCTATGCGCGGTGCGTCGTTCTTTGTTCCAGCCTCCTTGAGCTTGGGTGTCTCTTGTGGTCCCCTGGGTGATGTCCAGAGCCCCCAGCAATGACCAAATGGAGTGGGCTGGGCAAACCTGAGTTCGTCGTCTGACAGCGGATGATGCTGGGACCGGTGATATTCTTTGAGATTGCTCGGATTCCCGTGCACAGCTCATTGAAAACCTGCGGCATCGACGCAAACACTTTGAGTTGGTGTGCGGATGGTGGCGGATGGGGCAGGGTTGGCAATGTGAGCGGTGGTTTGGCTCGGCGGTTTCGACGGTTGTCGTGTCGGGGTAACGATACTTGTCGGTGACGGAAGAGTAGAAAATGAGATCCAGGAGTAGGTGGGGAAAGATTTGTATGTATCGAAGATGCTCGAAGCGAGAGAGAAGTGGCCAAGGTCCAAGGTGGAGAAAACTCTGCAACGATTCAGTGTAGTCGCTCCTTCCACACTCCTACTATACTATACTCCCGAAATGCCTCACTCGTAAGCTTTTTGGTTGGGCCGAAAGCTATGGCAGCGGGACAATGTCTCCCATGCTATACAGTACTATTGCAAATAATCTATACCTGTCATTCTAATCTGTTACCACCACGTGCTTTGGGGGAGTTTGTTGTCGCGTGTTGTGTCATTTTTGATCGGGTCCCCTAGACCCTTGCTGCTGCGGTTTTTGCTTCTTCGATTTCTCCAGAACACGACAAATGGTACGACTCAAATGAAATGCTCTCAATCTTGCCTCAAAGTTGATTGAAGTCGCTGGTCCTCTGATCGCTTCAAAGAAATGGACTGTTGATATGCAGATGTATTTGAGGGATAACATCCAGTACTGCACCCAAATCCCGTCTGGAAAAAATTCCATGTCCAACCACAAGTATTACAAGTATTTTGGCCGTAATCATAATCCCATTAATACCACGGGATTGAAAATTACTTGCGGTTACGAGACAGTGAAGCAAACGAAGACCTTGAAGCTCGAGCTGCCCCATCCTTCCCAACATGGAACGTGGGGATGGGGATGCAACCCCTACTTCTATGATTCCCCAATATGTGGCCTAGAATAAACGTCTGAGAGAGAATTACAGACAGTAATCTCGCTATGAAGAACAGAAAACCGAAAACAAAATCTCAGGGACACAATCGGAGAACTGCGCAAGCAGATCCTAGAATTCAAGGCGGCCGTGGACAGACAAGCAATCATCACCAAGGACCTGCGGAAAGAGCCAGCTCGGAGAGGACCAGACTCAACTCTATGGTTTTCCAAACCAATATACACAGCCGTGCTATCGAATGGATTCTCAGGAACGCACGTAATATCATGATGCGAGCGGACAGCGCAGCTACCGTTATCCGATAGCTGTAGAAGGAGCAACGCGGCGAGACCCCGACGGGAGCTTCCCACGCCGGCAAATAGGTCATCTACCTAAGGTAGGTAGGTGGGACACAAACTACGTGAAATTCTCGTTTTTTTTTGTCGACTACAAAGGTGGCGGTATTATTTCTAAAGCCAGGCTCGGTGTTGCTACAAACAATGCATGGTACCTAGCTACGACTGCCTGCGTTCGTATCATGACTGGACTGCAGGCTGAGGTACTGAAAAAAAGGGATGATAAAGTTGCTGACAGTCTTGACTTGCATATCTTCGACCTGGCTTCAAATGGCGCAGAGGCCAACGTTTTTGTGACGTTTGTGGGTGAAGAGAAGGATGTGCGTATCAAATTGATCCGTGGGTTTGTATGTGCAATCATCGTCATTTTTGTTGGAGCATCCGTCGATTCAGCACAATAAGTCCAGTTGAGCAATCTCCACCATGTTTTTTTGTGACGAAAGTCCAGAAAGTCATTGATATTATCAAGGTGGCTTAATGATGCAGATCAACATTTAGATTTTTAAATGTATAGGACAATTCTGGTTAGGATAGGGTAATCTGAAAGAAATTATGGTGGATGTCCGATGCCAAAACTACATAACGGTCTAGGGTAGGCATCCTCCCGTCTGATCCGGATGGCCCACCTTCAACCCTTGATGTCACTGGTAATAACGGTACCTTCAAAGTAGCTAGGGGTTGATACCGACAGGCATTCGGTGAACCCGGTAACCGTTTTGGCCGTTGGGCCCAATCGGAACGATCTCTATCGATTAAGATCTCATACTGAAGGAACATATCTGGAAGCAATATATGTAATCGTCAAGAACAGAGGGTGTGAGGGTGCTGCAGGCTGGCCCCAGACGTGCATGACAGCGAGCCCAGTCAGGATGATGAATTGATTGCTAACGAGCTCTTTGGGCTCTGGTTCGTTGGGACCCAACCGTTTCCCCACCCCACCCTGAAGACGTCGAAGTGCCAAACCTAGATTTGTCCTAGATCCAATGACAAGGGTCTCGATCTCTACACCAATCCCCAAGCGGACTGAGCCTCCATCATTTTGGACCCTGGAATCCCGAAACTCCCGTCAAGTTAAAAAAAAAGGACACACAGCATTCCCCTCTTTTACCGGTACTCGCCTGCCCTGCGTGGTTGTCGTGAAGGGGAAGTGCTTACGTGACCAGCAGCACGCCTGACTGGCCACCAGAGAGAACTGACAGAACACATCGAATCGCGATCCCGGGACGCGCAATGTCGGCCTCTTCGGAGCTGAAGCGCGAGCGAGAGGTCCAAGGGTATGCCCAGAGCTGGAAGGCCGCCCAAGGCTCCTCGCTCAACGTCGCCCTGAACGTCGACAGCATCGAGCTGTATGAACTACGCGGCAATGGATTCACTCCCCGAGCCTCCCGCGACAAGGCCCTCACGGCGTTTGCGCAGCTCGCCGTCTTTCGACTTGGCCTCACTCGAGGCATGATCTCGCTGATAGACCAGAATGCCCAGCACGTCCTGGCAGAAGCTACACGAAACCTGAAGCTGGTAGACCTGGATGGACAATCCGGACACGGCTCCTCCGCGCCCAACGTAAGCGCAAATAGCAGTCCAAGTGTGAAAAGCAATGCCATTGCGCATAATGATTTGTGGTGTAGGTACTCCCTGCCGGGCCTGGTTGGTGGTAATGCCTGTGGTTCAACTTGAAGTTCTTGAACTGCTGGCATCAACTATCCTGAAACTAGAACGAATTGGCTAACATAAAATGTGCTTCACCATAGTGGGAGCGTCTATTGTCTCGCGAAGCGAGGCCATCTGCGAGCATGCGTTGACTAGCACCTGCACGGCCAAAGATCCTGATTGTGATCAGACATACACAGCGGCTGGTCTTATTATCCCTAACTGCCAGGATGACCCTCGGTTCTGCAACCGGCCGTACGTCAAATCTGAACCTGGTATTCGCTTTTACGCCGCTGTGCCCATCGTCTCTCGAAACGGCCACAAGATCGGCGTCTACTCCGTCTCAGACGAGAAGCCACGCGACGGCCTGACCATTGATGAGCTGCAGTTCTTGCAAGGAGTGGCGCAAGCTGTGATGGAACACCTCGAGTGGGCCCGGGATCGTGTCGATCGCTTTAAGGGAGAACGCATCGTCCGTGGGCTCGCCGCCTTTATTGAGGGTTGCGCCCCGCTGTGTGACGAGTCGAAGGAGCAAGTTCCAAAGAGCCCGTCGACGGTCCGCCCCCCTGAGATGAGCTTGGTTGCAGCTAAACGTCCAAATATGACGCGAACCAATTCACAATTTCGAGGTAGTGCTGTGAAGTTGAAGGAGGTTGATAAGCGCCGGAGAGCATCGTCAGTAGAACTTCCACAGACTGATACCGCTGCTTCGGCAGCACCACCACCGCCGGAGGCAATGCCATCACCACGAAAGAAAGCAAGCAACAAGTGTAAAGCTGATGGATTATCCCGAATGTTCCATCGCGCAGCCGAGATCTTGAGACAAGCAACATTAGCCGACGGCGTTATTCTATTCGGAGCAACGACTACGGACAGCAAGGAGATGCTGCGAGCGTTGCGGTTAGGCGGGAATCGATCCGACGACGACGACGAAGGTTGCTCGACTACCCAATGTAACACGTCTGGGTCTGAGAATGGAGCTGGTCTGGACAGTTCGGATTCTGAGACATCTCCCTCTGCAAGACCTTGCCAGATTTTCTCGTACTCCCTTGCAGACGAGAAGGCCCGCGCAGGTATCGAACAAGGTACTGCTTTGTCGCTCGGTGCTTTAGAAAAGTACTTCCGTCTCTTTCCACGAGGAAAAACCTTCTCGTTCACCGACGAAGGATCAGGTCTTTCTTCCGAAGATGATAGTGCAAGTGACCGGGAGCCTCCACCTACACCTGATGAGAACAGCGAGCAACAATCTGGGCAGAGCCGACCAAGCCGCAAAGTTAAGATGGACCACCGGGAACTACTGAAGAAGATCCCGGGCGCTAAGTCTGTTGTTTTCGTGCCCTTATTTGATCATGTTGATGATCGTTTATATGGCGGCTGTTTCCTTTGGACGTCGGTCAATGGTAGAATCATGAACCTCGACGCAGATTTGTCGTACCTCCGCGCCTTCAGCAACGCCATTATGAGCTCTGTCGGACGAATCAACACGCATAAGAACGAAGCAGCCAAGACGACTTTCATAGCCAGCATTAGCCACGAGCTTCGCAGTCCACTTCATGGTATTCTAGGTGCTGCCGAATTCCTGAAGGACATGGCAGCTGACCCCTACCAGACAGCATTGATTGATTCTATTTCTATCTGCGGCAAGACTCTTCTCGACACCCTGAATCACGTGCTTGACTACAGCAAGATCAACCGATTGGGTGGGCTGCAGATGCGAAGAGGTGTGAGGCAGAACAAACTTATAAATCTGAACCCGGACTCGTTGGAGAGCATGAACATGACCGCTGTTGTGGACCTGGCAGTCGTCCTTGAGGAGGTAGTCGGCGCTATTTCTGCCGGCCATATTTTCAAGCTCCCTGGCTCCCATATATCGACAACCAACGATGGCCTGACGACGTTCCTGCCTGCAGGGCCTTCCACTCCCGGCGCAGAGGGATCAGTTTCAATTTTACTAGACATTGACCATAAGATCTCCTGGATGGTGCGAACACAGCCTGGTGCTATACGAAGAATCATCATGAACCTCTTTGGCAACGCATTGAAGTACACGTCAACAGGCTACGTCTTGGTATCTCTCCGAGGCCAACTGAACTCCGACAAGTCGAGGATCAACGCTCTGATCCGTATCGAAGACACTGGAAAAGGAATGTCGGAAGAATACAAGCGCAGCAGACTTTTCGTTCCGTTCAGCCAGGAGGACTCGTTCCAGCCCGGCACAGGATTGGGTTTAAGCATCGTAAAGCAGATTGTTGATTCCCTGCACGGCAATCTCGAGGTCAAATCCGAACAGTACAAAGGAACTGAAGTGGACGTTCGCTTACGGTTTACCCCTGGACCATCTGGAGACTCAGCTCCCTTGGACGATACGATGCGAGCAACAGCCGAACGGACACGAGGGAAGCAGGTGGTTTTGTTGAAGGAACTGCAATGCCCAGAGACTCAAGGAAGCCCGCCCACATGCCAGAAGCTGACGGATACGCTGTCCGATACGTGCAAGAACTGGTTTGGCCTGAAGGTGGCTCAAGAAGGATCTCCCGATGCTGCTAACACTGATATTTTTGTCTACTGCGAACCGCCTCCTCACGAGATTCTGGTCAGGCGTGTCCAGAATCTTTTGAAGACCTCACCATGCGAAAAGATTCCAATTGTCATTGTCATCTGCCCAAATGCTGAGCAAGCTGTTCGCGTAAAACAGTGCCAAGATGCATCGTTGAGAAGCCTACCAGTTATCGTTGAGGTGATCCCGCAACCGTAAGTTGCGAAACATTCTATATCCGCAATATTATATCTCTGCGGCCGACTAACTTGGAACTATAGATGTGGACCTAGGAAACTAGGCCGTGTGATCAGCCACTGCCTTGACACGGCTGACAAGATGGCTCTCAACCTTCCTCTGTCTCCCGAGGTCAGATTGCCAACGTTCCCGCTGTCGTCCCCGCCGCTCCCAGTCGTCGCCCCTACCTCCCCGCTGCCCCTGAACCCCGAGACCCCATCACTCGCAGCGGAAGTCCCTGCCCCGCCTCCTCCCCCGGGCCCGAAGTCGGGCAACAATCTCCACCTCCTGCTGGTTGACGACAACGAGATCAACCTCCGTCTCCTCGTCATGTTCATGAAGAAGTGCAGGTTCACGTACGAAGTGGCCGAGAACGGGCAGGAGGCCCTGGACAAGTTCAAGGCCGGGTGCCTCGACGGGCCCGGAGGCGGGAGCGCCAGACGCTTCGACTTCGTCCTGATGGACATCTCGATGCCGGTCATGAACGGCATAGAGGCGACCAAGCACATCCGCTCGTTCGAGCGCGAGAACAAGCTCCCGCGCTCCAACATCATCGCCTTGACCGGCTTGGCGAGCGAGGATACCCGGCGGGAGGCGGACGCCGCCGGGGTGGATATCTACCTCCCCAAGCCGGTCAAGTTTGCGGAGCTGAAGTCGCTGCTCTCTACGGAGTAGCCTCTTCTTCCGTCATATTCTTGCGTTTTGTTTTTTTGTGCCCGGTAATTTTGGTTTGCTGTCTGTTTTTCGCTTTCTTTTTCGGGCTCGGGTTCGGGTTCGTTGTGTTCAATCCGTGCTAAGTGGCACGTAGCATGGAGAAATGTAGATGACTTGTAGATACTTTTTTTTGCGGAGTTTTTATATACAATTAATAAGAAAGTTTAATGGACAGACCTTCCAACCGTATTTTTCATGTCATGTAGTCGAGTAGACTATCCTTTCATATTCTTTGTTGAAGGCTTGTAGTCACATACGTACGGACGTTCTGCCGCACAGACGGCTTTTAGGGAGAGGGAAAATGCATCGCCAGGCTCGAATTTCAATTGGTGGTCGGCTTGACTTGCCTTGACGGATCGTAGGTTACCTCCTTGACACCACCCAGACCCTTTCTATTCTTCGCCGTGGCCTGTCAAGTCTACGCCTCGAATTTGCGTAGTCATATTTCTACGTTTTGGGTGAAACAAGTTATGGGTATTAAGTATTCTCGTTCTAGGTAACCAAATTGATATTGCAGGCGCTAATAGTATGAATGCTTTCACTAGACTTCTTGTAGGGCCAAATTCTGCCACCAGTCCTTGGATGGTAAAGGACATCGAAGTTTGAGTGTGCCACCAATCTTGGGCAGCTGGGAAGGCCAAAGAAGCGCAAGTGGGTGTGGGTAGGCGGGCAGTGCCTGAACCGCTCTCAAGCTTTTCCCATTGCTCGCTTGGCTGCTCTGTTCTACGGTGATTGGATCCATCACCGCATCATTGAAGTACCAGACCAGTCCTCCCCTTTTTCTTTCCGAACAGGTCCTCCAACCACAACGTTTCCGTCCGGGCGAGGAACAATCGAAGTCCTACTCGTTGAATGGTATGACGTACATCTTCGGAAGTAAGATGGGCTTACAAAGTGTCGCTATTATACTTGATATGGCGTGATGTGGAGTGGTTTTGTTTCGATGCTGTCGTAGAAGTGTAGCCGTGTAAGCGTTGGTAACCATGATACCCTGCTTGGCGCAGACAGTTCCCCTTTGTGTATTTAATAACTAGTGGCCCTCTATTGACGTGATGAGATGAAGAAGATGGGCGTGCTGGCTTGTAGACTGATGCGCTTGGCGCTTGGTTGCGAGAACATGTGGTGTATCATGTTGAGGCTATCCGTGTAGGTATATACCCGCATGGTGCCTTTTTCATCGGAAAACTAGTTTGTAGCTCGTTTATACAATGATTGTCGGTAAGCTTTTAGAGATCGGGGGTTAGCGGCGGAGTTGAGGATGGATCCGGCCGTTGTGCTTACCGTTTCGACGTCTGAACCTTGCATATCTAACGCACTCTTCGTGGGCTGAGTCGACCATATCCTGCTTTGATGGAAACATTGTCGTCTTCAAGCAACTGGAAATCAAGGGGGTGGGTGAGAATGAAATGCAAGCGGCACTGGAAACCCTGGAGAATCCTTCGACGGCTGTTATCTGGGCAAGCTCAAAGTTAGAAAGCCACCTCGGCAGGGGCAGCGATCGCATCTAACTGTCCGGTATTAAACGACTTCCTGAGAAAAAGAATGATCAGGTCGGTATCCCCTATTCTTGTAACCTTTTAGCGAGGGACTATCGGAGTAGGTTTTGAGGCCGGCTTAGTATGGCTACTGACCACTTTACCTGTTGTCCTCGGAATATAGCGCGCGAGTTTCAGGAACCAGGATGCTCTTCCTCTCCGCCTGATGAGAACTTGAAAGGAATCAGTCATATCTAGCTGTACTTGATTTATATACTAGACATTAGTGATTCCTCCCCTCTAGGGCTTAAATACATATACCACTAAGATATATCGATAAACTGCTAGGTGCCCTCTCAAACTAGGACAGACTGTAAAGGTAACAGTTATTCTACAGCTCAAGCTGATTTTGTTTAGAACTGTATATAATCGGCAAGAAATACAAGGATATTATCCAGCCTACCCACGCGAGGAATGTCTTTTGATCTTCCTTCTGCCCACGATAGAACACCTGCCGAAAAGCGACTGTTAAAGCTAGGATAATGGTGTGGAAATAGAACATCAACTGCATTCGCCACATGACCGAGCAGAATACTGTCCAAAAGCATACTGCCACGGCCACGCTCCACCGCGCGAGTGACTCTCCCAGCACAATTGGTGCAGTCTGGCGTAATCTTGCTCTATCGCCTTGTATGTCTCGAAAGTCAGATGTATGAATGGTAGAGAAGAAGATACAGCCCAGGATAAAGGACCATTTCATCGCTTCTTGATTTGGCTCCCCATATGGACCACAGGCAACTCGGAGCGCTCCTTCATGGGAAATGATGAGACCCGTGGCAACAATGGCGTTACGCACAAGGAAATTCTCATCGGCTCCCGCGAGATCATTATATGCCCAGGTGGCACCGTACTGTAGCGCCGTTTCCAGAGTGGCACCCAAGCCGTATGATAGAAGTGCTGTAAACGGCAGAAGGGCCAAGATGGCCCTACGTACAGCGCCCTGGGTGACTAATCCGGACGGAAGTGGCCGCCAAGGTTTGTTAACTCTGTCTTCAACCATGGCAGCATCAAGCCTTTGGTTTGATAAACAAAAGATAAACACATTCATCCAGACATAGAGCAGTATGTATGGAGCTCGTGCAATGATTAGCCAGGAGACAGGGTCGGAGTTGGTAGTAAGTGCAGAACCTGACAAAGCTGCTAGAAGGCCGAAGACAACTGTTGGCAGGACCGTGGTGGTCAAGTCTGAGGCTGAGAACAAGTATGCAAGACGAACTACTGTTTGGAGTTTGTCAAAGACGATGGCCTGTGAATATCAGCATGCGCAATGTCCATAGAGTAGTGAAAGCGAATACCTCCACAGCAGATACCATGATCATACACAGGGTCGCTGCGGCAAGCATTACGACCATTGGCTGGTGATATCGAGATATACACAAAAGCGAGAAAGCTTAACAGAGCGTAAGACTTTCAAATCCTAAACTAGATACTCAGAAAAACTTCGCCTAGTATTCAGCTATATGAATTTACAGCAGATATATCTCGGTGAATACGCGATGAAGGAAAATCTGAGGGAAAACCAAACAGATGGAGCTATATTTCAAGTAAGGATCGCACAAATTCCAGATACCAAGTCAAGCTTTTCAAGTTAATATGCTAATGTGAGACCGATGTAGGTTCTACGTAGACGACTCTTTTTCTGGTTAAGTAAGACAAGAAGACTCTGACCGAAGAACCGAGAAAGGGTATAATCCCACATAAATCAACCTAATAGCCGAATATCCGGCCAAAACGGCATGGCAGGCAAGGTTTGAGACATGGTTGGAGGCCTCACTGCCCATCGACGATATTCACGATGAGTCTAAGCTCCGGCGTGTTTTCATTCACACGAGGTTGCCAAGCCGGGTTAGTTTTCGGTTCCAGTCCACTAACTAGAGACCATGTCGCAAAACAAGTCACATTATCTCCGTATCGCAGCGAAGAATGTCCACATAAGACAGCATACCATGACACGGGGTTTTCTATAATTTTCATTATTTGCTAAGCGATCAAGGATCTAAAATTCCTAACTTGAATCACTGTTCAAAGACGCCGTCATAGATGAAATTTGCAAGTCGAGGATCAGCTTATGTCTCAGACCTTCTGTGGCTCAGTTTAGTGACTAGAGACTTAAGTTGAAGACTACTAACCACGATGCAAGGATCCTGTTTCTGCAACAGGCAAAGCTAAGTTGCTAGCTATATTGCATAGAATGCGCACTTCGTCATAAATCGCCCCTCCCTTAGAAGCCTGAGAAACGGTCTTAATTTCGCGTACTCGGCCAATCTAGAATCATATTACTATTCCACTATAGCTAGTATATAGCATAATTCTTTGTTCAACTCAGTTTAAAGCACATTGATCACAGGAAATTTTTGTTGTTCTAAACGCGCCAAGTACCACTCACAATCAATTCACGTTAATTATCTTTATATATAAGCCCCAAATCAACTTCAATTTCAAATACCTAGAATCATGGATGGATACAAGAATGTCGTCGGTCAGAATTCGGGCCATTGGCCGAAGTTTTCGCCTCAGTCCCGCAGTGGACAATCTGATACTCATCTTGGTATCGATCACGCTGCATCTATCACCGCCAAGGGTGGGATGATTGATGGCATCTCAGCCAGCCATAGCAGCTCAATAGGCGACCTATGGCAGGTTTGGGGCAACGAAAAGGAGGAAGTGATCCGTGGACCATTCAACTACGGCACTAGCCAACCGGGCAAGGGTTTTCGGAGTCAGCTGCTTCATGCCTTGAATCAATGCCTTCTCGTACCACAAGCAAGCTTCAATATAATTTCGCGAGCTATTGAGATGTTGCATGAGGCCTCGCTGCTCATCGATGATATTCAGGATGAGTCTAAGCTCCGGCGTGGGCAACCTGCAGCCTACAAGATTTTCGGTACTGGTCAAACGATCAACTCGGCCAACTATGCCTACTTCTTGGCGTTCCAGGAAATAATGAAGTTGAACAATCCCGGCTTGATGCAAATATTCCTTGAGGAGCTTCTAGCCCTGCATCAAGGACAAGGCATGGAGCTACACTGGAAAGATTCACTAAAATGCCCCTCTGAAATCGAATATTTTCAGATGGCTTCGAAGAAGACAGGCGGCCTTTTTCGTCTGGGTACTCGACTCATGCAAGCGGAGTCATCCCTCTGTGTTGATATAGTTCCGTTCATCAACCTACTTGGCATCATCTTTCAGATTCGGGATGATTATTCGAATCTCAAATCTGCTGAATACGCAGCTACGAAAGGCCCGTGCGAAGATTTGACTGAAGGAAAATTTTCCTTCCCCATCATGCACAGCATTCATAAGTACCCTCACAACTCGGAGCTCTACCATATCATCCGGCAGAGGACAACTGACGAGCAGACTATGACCTACACAGTCGAGTATCTTGAAAGAACTGGAAGCTTTGAATATACGCGTCAAATGATAAGCGTCCTGGTTCAAAAGGCTAGAGAGGAGATTGCTCGTCTAGGCTTAGAGCCCGAAAGAACTAGAGGTCTTGTTCGTATTTTGGAAAAGATGACCTTTTAAGTGCACTCAGTCTTGATCGATCGAATATCTGATCGGAATAAATATTTTGCTTAATGCCTCGAAATAGATTTTGAATGTCACTCAAATCAACGTATGGTGCAAGGAAATTCTTTTGTATTCATTGCGTTGAATTGTCGGGCCCTGGGAGATTTATTGTTCTTAAAAATCTGTTCTCTTTCTTTTCCGTAGTGTAAGAAAATTCTTGATGAAATTTTTATTTCTAGTACCAAGCATATGTAGCATAACTAGGATAACGTGTGTTTAACTTTGGACAAGCCAAATACAGCAAATCAATGACCATCACCAATTCTTCATTAAGTTTTAAGGGCCTAGAAAACCTACGTGGGTGCCTGAACAGAGGGGGCGAACCTTTCTTGATAATACACGGCATACTACGTACAACAGTCCATGATCAATTGAGGAACATGTCCAACAAAGCATTTGCCTAATTTACTACATAGCTTTTAAGCTTGCTTTTATACATCTCAACGGACTATATGCTAAATCTTCTCCGGTAAGTCCTTAGTTATTTGCCGGATAAGAGCTGTAATATCCTTGCTCCTAGGAGTGAGCTTACACCCAAAACTTCCAGGCTGATTAATCATTCCGGGACAGCCTTGAGCGGCGAGTTGCAATCTCTCATCTTCAGCTGGACTAAGTGAAGATTTTTCAATATCAAACGAGGCTAAAACTTGTGCCACAGACAAAAAAATTGTCGAATCGGCAAAGTAACGTCCCACACAAGTCCTACGCCCAAAACCGAAAATAACAGGTTTGGGGTCGGGCTCAGAGCGCGGATCAAGATAGCGTTCTGGTTCAAATTCGGTAGGGTTCTTATATACCTCAGGGTCGTGGCAAAACCACCATACGGATGGAAGTATAATGGACCCTTTGGGTATGATGTACCCGTCATATGCAACGTCAGATGTCGCTGCGTGTGGGAGACTCATAGGACCTACCGGATTCCAGCGATAAATTTCTTGAACCAAGGCCTCCAAGTAAGGGAGGCTCTGCCTGTCCTCCATTTGTGGCAGCCTGTCGCTGCCAATAACTTTAGTGATCTCTTCCTGTGCCCTTTTCTGCACATTAGGATACATGACCATCGCAAGTAGGAACCAATGCAAGCTTGTGACTGTAGTGTGAGATCCAGCTGTGTACATGATGCCGGCCGTCCACTTAATGGCATCCTCGTCGAACTTAATGCTTTCGTCACTTTCGCCTTTCCGATCCAACTGCTCGAGCAGCCTAGCCACGTAAGAAGGCACGCTGATTCCGTCTTTGATTTGCTCCTTGCTAAAGGCGAAAGGGACCTCCCGCGCGGCCTCGGCGCTGTCTTTGAAATTCTGCGCAATCCTCTGAAAGCTGCCTCCGGGAAATATTGAGGGCCAATATTTGAGGAAAGGTAGAATGTCGACCGCCCATGTAAAGGGGCTAATTGCGGCCGAGAAATTATTCATAACCGTCTCCATTAGCTCCACCATGGGATCGGTAGCGCCGGTCTCAACAGTGTATCCATAAGCCATCTTCAAGAGAACCGCACCTGTCTCTCTATAAGATTGTTCAGTTAGTAGATTAAAGTAGAGGTGGCTATTGCAGTAGCATCTTTCATGTGGATCTTTGACTTACAATTCAACATGCTTGAGTGCTGAGTCAGGGTCGTCTAGTATACGCGCAAGCAATTTGTGTACACCTTCCTGCTTGAACGTGTCGTACTGTGCAGATTTTGTCACAGATCCTAGCTCCTGATGGACCATCCTTCGTTGCATACGATGGTCATCGTTGTGTTGTTGATTTGCCATGTCTCCCCCAAAGCCGCAGAGATCATGAGCAAAGTTCATGCGAGGACGTGCAGATGTCTTACTAGCCATCTTCTCCAGAATTTTATGCAATGCATCCAGACTGTGAATAAGGACTAGCGTCTGCCCCATAACCGTTATTGAGCTCACAGGGCCGTACAAATCTTTGTGTTTTAGCCAATGCTGAAATTCAAGACTGTCTTTAGGAGCGACGTGCAGGATGTTGCCAAGGACGGGTAAAGGTGTCGGACCGGGGGGAAGTCGATTAGCTGTGCCGGGACGTAATAGCCAACGCAGTACTAAAACCAACACAAACATGGGAAGTAGAACTAAATTGACAACCTGGGAATACATGTTTGGGGATCATGGAGGAAACATGCAACTTCCTAGAAGCTACACAATAAAAGGCTGCTGGGAGAGAACGTTTTGCAAAAGAGTTGTTTGAGACACTACTCGCTCAGCAAGGCTCTATATCACTGGGAGTACAGCACATATAAGTAGATATTTCCGTAGTTAATATGGTAGGTTAGAACGCAGCAAATGTACAAAGTCAAGCGCGTCCATGGAGATGATTTGGACATACGTCACGGTTGAAATGGAGAGGAAGACAAATCAATGACTCATCGGCTTAGCGTGTGCGAGCTTTGCTTATGTTTAACTCTGGTATACTTTTGCTTCAGATGATCACACAATGTGCAAGACAGGATCTCTGATTATATGATGTTCGATGACACGTTTAAATGACGTTGGCTATCTACTTAGCTACGGACAAGATTTACGGTGGTGGTCCCGGATTTGTCTTAATGGGCTGACTGCCGGTTTCACATGCGTCACATATCAACAAAGCAAAGGCTAATCTAGTTTTGATCATTTGTGTACATGATTGAAGCAAGGGGGTTTGTTATGCGAGGATGCAAAGTTGGATTTAGCGCGACTTCTGGAGTTCCACTCTTCGGGTTCGCGCGGACAGCTAGGGACAGCTAAGGAATAACCAGCTTGAACGTACTATTATATTGGCAACATTGAGGTGAATGTTGTGTAGTACTTTGCGCGGGGCTTGCTGTTTGCCAAAATTCAAGGGCTCCGCTTAATGGCACCATCTGTTGCTACTATATATTAGCACCACTTGTCTCGTAATGACATTCCACTTTCTTACCGCTCTTTGTCTGATGCTTGTAATGACCTCAACCATGATGATCTGATCAAAGGAATTCATCCATCCGGCCGGCTACAACCCAAGACATGAGACGGCACATTACCCAGTTACGAGAGGACAAGGAAACGCAAGACTGGTCTTAGGAAATATTGTACCCCTGTAAGAAGAAGGCATATCAAGCTAGCCAATAGATCGGCGCATTAGCATATCGGGGAGACATCGCATATTGGGCGGAACTAGTTCTGTAAGTTATGGTTCGGGCGCGTTGATCATGCTCTATGTTTATCACTTCCTTCTCAGTTTTCCGAAAGGATGCGTCATCGAAAAAGAAACTGCATCTTATATCAAAGAATCATCCCGGCATGGCAGCTCGGTAGGACTATGGCAATCCGCACTCAAGACAAATCTGGTTTATATGACGACGTGTTTGTTTTTCCCTTCAAAAACCACATCTCTGTGTGTCTTCAAATTAGTCTTATTCCATACGCCCTCTCACAGTCCATTAGGCGATCTGATACCGCTTGCTCCGCCTCATTCTTGCTTCACCAGACCTAGTCAAGCAAAAATGTATTCCGAGCTATATACAACTGACTCTTACGGCCATTTAGCCCTTTTTGTACCACTACTTCTATGGATCCTTTACTTCATTGGTCTGGCAATCTATCGTGTCACCTTGCATCCGCTCGCTAAGTTCCCAGGTCCGACACTGGCCGGAGCAACCTATTTTTACGAGGCCTGGTTCGATGTAGTCCTTTGGGGTCGTTACACCCATCAAATAGGCCACCTGCACCAGCAGTATGGTATGTCCCATTTAAAAAATGATTGGGTGAACAAATTTAAGGCCTAATCGTCCTCCCCAAGGCCCGATTATTCGCATAAACCCGGACGAGCTACATTGCAACGATTATTTATTTGCAAATTCTATCTATGCTACTGGCTCTAAGCGTCGCGATAAGTCATCTCATTTTCTCCACGGCTTTCCCCCCAGGTATGTTGATCACGACTTTATGCCAATCTTCTGTGGGCTAATGCCGTGTGCTTTAGTGGCCATAAGGCAAGTTGATTGTGATGAGTCTGGAACCATGCTACGGTAATGTCGGTGGGCTAACATTGGATCCAAGACGATTCAGGCCACGGCATCACATGACCTTCATCGGATGCGACGACGGCCAATGAATAAGTTCTTTTCCAGAGCTCAAGTTTACGAACTGGAGAATACTATTCAGAGCTCCGCTCATAATCTGTGTCGTAAAATATTGTCGTGCGAGGGTCAAGGTGCCCTGAACCTTGCGTCTGCATACAGCTGCTTCACTGCCGATGTGATCAGTGAATATAGTTTTGGTCAAAGTTTTGGCTTTCTGGATCAGCCGGGATGGGAGCCAAATTATAAGAAATCCGTTGATATCCTTCTCGGGATTGGGCATATCTTGAGACTACTTCCCATCCTGGGTACCCTCATGGAAATTGTGCCTTTGTAAGTTTGATCCAAATTATAAATATAGTAGCTATGCACTTGCTAACTCATCGTAGATCGTTTTTGCAGCTCTTTTCACGCGATATAGCGTTAGTGCGGCATGATTTGCAAGTGAGTAGTGTCCGTGGGTGTAACGGATCGTGTGTGCTAACCATCAAGGTGAAATTTCCACATCAAATTGCACTAGCACGAGAAGCTTCTAAATCCGGTGCTGCTGGGAGTACCATTTTTGCGTCATTGCTAGAAGACTCAGACCTCCCACGTGAAGAGAAGACCACGGCACGCTTGGCCAGCGAAGCAAACTCGATCATGGTGGGAGGAACAGAATCAACTGCTGTGACACTGAGTGTCTTCACTTACCATGTCCTTGCCAATCCCGATGTACTTGACCTCATTCGTGCAGAGATCGATACCGTTCCCGCAGGTGAAGAAGGTAGGCTTCCGGGACACAAGTTGGAGCAGTTACCCTTTTTCACGGCGGCCATTCAGGAAGCACTGCGGCTTGTACACGGCATATCAGGCAGGGCAGCAAGAATTGCTCCGGACGAAGACCTGGTGTATCTAAAGTCCTCAGACTCCCCAGGGCAATCCCGTCACCATCAGGACCAGTTTGTCATCCCCCGAGGATATGCTGTCGGCATGTCTGCGTACCTTTTGCATACGAACGAAACTATTTTCCCCGAGCCCCATCGGTTTCTCCCACAGCGATGGCTCGACAAAAGTGGTCAAAGAGACAGAAGTCTCGACAAGTACTTATTCACTTTTGGCAAAGGTTCTCGACAATGTGTCGGCATGCAGTAAGCTATTCTCATCTGGAAGCCTCTGAGAACTCTCTTAACTGACTATGGCTGCTCTGTAGACTGGCATATTGGGAGCTTTACATTTGTGCGGCCGCCCTGATCGTGCATGTTTTCCCTCACTTGTCATTGAGTGACACTTCGGTGAAGGATGTGCAATATGATCATGATGAGTTGATTGGAAAGCCCTATATAAACAGCAAAGGAGTGAGAGTTTTAGTCTCTAGCAAATAAAATTAGCCCCTGAATAGAATCAAACTATTAGCTAATAAATCTGCGGTTACTTCTACTACGAACAGCAGCTAAGAGCAGAACCTTATATATATATCCGGTAGCAAGAGTTGCTGCTAAGAATTTTTGGTACGAACTATCTTAGCTGCAATAGAGTTATTATATCTAACACAGAGGAATTCAGTATATATAAAATTCTAAAAGGTAAGTTTATTAAACTATTTTAATTAAATATAAAGAATTATTATAGATACTATTAATAGCTAGTAGCAATAGCTAGTTATAGATAGTACCTTATTACTATTAATTAAATAGAGAATTATAACTAAGCTATATAATTTTTTTTTCTTATCTATAGTTTATATAGTTATAGTAATAGTAATAGAGAATTATAACTAGAAGAATATTATTATAAATTTCACCCTAACTATATATATTATATATAGTATTTATATTTTTTATCTAATTACTAGGAATAATTAATAAGATTATAATAATTATAATAATTTTAATTATAATACTTATTATAATTATATTACTTATATCTAGTATATATATATATTTATTTTATTAGTTAGAATACTCTTTTAGATAGTTATTAATAAAGTAGTTATATTATAATTATCTATATATTTATTATTACTAGTTTTATAATATTTATATATTAATAGTACCAGGGTCTAGGCCAAAAGAATAGTGGGGAAGTAGGGCGTAAAATATTAGCAATGAAATTAGTACTTCTGCTTGCTTATTTATTGAGGCTAGGTTGTCGCTAGGGGGGATCTCTCGGCCCAGGATTGTTTTCATTCCTACTTGCTCTTTATCAATTATTACGACTCCCCAAAAGACTGCGGCCATTTGTTCAGCAGCCATGTGGGACCTTCCTCAACTCCTCCAGTCGGTAAACCCATGGGCCAACTTTATCCCTCGATGGGCCTTTATCGTTACTCTGCCTTTCACTCTGTTCTACCTTGCTCTCGGTGGCATTTCGGGCCTGTTTATGGCCGACTATGAGAGCAATCGATACTTTGAATCTCTGGTCCATTTCGATCATAACGTCGCCTTTGCAAAACAGTCGTGGAAGCCTGGCGAGCACGACGGTGGGGTCGGGCCCTATTGGATCCCCCAGCTTCGAAATCCTTCCAACTGGTGGGTAAAGCTGGGCCTTGACCGATTTGATGTTTCGCTCATTCTCGAGGAAAACGACACGCCTATAGACCAATTTGCTTGGCTTAACTCACTGTATCGTAAAACTGACGAAGAAGGGGAGGGCGAATGCTGGCATCATTGGATCTACGTGCAAACCATTTGTTTTACTACGATTCGAAGCCTCTCGATGTCTGGGACAGTGCATTCAACGAGCTACTACAGTATCATTACGCAAATCCAGCACCTTGCGATGCAAGCTTCCACTATATCTCATGCCCTTCATCATTTCTCTGCGATATCTGGAAAACTCGGTCTCCTGCGTTGATTCACTTCACGACTGAAAGGGCAAGCATTCGGCCGGACAAGGACCAAGAAAACAGAAAGGCTATGCCGGGTTATACTCCGGTGACGGTGCGCATAATCGAGTTTCCTATTACCATAGAGACGGAGATGGCTCTTATGCCTGGCGTTTTCCCGAGCCCCTTCAACCAGATGAAAAGCATCACGAGCGATTCGTCCATCTGGCAAGAACACGTTCCTTGGTCAATTCAGAACCAACTGAGGGTCAGACTTAACGATATAGTCAAACGAAAGAGCATAGATTATCCCAGCTCTTTCGGACGAATGACAAAACTGGATAAATGGCTGTCGAAAGACATACTCGAGCCTTCAAGTTTGGAAATATCACGTGAAGCCCTTCTGGCTGTTGGGATGGTGTCAACGTTTCTCGGATCCCGGATCGTTGAAATAGCAGGGGATCTACTTAATACGTTTTCAGAGGCAGTAGATGCCAACAAGAGAGGCCCAGGGGGGAGCACCAAGGATCATTTGACGACAAGGGAGAAGAGGGAGCCGAATTTCATAGCACAGGCGATGCGTGAATTCTTCGACACCGACCGTGATCTTGCCCATGAGAAGAGAAGAAGCTCGCAAAAATTGCTGAGGATTTGAGGCTTCGAATAATGTCCGGAACATTGCGAGAGAGGGGCAGGAGAGGAGGGAGACAAGGTGAGAGACACAAGGCTAGCGACGGGAATCTCGAGGCAAAAGCAATGTAGCTAGGCGAGGCGAGTGAATTCAAGATGAACTATAAAGATATCAAGGATGACATCGCGGCCGGTGCTGCTACGTCGGGCGGGCGTCGTAGTCTTCAACGGCGAAGCTGAAACGAGGACAGACTCCGGAATTAGCAAGCCTTGACTTTATGCGCAATTCTGCGGTGAGGAGAGGTGGATCCCCGCAAGAGCCGACGGCGGGAACATGATGGCGCCTAGGAAGGCTTATAATGAAATGCGATCTTGTAAAGTATAATCATCGATACGATAGAGACCCACAACGTTCTCCAAAACGAGGAATCGCACCACTTGAGGAAGCTGATGATGGACGGAAAGCGTCGTGAACGAGCGGCCCTGTCGGTGTGCAGCATTTCTCCGATATGTCGTCGCACTGCGGATGTCGTGAGGTGAATCTTCGATAGGGAGTGCCAGGATTGCGGAGGAGGGGTAGAGGAATGACAAAGTTTCCGTCTCTTGAATTAACCGCAGGCATTGTTGCTATTGTGTTGATGGGGCTCTGGCCCAAGAGGCGTGTACGGGACAGGAGATTCTTAGCTTGTGAGCCAATGGTGTTAAGGTAACGGACGTTTGCATCGGGGATCAGTGAGCAGTGCTTACTAAGAGTATGGAAAATAGCTTTTCCTTTCCGAGTCAGCTATGCTTGATGGGAATGCTCAGCGTATATGACCCACCAATCTGTGTCGCCCATTCGCAGCTTTGTTTTTCCGTCTCGTCATCAGGATTTCTCCGAGTGCTCATCCAGTTGATCTCAAATACCTACGCGACACACAGTCTCGACCACTTCCGGCGCAAATGCGACAATAACGAGAGCAATCGCCATGACGGATCAAACCTGCTCAAAGGTTATCCAAGAACATCCCATTGGAAACGGCCTCAACACCCTCCATAATTCCTTCAATTTGATCTGTGAAGACAGGAATATCTCGCCAGTCCAGGTGTAATAGAGCGAGCATCTTGGTCAAGAAGGTATTTGTATAGAGAAAAAAAGTATAAAAGGATTATTTAAGATATAGTTTAAATAAACTAGTAAAATAATAGAAGATATTGGTGAGTAACTGTCTGTACTGAGAAAAGTTGAACACTGAAGAGTGGTTAATGACCCTATAGCACAGAAGCTGGCTTATACGCTCCGGCAACCGATGGGTGTCGAGATATCACAGGTGCCCATCCAGTGGCTAGGAAGTCAAGGCTGGAAGTAAGTGACACATTGGGACCAGCCTTGCTGAGACCCAGAAAGTACTTATAATGGTAACCTATCTCGTCTATATGTTATGGAGCAATAGTAGAAGCACCTTTAGTTGTTACCCCTTTCCCACGGATACAAGGAATCTGGTATTGAATCCGAGCGAGTTACCGAACAAGTTTTGTTTGTTCATAGTTGTGGGAGATAATCTTGCCTTTTCTATTTATGATCTTGAGATGTCGGCTTTGGCGTCTTCTTTGCTGCTTTGTTACTTTGTACTTGAACTCTTTCAGCTGTTCTCTTGCCCCTTCAATCGGTGGTTTACATTGACATTCACGGCCGCTTTAGATAGGAGACATTGAAAGAACATGTCGGGATCACCTTTCGGAATATAACTAGAATTTTGCTCTTCAAAGCGCCGAAGGCAGTAAATATTTCAAACTTAACGGGGAGAGAGATAATCTAACGTGGCTATAACCAATCTGGCCAACCCCTTTTTCAACCCACCGAGCCACTCTAGAGTGCTGCTCGCATGTCATCATGCGAAGTATCGAAGATTCTTCATTCTTCTTGTTACCCCTCACCCAATCTAGTATCCGTTACTTTTGCTCTTCTTCACATCTTTCCTTTTCCAGTCGCTCTAACTGTTGCGTGATGGCTGATAGCTCGTCTTGGATGATGTCTTTTTTGGCGAAGATTTCAGCTGCGAAGAGCCTTAGCCACGCTTCCTGGCTCATGACTCCGCCTAGGAAGTGGAGTTTGCAAAATGCGTTGAGAACAATGCCAACAAACATCGGATCGAGAGATTCCAGATGTTGACACTTTCCTGGCCCACAGACTGGACAGGGAGGTCTGTCACGCTGAGAAGTTTCGATGTGCCCAAATAATGCAGACTCTACTGCCTCCTTCATTCCATCTAGTGGTAAATTATCGTCGCATGCTTCAAGGGCGGAGTCGACCACGGAAAGTCGCTGCATAAGACTCTTTTTTTTAAAGATTTCGAGGCGAAGCGCTTCGATCTTGAGCTCCCGCTGGCGCTGTGTGTCGCGAATCTGGTCCTGGTCGTCCATGCTACGAGCATCCATTGTGTCAAAGCTGTGGATACAGAATCGGTAAAAAATCGATGAAATTTCTGCTTTGGCGATGAAGGATGAGGATAGATTTGAAGGCAGGTAGTTAGGTGCGGCCTCGTGGTATTTATGTAGGCCAGAGAGCCCTTTGCTCAAGCTTTGACCACCCCTGGATTCGTCTTGTTCAAACATACACAAAGCAGGCGAGTCTAGGATCATACGTACCCCTTCCTCATTTTACTTAATTTTCCCTATAAAGCATATATAAGACATTCCCAAGACACATGATCCTTCTCCGATGCTGCTGCACAGTGACAGTTGACAAACTCTTCTCTTTTTTGACTGTGCAGTAATGTCTTCCGATCTATGAATCCATGTCGTAGTGATAGACTACTAGTTGGCGAACTCGGACCTAATGTTACCAGAAAGCTCCTTGATTCTTTGTCTGTCGAGAGTTAGTAGACTTTTCCTGCCCCTTTTTGACGGCAGGTCCAAAGAATCATTTCTCGCCAGCGATGTTATCAGTGCAGCTGCCATGCCAGGTGTGCTAGAATCGGGAACGAATACTCCGAAAAAGTTGTAATCCTTGTTAGTACCTTTACATTCTGGTGCACCACCTCTTAGGGATTCCTTTGCCGGGACTTCATCCTAATCCTCCAGGTTGGAGGTAGCGAAACCTGCGAAGCATATACCTAAGTAAACATGTAAAGTCTGCAGCCCCTCAGCCCCTTGAGCACTCAACCATGATGTAGGGAGCTTAGCCGTACTGTTATAGGGAGGATATCATTTCGCTCGAACTACCTAAAAGGTATTGCCGCAGAACCAAGGGGAGAGGATGGTCAAGAAACTGTTAAGCTTAGTAGGAAGCAGAATACCGTAACGTTGAGAAGTCCAATAACGCAGTGAGAAACTGAATTAGCCCCCTCTGCAGTCACTGGTACCGGTGAGTCTGGGATAACGATGAGAGTAGAAGAAGATGACGACAACGAGGACTGTGGCAATGTAGGTTACTACAATAATCCAGGAAATGACCATTTTAGGTATGTGAGGGATCGTCTAGCAGGTGTTGTGAATTTCACTAGCGGATAGGGCGACAACCGTCACGACCAGCGACGGTGAACACGGAATAGCGAACGGGGATGAAATCTGCTAAAATATACACCAGTAGAACCTTCAACGTAGCATTAAGGTGGGATTAGCTGGCCAGATATAATAAAGCCCATAGCCCATGATTTATACCAGCAACCCAAAGCTTGCTGACTTCGCCGAAGGGGTTTTGCGGCTGCTGTGAAACATGAAGTCAAGATGTCTCTTGAAGCCGAACCGATTTTGCGGTTGGCGATTTCGAAATACCAAGCAAAGAATTGAGCTAAATCCGCCTCGGGCTGTCGACTTGGCAGGCAAAGGCGAGCGACGGCGCGGCTATTGTATTTGCTTCGTCCACAGAGAGAACAGTACTGGCCGATAATTCATCAGATCCCCGTAAAAGTTAGGGTCGGTGCGGTCTATACACTCGGCAGCCCATGCATAGAGATTGACAGGTAGGAAGTTAGCTAGCATTTTGTCTTCTGCAATAGAATGTCTTCTGTATTAGAAGGCAACTCTCCCAGGCATCGAAGCGCTTTCGATTGCTCTTCGGCGGCGACCTTCTCGAGCCCAGGTAATGTGTTAGCTTAGCATGCAGCAGCCATGTTCCGGAGAGGATCGTGATAAAACTCGATCTACGGATGGGATTAGCTGAATATCCAGTCGACCAAGCTAGCCATCCCGTGGTTCGGAATAAAGGGGTGCCTACCTTGTTGGACTTGCAGTTTGGACAGCCATTCCGGGACTTTCGATGAGGAGCCATAAAAGGTTGTCATTACGTCGATTATTGGAGGAGAGAGTGACCTAGTAGAGAGGGGCAAAGTACCGAGACTAATGCGATGGTCTTGATCATTGCTTGTCTAAAGTGTGCGTATGGAAGCGAGGTCGGAGGCTGGATGCAGGAAGCAAGACGGAAGATGGACAAGTATTATGTGGGGAGGGAAGAGAAGCATCCATGGGCAGTCCTACTTCGGTACCCTCCAATAGGCCTTGACGTCGCCCCTAATCTCCCATGCCACTACCGTCTCTATATGCACCAACCGTTCTTATTACAGGGAAGAGCACCCCAAGCAGGTAATTCCGGCTATCTTCTGTCAATAGCAGTTAAAAACAAGTTATGCGTAGGCTCTGCGTAGAAAAATACCGGCATAGGTAGGTTATATTATGCAAGCGATTGAATCAGTCAATGGCGGGCGTCATCATGCAGTCGGGAGGCAAGCTCAGCTAGTGGCTCGCTATGGAGGGCAAGGATGGCCGGGACGACCCGTAGCATGGGTTCAATCTTGACAGCGTTGTAAGCCGACGGAGCTATTATTGTGGAACGAACGGCATAGTCACCTCGCTGGTGCTGGACGTCCTTCGGGCTCAAATTGCAACAGGCTGATCGATTCAATTTACTTGTGCGTACTCCGTACTTAGGTATACATTACGATATTATGCAGAGTGGAGGCAGTTGCTAACACCGTTGATGCCGTGTTGTTTTCCAAGCCGTTTGTTATGCCGGCGCTTATGCTGGAATGTGTGCAGCCTGCATATGGTGACGTCGTCCATCGCCGTCGCCAATCAAGTCGGCAGATGGTGCTTCTTGGAATGTCCATTTCACGTCCGACCCCTCTCCCTTCATTTCTACCCCTCGTCCTAACACTCGACGGACCCCCGATGATTGACAGGCATCCTGTCTAGCATCACAGCATCATCCACCATGGCGGCCGACACTGCCAGATGGCACTTTTCCAAAAATCTTTTCCTCTTATGGCTCAGCTTCGTCCTGCTGCCACTCAACACGACAGTCATCGCGGCAATACACCTCTGGAGCCGATTCCGACCGTTCAAGAGACACCATGCGCGCCTGGAGTCAGCAGCACAACCGGCGCTCCCCAAGACCGTCCTGGTCACGGGCTTGAGCATGGCGAAAGGCCTCGCGCTCGCTCGCCAGTTCCATCGTCGAGGTCACCGAGTGATCGGCGCAGACACCCGCCCGCTCTGCATGGCACGTGTCTCGACGGCCGTGGACCGGTTTTATTCTCTGCCCAAGCCGTCGTCTACTTGGTGTCAAGCAGATCCGCATACTGTTGCTATGCTGTCTCTGCTGCGGGAGGAGAACATTGACCTCTGGGTCTCTGTATCGGACGTGCACGAGGCTATGCATGACGCGCAGATGCGCGATATGATTGAACAGTCCACCAATGTCAAGTGCATTCAGCTTGGTGAATCAGACACCCACAAGCTGCACGAGAAGGACCTCTTCATGAGCCATGCTGTGGAGATCGGCCTACCGGTCCCAGACTCCAAGATTGTGCACAACCACAATGCCATCATCCATTTCTTGAACAAGAGAGATGCACTTCGCTTTCGACCTGGATCACCCCAATATCTGGTCAAGCAGATCGAGCAGGACGACCATGAGAGTAGATTCGACATGACCCTGCTCCCCCTGCCAACCGAGCAGGAGACGCTCCAGCACATCCACAATATCCCTGTGCACACTTCGAACCCCTTTCTAATCCAGGAGTTCATCAAAGGCGAGGAGTACTGCACTCATGCGCTCGTCGTCAAGGGCCAAGTCCGCGCATTCTTGGCATGTCCCTCTGCTTCTCTCCTACTCCACTATAGCGCTCTGCCTCCTGAGTCGTCTCTCGCCCAAGCTATGCTCGGCTTTACAGAGAGAGTCGCTGCGGCTGGAGGGGCCGACTTCACTGGCCACGTCAGCTTCGATTTCCTCGTCAAGCCCCGTCACGCTGAGCGGGAATCATCCAAGGATATACTCGACGTGGACTTGTTCGCGATTGAGTGCAATCCACGCGTACATACCGCCGTGTTGCTGTTCAATGATACACCCGAGGTGGTGGACGAGTTCTTCACCTTCGATATTGATGAGAAACCCCGACCTCCAGTCTTCCCGAGGGATCCTAAACGGTACTACTGGGTCGGGCAAGATTTGGTGCAGAGGGTCATATTTCCCTTGTACCAGTTCCTGTTTCTGTGGACACTGACATTCACCCAACTTCGGCAGTCATTGACTCTGTTCGCTCAGCGTCTTTTGTTCTGGAAGGACGGTATTTTCGAAGTCTGGGATCCCTGGCCGTGGTGGTGGTTGTACCATGTGTACTGGCCCGTGCAATTCTTGAAATTTCTCGTCAGGGGGCGATGGTTTAATATCAACGTTAGCACGGGGAAGGCCTTTTCAGCTGAATGAGATCTCGGCCAGAGTTGGAGTCAGCGTGCCTTGAACTTGCTTTTGATATCTGAGTTGCGACTTTCCATTCTCGAGTAATGGGTTTAATTATTTAGCTTTGGGTAGTTTTTAGGGCTATTAATAGCCTGTTGTTGTTGGTACCAATTCAGATGGACAATGGAGTTGTAGGTGTTTATTTTGATATAGGTACATACGCTTACAGTTGGTGCCTTCAATATCAGTCAAGTTCCAATCGAGATTGCTCTTGAGTCCATTGACACAAATCCCCTTTCCTTCAACTTTAATGAAAATTTAGCTTTCTTCTTTTTAGGCTTGTCTGACCAATCTGACCCTCTTCAGCTCTCGAAAATCCCCGGTAGCAACTCTGACACTTGAGAAAAGAAAGATGTCGTGGCTAAGCTCTTCCGAATCGGGAAGCACAGCAATTTTAACCACCTCAGAAGAGCTGTCAGGCTGTACCCGATTATTATCCACCAATCAATAGATACTGATGCGGGATAGCATAATCATTTCCAACTTATCAAGAAAGTATTACGGTCCTACCACCAGCCCTCCTAGCAATCACTTCGAGGAGCAGAAATTATTCTTTTTCAAAAATCTCAACCCCCCGACCTATTAGGCCTACGTCGTAAAATAACAAAACAGAAAGTTGAATTGGCCTTCGTGCAAGACGTCGGGTTTATTTGCAATAACCCAAGGACCAGGTTTTCGATCATAAGACTCGCTCCACAAACGTAGAAAGCCACCAGGGCCATGCCTTCGTTTTCCCATGGCTAGACACAGCAAATCATGAAAGTTACAGATGTTTGCCGTAGCATCTAGGTTTAATATCGCCCACGACATGTTAGATAAACGTACAGTCCTCCAATTTTCGGCAGGCCACCATCTGCTGGCAGGAACAGGGGTAGCAAAGATCCTAAGCTTTTTCTTTAGTCATGTCACAGATGTTGAAGT